CCTGCCTGTTGGTTGTTGACGAACGGGGAAAGGGCGGTTTTGGTGAACAAGACAAATTTGGGCCGAAACAGGAAAGAATCCACTTTCGGACGTCACTTTACATTTCACATTCATCGCGGGACACATGAAGCACGAGACTCTAATAGACAACTCAAAAGGGGCCTCAAAAAAGGGACGAAACAAGTCTGCGAATACTATCTGGTACTTTACAGACACAGTTGGGTGGCTGAAAACCCGAATCTGACTCTTCTGTTCCTGGCCACTGGTCCCTCCGACTTCGCCGTATTCGCGACGGCGACCGCATATCACCGCTGTTTTGGTTTCCCTCCAAGCTGGTGCGCTGTGTAGAAGAGAAATGGAGGGAAATAAGATACGGCGAGAACGGGGACGCAACAGAGCAGACCGCCCTGTCGATCAAGGGTCGCGTTGGGGGGGCAAAAACGCAAGAAGCCGGGATGTTGGGGATTGATACGAGAAAAAGCCAGAACTCTGCGACGTGCGTTGCGAATACAAAGGGCAATGTTAGATACTGGGTTATCAGCGGTGAGGTCTAGGCTAACGGTCTTGTCCAATCACAGCCTTTGGATATTTGTGTGTCGTGTGCCTTCAACGGTCGGCTAGGGCCCGCCGGTCGCATTTCGGTCGTCCTAGGGGCCGTCTACGTTGACTTAACAGTCGCCATTCTCGTCTTGTCGCTGCGCGCTAAGCGGCTGCTCTCGTGTTTTTGCAGGCCTAAACGGCCTAAATTGCGAATGCGGCGAGGTAAGGTCTTTGGGCAAGGGGGCAAAACTGCCAAGAGAGCGACTGTCGGTGTCGGAGCCGTGTTTTTATGCCCTTTTCTTTGTTGGCGTTTAGCAAGCCTTCAACGTCAAACTGCGGAGGCGCCAGGAACGAAAAGGGGGAACTTATGGAAAAACGAAAATGGTGGGCCAGCAGTCCCGGGGTCCGCCTGTTGTGGCTGCGGAAGTACGTTTCCAGAAAGGGCTTGCGGATGAGAAACGTAGATGGACGCGGAAGCCCGGCGTAGTAGTGATGACAACGTTTTGCCAAGGGTAATGAGAGAATTACAGAATTGTCAAATGAGGCTGTTGAATTGGTTTATTTGACCGCTGGAGAGCACTGCCAAACGCCAGGTACCGTAGTTTTCATTTCGTTCAGCATGCTGTTGGTCGCCCTGCACAATAAGCAATGGACGTCAAGTGCTGTCAGGATCCTTGTTGCAAGGCTGAAAAGTCCGTGGGGCATGCGAGTTGTGGGTCACGGCCAGCCTTGAGGCTATAGACGATGGCAGTATTGCAGTATTACTTTTGAGCGGACGACGCAGAGTATGGATTGAATGACCACTTACAGAACTCCCGAGCCTTCCTTCGGTGGACAGGTTCAACCGGATCTTATTGATGATGGACAGATGCGGCTCTGTTGGCTGACAGTAATACCGACACATCCTTGTATGCACGTGAGCAACGAATTGCGTTGGATGCCTGCTGCAAATGCAACAAAACCGCCACTTTTCGTGCAGCTTCGACAGTGAACGTTTCTCTTCGATCCCTCGCTGTACTTTCTTCTTATTTGTTTCTCTCTGCAAGTCACGTCGTGTGGTTGAAAACACTGCCGCAGTGTAGGTGGAGTATCGAGTGTCCCGCCTCTGCTGCCTGGTGGAGGCTCTACAGGCACACAATGTCGATGCATATTTTTCAGGCGTTGCATCAGATCACGGGGCCTTCTCTTTGAATAGAACGGAGAAAGTACGAGGAGACCGCAAGCCATTTGAATGTTTACAAGCTCTACGTTCCTATTGACTTTCCGGACGTCGTACGTCGAGGTTGGAATGCTTTTTAACGCACTTCAACGGAATTCGGGTGCACCTGATTAGGACTAGATGGCGTTCTCCTTTCTTGTCCTCGTATTTACTGTATCATTTAGAGCCATATCGTGAAGGATGCCTGCGCAAGGCTGCATTGAGTGGGTCTCGAAAGAAGCGGAATAAAGCAATACTTTTCTTGTGATCGAACTCGAAGGAGATTGGTATCCGTGGTTGTCGAATTGTTTGTTTTCTTCTTCTTTTCATTTACTTTCTTTTATTTTTTTTTAAAAAAAATAGAACGATCAGCCCTTCTTCACAGCACCGTCATCCTAGTACTCGGTCATTTACTGTGTGGGAGTGTGGTTTCTGTCCGTGACTCTTGTGATTGTGTTCATTGTGCAATTCTGCGATCGCTGTCTTCATCGACGCCATCCGTGTATAGCCTGACCACATGCCACACCTTATTTCGGGTCTCCGATGAGGCGGTAGGACAGAGCTCATTGCTATCGAGGCGCCTATGTAACCATACAGCCAAGCGAAACTATTTGAGGACAGAAACAGAACTGTAAATCCACGTTGAAACGCACAAATACCGTGTGCGATTGGCCTTGGTTATGTATCGAATCCCAGAAGAGCGTTGAAAAGAACAATCGAAAGACGGCCGTGCACAAGAAATTCTCTGGCCTCATCGGTAGTGGCCCAAAATAAAGTGCTCTCCTGCGGCTGAATCACTGCCGGACGTCCGTCACTTTGGGAAGAAAGGCCGCAAATTGAGCTGAGCACGATAACAAGAACCTTTGTCTGTGTTGCCCTTTTGTCCTCGTGGCGGCGTCGGCTGGCCTAGGGCTTTGGAGATCCACGTCGTGTCTCATTTTTCGGTGTGTGGGAAACAGCAAGTAAAGACACATCATGTCGTCACCACGAATGTAAGGACGTAAAGACCGAGCTACGTCGACGAGAGACAATACACAAAAGGAGAGCGAGTCGCCACCCTTTTGACGGTATTTTTATTTTTTATTTTCTGCCTTCTCTGTGGAGCCAACTCTCTCCTTCTGGCCACAGTCAACATGCCTCTCCACACACTCCGCGAGCTCGACCGCACCGACGGCACGGTCCAGCTCCGACAGGTCCATCACCACCACCGTCATGACGCTGCATCGCCGTCCGCATCGCCGTCCACATCGACCGACGACTTGGTCCTCGTCCCGCGGCCGTCGCCCACGGACCCAAACGACCCGCTCCGCTGGCCGCCCTGGAAGAAGCACGCGGCCTTTGGGTCTGTCTGCGCGTTTACCTTCTTGACCAACTACGCCATTGGCGGCCTGGCCCCGGCGTTTTACATCTTGTCGCTCGAGTTTGACAAGACCATGACCGAGACCAGCGCGCTGCTGCTGTGGCCGATTCTGGTGCTGGGCGTCTTCAACTATGTCTGGGTGCCCCTCGCCAACTACACCGGCAAGCGGCCCGTCTTTGTGTTTGCGTCGGCGCTGCTGTGCGCCGCGTACATCTGGGGCGCGCAGGCCGCGACGTTCGACTCGCTGCTGTGGTCCAACATTGTGGGCGCGGTGGCGGGCAGCACGACCGAGGCGCTCGGGGCCAGCACCGTCAACGACTTGTACTTTCTGCACGAGCGCGGCAGCCGCATGGGCGTGTACATGAACAGCATCGCCGGCGGCAACACGGTCGGGCCGCTGGTCTGCGGGTTCCTGGTGACGTCGCTGAGCTGGCGGTGGCACAAATGGATCGCGGCGATCTTGACGTGTCTCAACTTTCTGGCCGTCCTGTTTTTCGTGCCGGAGACGCGGTACCTGCGCGACGCCGACCAGAAAATCGGCGCCGGCGCGAGCGTGGACGACGTCCACACCCGTGTCAGTGTCGGTGGTGGTGGCGGTGAAAAGACGTCTCCGTCGGTGGGTGTCGCCCCGGCGACGATTTTGACGTTGACCGCGTCGTCGGCGGCCCCGGCCGTCCCCAAGAAGACGTGGCTCCAGGAAGCCCACCCGTGGTCCGGCATCACCCCCGGCACGTCCCTGCTGCGCATGTTCGCCCGCCCCTTTCCCATGTTCGCGTACCCCTGTGTTGTGTTTGCCTTTTTGGGCTACGCCGTCGCCCTCGTCCTCACCGTCGCCGTCAACATCTTGAACTCGTTTGTCCTGCAGGCCCCGCCGTACAACTGGTCGCCCTCCGTCAACGGCCTCATCAACATCCCCGGCCTCCTCGGCAACCTGCTGGGCGGCTGGGCCGGCGGCGGCCTCGTCGACCACTACTGCGACTGGCGTTTGCGACGGCGCGGCGGCGTCTTTGAGCCAGAGAGCCGCCTGGTCTTGCTGGTGCTCCCGGCCGTCGTCACCGGCGCCGGCTGCCTGCTGTTCGGCTTCGGCGTCCAGCAGAGCCTGCACTGGACCAGCCTCTTCTTTGGCTACGGCATGGTCTCCTTTGCCCTGACGGCCGTGCCCACCATCACCATGGCCTATGTCTCGGACTGTCTGCTGCCGGTCAACGCGGACGCCCTCATGCTCGTCAACGGAACCAAGAACGTCGTCGCCTTTGGCTTTCTGTACGGCATCGTGCCCTGGGTCGCCGATGTCGGATACGCGGCCTGTTTCGGCGCGCAGGCCGGCATTTTTGTCGCTATCATCGCCATAGGTGCCCTGCTGCTGCTGCGCTTCGGTGCCGCCATTCGCCACCGCCAGGCACAATGGCGGATTATCCTCTAGGGAGGGAGCATGGCATGGGCGCGCGTGCTGGCTTTGTTGTTCTTTTGCATCTGTTTCGTTTCAAAGTGACAAAAGGCAATATCGAGGTAGAGCACGCCTTTTTACTCAGAACAATGCATCAAAGTAGGCAGATGACAAACAAGAACAATCGTGAATTGTATACAATACGTTAATTGTCCGGTAAACTCACGTCGTAATTGGGTACAGATCTAATGCTGTACAGAAGTATGTCGTATGTTGAGGTTGTTGACCGTTGGCGTTGCCAACTCGTGGTGATAAAAAGTGGAGACACTGTAACCAGTACGATTGGCTCACCGCCTAATTATTTTGTACGGCAGAAAAAAAAGTTTTGGGAACTTCAACTTTTGGCCAATTTTTCTTTGACACCGCCCCGCAAAAACAACAAGAGCAGCCGACAACCACCCCATACTGCCTCTGCCCTTCGACTTGCACCAATCCCAATCCCATACCCTCCCGCAATGCCTTCCAAAAGAAAGGCCGAGCCTATCTACGGGCGCACGATTGAAGATGACGAGGACATCTCCGACGAGCAGTCGGACAGCGAGGACGACGGTCTCCCGGCACACAAGCGGCAGCACATGAATCCGGACTTTGTGTGGGACGGCGACGACTTTGGGTTCGGCGGACTCGGCGGCGCGGGCAATGGAAACGGCGAGGAGGAGGCGGAGGAGGAGCAGACAAAGGCGGACATGGAGTGGATTGGTGCAGAGCGGATGGTGGACCTGAGCGCGATCATCCAGCGCCGGCGGGAGAAGCGAGAGGCCGAGGCCGGCGAGGGCCAGGCCAAGACGACAAACGGCAAGGCCAGCAAGGGCAGAAAGAAGGCCAAAGGTGACGAGGAAACCGATGACGAGGAGGAGGAGAGCGATGACGAGGAGGACAATGGCAACGAGGACCAAGACCTTGATCTCGACGACGACGAGCTGCTTGCCGACGACGGTTTCGGCATGGGCGCCGATTCGGACGAGGACGACGAGGGTGCAGAGATTGGGGCCGACGACGACATGGGGGCCGATATGGACGAAGAGCACGCCGATTCGGACGACGGCGAGGCTGCCTCGGACAGCGACTCCGTGGCCACGCCCATTGGCCACCCCGACGACCACGACGCGGAGAGCGACAGCGACGCATCCAGCGACGAGGACGCCGAAGAGTCGGCGCGCCAAAAGGCCTTTTTCGCGGACGGCGAGAAGGAGAAGCTCAAGGTTAAGAAGGGCAAACAGGGCAAAACGGGCAAAAATGGCAGCAGAAACGACGGCGACTCGGACGAGGAGGGCGAGGACGGCAACTCGCTGGCGTCCGTGCCCACCTTTGAGTCGATGCGCATCTTCTCGCGGCCCATCCTGCGGGCCGTCGCCGCGGCCGGCTTCCGGCGGCCGACCAAGATCCAGGCCAAGACGATGCCCTTTGCCGTCGGCGGAAAGGACGTGGTCGGCCAGGCCGTCACCGGTTCCGGCAAGACGGCTGCGTTCCTGCTGCCCATTCTGGAGCGGCTGCTGTACCGTCCGAGCAAGGTGCCCAAGACGCGCGTCGTCATCCTGACGCCGACGCGCGAGCTGGCCGTGCAGTGCCACGCGGTCGCCGTCAAGCTGGCCCAGTTCACGTCCATTACCATGGTGCTGGCGGTCGGCGGCACGTCGTTCAAGGCCACGGAGCCCAAGCTGCGCGCGCGCCCGGACATTGTGATTGGCACGCCCGGTCGCTTCATCGACCACATGCGCAACACGCCGGGCTTTGCGGTCGACGCGACGGAGATTCTCGTGCTCGACGAGGCCGACCGCATGCTGCAGGACGGCTTCGCGGACGAGCTCAACGAGATTGTCAAGTTCTTGCCGCGCTCGCGCCAGACGATGCTCTTCTCGGCGACCATGACGGCGCCCGTCGACCAGCTGATCCGCGTCGGCATGCTGCGGCCGGTGCGCGTCGTGGCCGACGGCGGCTCGCGCACGGCCGGCACGCTGACGCAGGAGTTTGTGCGCCTGCGCGCGGGCCGCGAGGACGCGCGCCTCGGCTACCTGCTGCACCTCTGCACGACGCTCTACCGCGACCACACCATTGTGTTTTTCCGGGAGAAGCGCTACATCCACGAGGCGCGCGTCGTGTTTGGGCTGCTGGGCCTGACCTGCGAAGAGCTGCACGGCAACATCAAGCAGGCGGAGCGGTCGGCCAGCCTCGAGTCGTTCCGGCGCGGCGCCGTGTCGTTTCTGCTCGCGTCCGACCTGGCCTCGCGCGGCCTCGACATCAAGGGCGTCCAGACCGTCATCAACTACGAAGTGCCCAAGACCCTCGACGACTACATCCACCGCATCGGCCGCACCGCGCGCGCGGGCCACCGCGGCGTCGCCGTCACGCTCGTCGCCGAGGCCGACCGCAAGTTTGTGCGCGCCGCCACCAAGGCCATGCGCAAGGGCGAGACAGGCGGGACGGGCGGGACGGGCGGGACGGGCGACGGCGGCGCCCCGTCGTCGACCCAGTTTGTCATCAAGAGCCGGTCCGTCGACCCGGCCGCCGCCGACGCGTGGCAGGCCAAGATTGAGGCCCTCGAGGACGACATCGCCGCGATCATCGAGGAGGAGCGCGAGGCGCGCAAGCTGGCCGTGGCGGAGATGGAGGTGACGCGCGGCGAGAACCTGCTGAAGCACAAGGACGAGATCCTGGCGCGGCCCAAGAAGACGTGGTTCGAGACGCCGCGCGAGAAGGAGGCCAAGAAGGCGGCCGCGCGGCGGACCGGCATGGACGGCGCCGGACCCCTGTCCGACGCGAAGCAGCAGGAGAGCGTCGAGCGCCTGCGCGACAAGCTCAAGAGCAAGCGCGTCGGCGGCAAGCTGAGCAACAAGGACATGAAGAAGCTGGACAACAAGGCGGACCGGCTGGCGGGCATGGGCGGCAAGAAGCTCAAGCAGGAGAAGAAGGCCCTGAGCAAGCCGGGAAGCAAGCCGGGAAGCAAGCCTGTTGGAAAGCCTGCAGCCAAGCCTGTGGCCAAGCCGGCGGCGGCCCGTGTGGTCAAACCGGCCACGGGTGCCCGCGGCGCCAAGGGTCCCAAGGCCTCGCGCGGCGGCGGCCGTGGTGGTCGTGGTGGAAGCCGTGGCGGCAAGCGGTGACGTCTTGGTGGCGAGGCTACGTACTTTTTGGATTGATTTTGTCATTGCATTGCATCTATCATTTTGTTTTCATTAAGAGGTTGGCGTCCAAACTGAGTGTTGTTTTTCGTTTTCATAAAATACTACCATACGGATCATAGACCATTTTCAATCGTGTACCTGCGTGACCATCATTTCGCTATTGCTTTTGTGGCTGGGATGCTTCTACATGGGAGACGAGTGACTAAACGAGGAGAATTCGGAGTGACAAAGTAACGTATGAATACATGTATGGATGCATGGGGCCGCACTGGCGTCAACCCTCCTTCAGGGCCTGCTTCACAATGCCAACGGCCTCCACGGCCACATCCTGGCCCCGGCGCCACGTATAGAGAGCCACGCCCTGCGGGCCCAGCATATCCTGCGCATGGGCCAGCCGGCGGCGCCACATGTCGACCTTTTTGTTGGGCGGCAGCGACTGCTGTCGTGCAGGTTGGTCCGGCCGATCAGAGCGGTCATAGTCGGCCGTGCGCACACGCCGTGGCGGCGGCGGCGGCGGCGGCCCATCGTCGGCGTCCGAGGGCACGCGCGGACTGCTGCGTCCGCTGTTGTTGGCAGTGCTGCTGGCCGAGCCGACGGGTTTGCGAGGCGGCGGCGGCGGAGGGACAAGGCGCGAGGCGGGCGCGGTGGACGTCGTGGGCGAGGGTGCCTGGGCAGACGCAGGCGGTGCGGCAGCGGCGTTCGGCGTGGTCGACGCGGCCATGGAGCTGCGCAGAGCGAGCGGCTTGGACGGCCGTGGCGGCGGCAGCGGTTTTCGCCCAGTCGTATGGAGAGAGGCAGAGGACGACGACGCAGAGAGGGGCGGAATCGTAGACGGGAGGGCGTTGCCGGTGTCGGTGCTGGTGGTGGTGGTCGACGGAGGATCGTCGTCAAAGTCAATCAGTGTGCCCATCACAGGGCCTTGTGCTTCCGGTTCCGGTGCCGGTGCCGGTGCCGGTTTCGGTGGTGCCGTGGCCATGCGTGGGGGCAGAGCAGGCCGGCGACTGCTGTCTCCTGCTATGCTCGGGGCGGGCGTCCGCGTGGCATCAAAGTAGCCCGGCTGCTCGGGCGTGGTGACGTCGCGGATGAAAATCGCCAGGACGCGGCCGGGGTGGGCGAGGACAAGGTCCGTGTAGACCTCGAGATCGGCCTCGCCGCTGTCGCCGACCAGCAGAAAGCGGCGGTGCGGGAAGTCGCGCAGAATCTTCTCGAGGGTGCCGCGCTTGCGCTCCGCGACGGGCTCGAAAATGCCCTGCAGCATGCCGCTGTACTGCTTGAGGTGCAGCGGCCCCCGGGGCAGGCCGGCCTGCTTGAAGAAGGTGGTCAGCATGGGGAACAGCTGCCAGGGGCTGTTGGAGCAGTAGTGGAACTGGACGCCGAGGTCGTGCAGGCTCGTGTACCACGCGCGGGTGCCCTCGACGGCCATGCCGGCCAGCTCCTTGACAAAGGTGTTGCGGAAGATCTCGCGCGTCCCGAGCGCAATGTTGGAGGCCTTGATGGTGTCGTCAATGTCGCTGATGAGGCTGACGCCGCGGTCCTCGACGAGGTCGATGGGGGCGACGGCGGACAGCGGCTCGGTCAGGCTGTTGACGAGGGCGGTCTCGTTGGCGCTGATGTTGGCGGCGGACGAAGCGGAAGCGGCCCGCTCGGCACCGGCGCCGCCGTTGCTGCTGGACACGAGCACGCGCACGTGGGTGGGCACAAAATCGAGGGCGGCGCAGGTCGAGAAGTGGCCGGCGTCCGACGTGGTGACGGTGCGCGACTGCGACTGCGCGTCGTTGTAGAAGAAGAGCGTCACCGGCTGGTCGACGACGGGCGTGGTGAGGAAGGGCCCGAGGCGGGCCAGCAGGTTCGTGTTGGCGGCCACGAGCTCGGCCTCGGTCAGCTCGGGCGTGGCCGAGCCGCCGCCGCTGCCGGACATTGGCCACGACGACTTGGGCGTCAGTTTGCCAGGTCCTGCCGGGGCCGGTGGGTGCGGCATCCGTGCGTGGCGATGGCCGGCCGCGTCGTCCGAACTGCTGTCGTCGTCGTAGCTGGCGGCCGTCTCGGGCGTCTCGCTGTAGCCGCCGCGGTTGGCGACCTCCTTCTCGCCCTGGCCGCGGCGCTCAATGGCCTCGGCGGCGCGCATAATCTTTTGTGTTTCGCGCGCGTTTTCGCCCGATCCCGATCCCGATCCCGCGTGTCCGTCCGGCGAGGCCGTCGCCACGCTGGCGTCTTGTCCCGTCGCGACGGGCGCCCACTGGTTCGGCGCCGGAATGCCACTCAGCCGGCGGGCCAGGCCTATCAGGATGCGGTTCTTGCGCGTCAGCGGGCCGCGGTTGGCCAGGTACAGCCAGCCGTGCACGTTGACGTCCACGACGGCCTTTTCGTCTTCGAGACGCGCAAACGCCTGGTGCCAGTCGGGCGGCGCGTCCGGGTGGCGGCCGACCTGCATGCGCTCGCTGGACGAGTCGGTGTCGTCGCCTCGCTCGCGGTCGCCGTCGCCGTCGCCGTCGCCGTCGTGCCACGGGCCAGCGGCCACACTTTTCCCATACTTGCGCACGTGCCGCTTTGCGTACATGGGGAACAGCACCATCTGGGCATCGCCGCCCGTGGCAAACGACACGTCGGGGAACGCGCCGGGTATGTGGGGCGGCCGGTCGTCGTCCCGGTCGCCGGTCGCCGATCCGCCGTCGCCGTCGCGCACCGCCCGCGACGTGTTGTACTGGTCGCGGATCTCGCTGGCCGCGGCCACGCCGGCGCGGTAGACATTGTTGGCGAGCGCAGCAAAGCGGCGGCGGCGGGAGCCGCGCTCGGCGGCGCCGTCGTTGCCGTTGTTGCCGCTGCCGCTGCCGTTGTTGTTGTACGCGTTTTGCATGGCGAGGGGGAGGAGGCGCGCGGTCAGTTGCTGTTCACGGAGCCGCCGGCGACGCGCGGCGCGGTCCACCACAAACCGGTAGAGACGAGTGTGCGCGCGCTGGCGGTAGCGAGGGAGCGTCTCGAGACGGAAGCGGACGTAGCGCTCGCGGAGAGGAACGCGTGGCGGAGGACCCAGGGCAGCTGTACTGCGGGCAGCGCGGTAGCCGGCGAGGAACGAGGCCTTGGAGCGGAGGAGGTGGCTGACGATGGAGGAAGGCGAGGAAGCAGTCGATTCTGTGGATGGCGATGGCGATGGCGATGGCGATGACAATGCCGGCGTCGAAGAAGGCACTGGAGGCCGTTGTCGGGTCAGGGCGTGAGGATGCTTCCAGGACACAGGCGGTGCGCGGGCGGCTCGAGCACCGCGCTGGAAGAGGCGGTTCCGCCAAAAGGGAGCCACGTTTTCTGCGAGGAGACGGCGGGGGGTGGGAGCGGTTGGGGCACGGGGTATAGGGCACAGGTGGACGAGAGATGCAGATGCAGTCGATGCGCTGTTTGCCGTCGGTCGTTGTCAGGTGACCGTTGCGTGGCCTTGTGGTCGTTGAGAGCTTGCAAAAACGGCAGCTGCGGGGTGACACAGACATGTGCGAGCAAGGAAGGTGCACTTGGCGACGACGATCACTGGGCAGCTCAGGCGCCCCACTATTTTATTGCTGGAGCCTTGCGGCAGCAACCGCAGGCCTAAGGACGAGGCGGCTATCGGTTTAACACTCCACTGTATTTTCGGGGACGCCTAACTTGCCGAAGACGGCAGTGGGATCAATATACTTGTCCAATAAATTGTAACTCCTGTTCGCCGCTACATCTATTTCAACTAGATTCCATTTAGACTTTCCTTCATTTCAGTATATAATGTAGTGTAGTATATGTACGTGGTATATATCGCCTCGCTTGTTTGACCGTTTTATAGGGTATATCTAGTGGGTTGTTTTGGTTTTCATCTCGCTCTCCATGTCTTTCTCACCGGTGGTTTCCGTTCAACTCTCTTACTGGTCGCTCGACTCCCCCGTGATCTCAACTGCAGCAACGAGCTGTGGCGCCTTGCTGCCGGGCTTGCTGCCGGGCTTGCTGCCGGGCTTGCCAGAGGATTCGGCTGCCAGATCGGGTGCGGCTTCGACGGCGGCCGGGTCCGACGCCGTGACGACAGTGGCCGCCTGTCGCTCGTCTTGCGACGGCCGCGCCGCCTGTGCTGCCCGTGCCGCCAACCGCCGGTCCGTCCGCCGGCGCCACGGCTTGTAGACGAGCACGGACCCGACGCCAGCCAGCACAAACAGCCCGCAGATGCTGCCGCCGACAATGTCAAAGTGGTCGCCAATGGCGCCGACGCCGTCCCAGAAGGGCCCCGAGGGCGGCGGGTCGGCGACGTTGCCGATGAGGGTAAAGAGCTGGACGAAGCCGATGAAGGCGGCGACGACAATGGTGATGCCGGTCAAGACAATCGAGTAGTAGAGAATGGCCACGGTGTCGCGCGAAAACGTCTTGGACGTGTACAGGGCCATCATGAGGGCGCCGTCCGTCGTGTCGAGCATGCACATGCCGGCGGTAAAGAGCGCGGGGAAGAGGAGGATCAGCCACAGGCTGGTGCCCTTGGCGCCCTGGATGCTGGCGATGCCAATGAGGGCGACCTCGGAGCTGGTGTCGAACCCGAGGCCAAAGAGCACGCCGAGCGGGTACATCTTCCAGGGGCGGTCGATGAGGACAAACAGCCGGCGGAAGACGCGCACCAGGAAGCCGCCGCCCTCGAGCTTGAGGTGCGCGGCGGAGTGGGCCATGGCGTCGGGGGCCGTGGCCGCGGCAACCGCATGGGGACCGGCCGGTCGGTGCTCGCCAGCGAGGCTGTGGACGCGGTCGCGTTCATGCATGTCTGCCTCGGCTACGGCATCCGCATCCGCATCCACACCAACCTCCACATTGTCCCGGTAGGGCGCGAGTGGCTCGGGTGATCCGCCGGGGACGGCCCCCTCTTCGTCGTCCTCGCTGCCAAGCTGTCGATCACGGCGCTCCCGGTGCGCCCGGTGCTCCCGCCACCGCGCGTCCTTTTGCAGCTCCGCCCGCAGCCCGCGCACCAGCCGCCACAGCACCCACGCATTGCCCGCACACAGAATCAGCAGCACCGCCGCCGACACGCTGGTGCCGATGATGTTGCCCACGCGCTCAAAGCCGTTGAAGCGGTCGCGCAGCGCGCCCGACGTGGCCGCCACGACAACGCACGTAATGACCACAATCGTCGAGTGGCCCAGGCTAAAGAACGTGCCGACGGCGACGGGGCGCTGGCCCGAGGCAATGAGGCGGCGCGTCATGAGGTCGATGGCGCTGATGTGGTCGGCATCGAGGGCGTGGCGCAGGCCGAGGGTGTAGGCCAGGACGGCGGTGCCGGTGAGGCCCGGGTAGAAGCGCAGGACGACGCCGACGACGGCCCACACGACCAGGTTGATGAGAATGAGCAGACTGATGAGGGCCAAGGCGGGCAGGGGCACTGCGCGGAGGCGGCGCGGGAGCCGGGGCTCGATCCGCTGCTGGAGGGCTTTGAGGCACGCGGGCGCCATGGACGTAGATGGGAGAGGGTACGGATTAATACGGCGATATCGCACTGTGCGGCGGTCGCTCCCTCCTCCGCGGCGTTTTGGATTTTCTGTTTGGGTCGACTCGCTCGCCCTGTCACTTTTGGTATGTTGGGTATGTGGTATCAAATTAAATACAAAGAAAACAAAATATGCAAGGAGCCATCAACCAGAAGAAAAAAGCAATCACCCGAGTGTCTCTGGATGGGGGCCCTGAATGTTTCTGAAAACTTTTTCAGGCCGTATTCTTGGCCATTCGTGTTTCGTCTCCATATCGGTCGATTTTGACACTTTTTGTGGCGTCTTGGACTAACAACCGCCGGTGCCCGATGACGTTGTTCCACCTCTGATTTTCCACCGTGCCTTCCCCTCACCAAGTGTCCAAGAGGAGTAAGATACGAAATAGAGGAGCTATAGATAAGCTTATCGACGCCGTGTGTCACGCCGTGACAAATTGCTCTAAGAGGATGGCTTGGATGCGTCCAGTCATTGACGTTGGCGCGGAAAGAGCTCTTATCAGATCGGGGTGGTTCCTGGTCGCAGCTGCCTGCCCGTGCACCTGCTCTTTGAGGACCTCTGCGGCCGCACAGTCAGCACCTGCCCCGCCATCGTAAAGCGGCTGCTTCCGATGTAGAGCATGCCGAACGTGGCAGAATGCCATGTTCAGTGAGGAAATTGCATAATCAATCGTGGACTACAAAATCCCATGAACCGTCATGCATATCAACATCAAAATAATAGTGACAATAATAATAATAAATAAAAATAAAAACCAATCAAAAACGTCAACATATCACTTGATACAGTCACGTTGGTCCACGTAAACGTCAAAACTGCATTGTCTTTTTATTTAAAGTCGCCTTGGAAAGTCCAACCTCGCATGTCGTGTTTTTCCCTTTCCGTGGCAACGGACCCTCGTGGTCCGTTGCGTTTATCAGTCAGGGGTATGCCACCACAGCAATCTCCATTGGCTTCCCATTTTCGCATTGTACTACGGCGTTCTCTGTATGTCTCTGCATGGAGGATGTCGTCCGTTGTAGAGAGTACTGGCTACACTGTCAATGCTGTCTTTTGTTTCCTCCAGCGGCATTCATATCGTTGTGTCGCACATTCAAGGTTTAGCGCGTGTTTGCGTCTTTCTTTCGTGCACGCCTCTGATTCGGCACTCCACAAAAGAGGAGAAGAGGAGAAGGGAGAGGAGGAGAACCGGCGCGAGCGTAATTCGTATGCAGCAGCCATTATGCATATTTCTACAAGGCTGGTCTGGATGCTCATCGCGTCTCGCATGGAAGGGAGATGAGGTCTAGATCCAGCTCGTTGTGGAGAAGAGTGGGCATGCAACACCCCGGCAGACGAGAACCAATTTTAACCTTTGTGAATGCAGTAGATGACCTCGACGAAATATCCCCTTCTCACGTCCGCCTCAGCAACATCCCGTCAACCCAGGTGTCTCCTCACATGCCCTCACGAACCCCCGTTTCGCTAGTCCGCTTTTGGGGGACACGGAGAGGACGAGTCCGGACCTTGATGGGCGGGGCGTCCGAGCTGGAGGATGCAGATGCAGATAAATGCACCAATGGAGCGTCTCGATTTTACTCTTTAGTACCTTTGTGTAAGGAGACTTTTGTTTACTTTGCAACTTTACGCACGATGTTTTTTTGTATGGTTTTCTTTTTGTCTCGGTCCCTGGCCAACATCGACTAACTGCAATTACAACTTCTATGCCCGAGCTTCATCCAATCTGTCAACCCAGGGTCTCTGGCCGGGCCAAACAAGGGGCACATCTCTTGGCAGCGGCTGCAGCAATTTCTGTGCCGTCGGATAAGCTACCCACGCGAGCCGTCTGCGAACGCCACATGAAAAAGACAGCAGAGACATACAGAAACAGATTGTGGTGTCCGTGCCGCGACCAACAGCCTGGATATGGAGCATCAATGCCCAGTGTCTAGCAATCTACACAAGGACGCCAATATATTGACAGCTTAATGAAGGCCCCCTTCTTTAAGAGTCGGATGGTCGAGCTAGCCCAGCCGAGTGGGCAAGGGGAACGCCTGAACGATGTCCCCCACAATCGCGCCGACGAAGGAGCCTGCCAAGACGAGAGAGGACGCCGCGTTCGAGTTTGAGCGTGCAGGACATGGGGTTTGATTGTGCTCCGTTCCCGCCATTTCGGGAGACGACTACGAAAGTATAGATAAAAAGGGAGGGATGCTCACAGTGATAAAGGAGAGCGAGGGCAAGGAAGATCGGCTATTCTTTCCGATGAAAAAGGCAGAGGAGAGAGGCAAGTCGGCAGGAGATCGCGTGAGGGCGCGAGCCAAAAGAGTAATAGTCGACGCGAGCAGCGCACGAGACACAAAAGACGGCATGACGATCCGCGAACAGGAGTCGTTTGAGACCTTGGCGAGAAGACAGGAAAGGGCTCTGAACGTATGTCGGTCGAAATAGGTCGCATGCTCGCTTGAAGCCGAGATGTTGGCAGCCGAGAAGGCGGAAAGCGGTTGTGTCGCTCAAAGTGGTGTCACAATCCGTCGGTGTGCCCTGCCAGCCTGTCATCTGTGTGTGCGCCTCATACCGCAAGAGTGTAGTACTCTGTCCTCTGTCTGTACCTGCGTACCCATCTTTGACCTTTCCGTTTATGGTCCCTCGGAGGAGGGCTGTCCGTGGCCCGGAAAGGCAATGTTGGTGTAATTGGAGACTACAACGACAGCTCGAGGAAGTGGACGTAGCTTTTACGTGCAAACTGGGATGAAAATAAACAGAAAAGGAAATGACGAGAAAAGACAAGCAAAAACAGTCTTTGTGATGCGGCTCGGAGAGACGCACAGGTTTCCCGCGAGGCCCCATTGCTGAAACATTCGACTGCAGCCGAGAAGAGCCCGTCTTTTTTGCAGACTGATTGCCCATACCTACAGCATAATGCTTCTGGCTGGGACGTCCAATATCTGATCGTCATATATTTGTATCCCCCGTCTCCCCGTCTCCTTTTCTTTGCTCTTGCTCCGTTCTTCTCGTCTCTCCAGGTCGCCCCGTCACGAACATCATCCACTGCACGATTCGACCGCTACGACATCGACATCGGACAACCACCAAGTATCCTACACGTCACGACACAATGTCCACCGAAAAAGAGGAGGCCGCGCAGGCCGTGGGCTTGGAGACGACCGAGAAGAGCCACTACCCGGAAGTGAGCACGGGCACGGGCGAGACGGCGGCCATTGCGGGTGCCCAAGCCCGGACGGTGCACAATGTGAGTGTCGTCCCGTGTCTGTCGTCTCGTGTCTGTCGTCTTGTGTATGTCGTCTTCTGTCCGTCCCTCTAACAAACTAGGCCGAACTGTATGCTGCTCTGCAGGAGACCAAGCTCAAGGCCTGGAGCAAAGAGTCCCGGAAGCTGTACTGTATGTAACTGGGGCGCAGCAACCCACCGTCGAACTCACACTCTGTCGAGGTATCCAAACTGACAGCACAGTCGCCATCCTCATTGCCTTTTGCTGTGCCTGTGCCAACGGCTACGACAGTACGTGCCTCCTCTCTGATGCATTGATAGCACGCACAACTGTGGTACACATATGCTGACACGGTCGACAGCCTCGCTCATGACGGGCATTCTGGCCATGCCCCACTTCCAAAACGTGTTCAAAACGGGCACCACCGGCACAAAAGTCTCTGTCATGTTTTCACTGTACACTGTGTAAGGCTTTCTTCTTTCTTCTTTCCTCTTTCCCGTCTCCCTTATCGCTGACCGTTTAGTGGCGCCATGGTCGGCTCGCCGTTTGCTGCCATCCTGTCGGACCGCTTCGGCCGTCGCAAGGGCATGTTTGCCGGCGGCTGGGTGATTATCATCGGCATGATTATTGCGTCGACGGCGTCGACGCTGGCGCAGTTTATTGTCGGCCGCTTCGTGCTCGGCGTGGGCATCTCCATCATGACGGTGGCGGCGCCGGCGTACGCCGTGGAGATTGCGCCGCCGCACTGGCGCGGGCGGTGCACGGGCTTCTACAACTGCGGGTGGTTCGGCGGCAGCATCCCGGCGGCGGCGATTACGTTTGGCAGCAACTACATGGACAACAACTACTCGTGGCGCATCCCGCTGATCCTGCAGGCGTTTGCGTGCCTGCTGGTCATCTGCTCGGTGTGGTTCCTGCCCGAGTCGCCGCGGTTCCTGATGGCCAACGGGCGCGACGCCGAGGCGGTCGCGTTCCTGGCCGCGTACCACGGCAACGGCAACGCGCAGTCGCGGCTCGTGCTGCTCGAGGTCGAGGAGATGCGCGACAGCATCCGCCAGGACGGCATCGACAAGAGCGCCTGGGACTACCGCCCCTTTTTCTTGACGCACGCCGGCCGCTGGCGCATGGCCCAGGTGCTCATGATTTCCATCTTTGGCCAGTTCTCCGGCAACGGCCTCGGCTACTTTAACACGGTCATCTTCAACAACATTGGCGTCACCAGCGTCCCCCAGCAGCTCGGCTACAACCTGCTCAACGCCGTCCTGTCCGCCGTCGGCGCCCTCACCGCCGTCTGCTTCACCGACCGCATGCCCCGCCGCACCGTCCTCGTCTACGGCACCCTCGCCTGCGCCGCCGCGCTCGCCTGCAACTCGGGCCTGTCCGCCGCGCTCGACAAGCAGTCCGCCAGCGCCGCCGGCGTGCAGACGTCCTACGCCCAGGGCGCGCTCGCCGCCTACTTTTTGTTCAACATCATCTTCTCCTTCACCTACACGCCGCTGCAGGGCGCCATCCCCACCGAGGCCCTCGAGACCACCACCCGCGCCAAGGGCCTGGCGGCGTCCAGCATCATTGTCAACGCCGTCGGCTTCATCAACCAGTTTGCCGGTCCCGTCGCCCTCGGCAACATTGGCTACAAGTACATTTACATCTTTGTCGGCTGGGACGTGGTCGAGGCGGGGTTGTGGTATCTATTTGGGTATGTATTGTCTTTCTTTTTTCTCCTCGTTCGCTTCGCTCCCTCGCTCTTTTTTTTTCTCCTCGTTCGCTTCGCTCCCTCGCTCTTTTTTTTCTCCTCGTTCGCTTCGCTCCCTCGCTCTTTTTTTTCTCCTCGTTCGCTTCGCTCCCTCGCTCTTCCTCTCTTTCTCGTTCGCTTCGCTCACTCTCCAGCGTCGAATCTCAAGGCCGTACCCTCGAGCAGCTCGAGTGGGTCTACAACCAGCCCAACCCCGTCAAGGCCTCCCTCCAGGTCGACAAGGTGATCATCCAGGCCGACGGCACCGTCACCGAAAAGGTCGTTTCGTCGCCGTCTGCGTAAATGTGATCAGAGCACAATATTGGAGAGAATAATGTCGGAACAAAGGGAGAGAGAAGGCATGGGAGGTCTGGGGACACAGTGTGGGACGATCGACGCCATAATTGGATTGTGAAGGGACGTGTATGTCGACACATTTAAGCTGCACGGTCGTATTCTGTAATTAGTGGTAATAGGAGAGTAGGTGGTAGTCAATATTTCTCTGTGAATGGACCATCCTTCATGTTGTGTGTTGACGTTCTGTGTGGTAGTGTGCCTGCCCGATTCGGCAATCTTGATTTAGGCAGCCAACCAGGCACTCAGCCCTAATTCGACACACCAAAAGGCCTGACGCCCCTAACCTGAAGCAAACATCACAACAAACACGACTGTTTGACCAACATCACAATCTCATCTCTTTCCACCCACACACTACAAGCACATCCACACAAAGACGCCGGACATGGCCCCCTCCAGACAACAACGTATCCTCGGCGCACTGCTCGGCGTCCACGCCGGCGACAGCTTCGGCGCCGCGCACGAGTTCCAGAGCTGGGACGCCATCCGCAAGAGCTTTCCGCCCAACGGCCGCATCCCGCGGGCCATTACAGGCGGCGGCCCCTTTCACTGGTCGCCGGGGCATGCCACCGACGACACGGACATGACGCGGGCGGTCCTCTTGGCGTACCGCGAGGCGAACCGGAGCGGCGGCGACACGGACACGTTTCTGTCGGTCAGCCAGGCTGCGGGCAAGCACATGCTGCAGTGGTTCTCGGGCGATGGGTGGCCGGGGCGGCCGGACGGGACGCGGCCCAAGGACGTGGGCGGGGCGACGGCCGACGGGCTGCACCGGTTTGCCCGCCAGGCGAAGCGGGACCCGCGGCGAGCCGGTGCGGGCGCCGGGCGGTGCGGCAACGGCAGCCTGATGCGGTGCATCCCGACGGCGCTGTTTGCGCGCGACCACGTGCGGCTGCTGCAGGAGACGGCGCTGATCTCGGCGATTACGCACGACGACGGGCGGTGCGTCCTGGCGTGCGTGGCGTACAACGTCATGGTGCGGGCGCTGGTGGGGGACGACGCCACGGAAGCGACGGAGGCGACGACGCCGGCCGCGGCGGTCCAGCGCGCGCTGGACGTCCTGCGGGACCCCACGACGACCGACGTCATCGTGGCGGCCCTGACGGGCGACGACGGCCGTCCACCGCCCGACACGTCAGCAAGGTCCACGCTCGCCGCCCACCGCGACGAGGTTGTGGCTGCCATCGACAAGGCCCGCGGCGCCGACTTTGACGTGGGCGTGCTGGCCGACGTCGGCCCGCACAAGGCCGTCCTCGCCAGCGGCGACAAGTGCCTCCGGCTGGCGGGCAACGGCTACGTGCTCGAATCCCTGTCGCTGGCGGTGGCCGCGGTGCTGGACACCCAGCGGTCGTGGGAGGACCTGATTGTCGACGTGGTCCGCGTGGGCCGCGACACGGACACAAACGGCGCCATTTCCGGCGGCCTGGTGGGTGCGCGCGACGGCGTCGACGCCATTCCCGCCGCGTGGCGAACCAAGCTGCAGTTTCGGCACGAGTTTACAACGTTGGTGGGCACCATGGGGCACGAGTAGGAAGCTACAGCGGTTATGAAGAGTATTCTATTTTTTATTTCAATGTCTCTTTTCTCCCGTGTCCCCCTGCCCCCCTGCCCCCCTGCCCCCTACCCCACCGTGTATCCGTCTGTCCCTTCGTCGGACCGCGTCACCGCGAGCCGGCCGAAATGCGCCTGGATGCCGTCCAGCACCCGCACATTGACCGGCACCACGTCCAGGTTTTGCTGGACCAGCGCCTGCTTCTCCGGCGGCAGCCGTGCCACCACCGCGGCCGGCGGGCCATACACATGCATAAACACGTGGGCACCGCAGGTCGTGCAGAACGGGTGGCCCATGAACCGCCGCGGGCCGAACTGGTAGTCGCGCGTGTGCTGTGCGGCGCCGCGCACGACGACCTGCGCTTTGCGCGCGTATGCGCCGAGCCAGGCGTTGCGCGTGCAGATGCTGCAGTTGTCTTCCTTGAGCGGCATGTCCTGCAGCGGCGCGAGCAGCTCGACGGCCACGGAACCGCAGAGGCAGGCGCCGGTCGAGGGGAGGAGGCCTGCGCGCTCTGGGGGCGTCTCTCCCTCGTCTTGATGGCTGCTTTCGTCCGACGTGGGCGTCTCCACGTAGTCAAACGGGTTCACGTCCCGGATGGCTCGGATGTTCAGCAATCGCCTGCCGATGAGCGGGCCCTTGACATGCGTTCCGAACAGGCCTGTCCCACAGGTTTGGCAAAACTCGTACGTCAGCAAGCCGGAGCGGTAGACAGACAGCTGCCGAGCGTCGTCTGGAGTGCTGTCTGGCGGTGCCTTCGTCGTCAATGCACCGTCTTCGACAACGTGCCAGATGCAACCTTGCTTCGTGCATGCGACGCAGGTGCACGACACAGTGGGGAGGCGGTTGTCTTTGTCGTGTGTCGTGTCGTCGCCGCCGACCTGCAGCTCGAATCGATGCCGACCGCAGTGGCAATTTCCGTGATGCAACATGCTGTGGTGTGTTGGATGGAGAAATTGAAAAAGAAGACTGGAAACGAAACACCGGGCAGCGGTCCAGGTACGTTATCTTGTTATCTGCGGCCCAGCATCCAAATGTCGAGCGAGAGACCATCCTGGATCATCCTTTATCATCCCACGTTACCGCGATTGCGGGGAAGGAGGGCAAGACACCGCCACCGGCCGACGTTCCGTCTGAGCCGTGCTGGACGTCAGTGTGCCATGTCTGTCATGATTGGTTGTTGAGTGGTTGATGTTGACGGTCTGAAGTCGACAAAAAAGGACAGAGGCGATAAAAAAAAGACAAAAAAAAAGATAAAAAAAAGACCTCAACCACACAAGGGATCACAAATTTACACTTTCCTTATCGACGTCTCTCCCATTAGTCCATTGGCTCGCATCCAAAGAACAAATCTGTGTCTGGCTGTCGAATATCGGTTATTTCCTGCCACGTCCACGACTCCACGACCTGTCGGGTTAATACAAACGAAATAGACGTGGCCCGGCTGATCAGAACCGACCAGAACACCGCAATCTATTTATTCGCATCCGTCACGCGCCGCGCCCCATCCCAACACAGGGCGTCATTTAGCCACGGGCTTGGTATTGTTTGTGTCCAGCGGGCCCTGCTGCTGCCAGTGGAACGTCCCAGGAAACGTGTGTCCCGTGTCCGGGCATTGCTTCCACACGTCTGCACACAGACTGTAGCCCAGCCTGGACGTTACGACTCTGGAGGGAACAATATTGCAAAAGCTTGTTTATTTTTGTCAGCCATCTTCTCGGAACATGGGGACGAAACGGACACTGCAACGTCAACGTTCACTCAAACACTACGTCGACGTGCAGCCGCCGTGACGGATGACCGAACTCGTAACGACGTTCCCTTTTACTGCGAAGCGTCAGGTGTCGCCCGTTCATATATTATGCCTGGTAAGCACACAGAGACGGCATACGAACACCGTTTTATTTTATTTTATTTTATTTTATATTGTATTTCCTGTCCTCTTTCATTCGTTTCGATTTCTTCCATCTGCCAGCCTTTCGAGCTGAGACCACACCACTCTCACCATGGCCTCTCGTCGCCGTCTCTTCGCCCTTCTTGCGCTCTCATTTCCTATTCTTCCTACCACCGTCGCCGCCACTGCCGCCGCTGCCGCCGACATCACCTGCACGTTGACGGTCGCGGCCCAACCCGGCGACACCTGCGCATCTCTCGCGGCAACATGGGGCATCTCCGTGACGACATTTCTGCAGAACAACCCGGGCATCACGAGCTGCTCCAAGCTGGACGTCGGCGGCAGCTACTGCATTGATGCCGATGCCCATTCTGGGTCGCCACCGGCAACAAAGCCAACGACAAAGCCAACGACTGTCAGCACAAGCAAAGGCGGCAGCCCGACAACAAGCAGCGGAGGCGGAAGCACAAGCATACCACCGGCCGCGGGCGGCACAGTCAGCACCGACGGCACGTGCGGCACGGCCAGCGGGCATGCCATCACCTGTGCCGGCTCGTCGTTTGGGTCGTGCTGCTCGGCCCACGGCTGGTGCGGGAGCTCGGCGGACCACTGCGGCGCCGGGTGCAACGCAGCGTTTGGCAGCTGCAGCGGGGCGCCCGGCGGTGGAAATGGGAACGGAAACGGGACGGCGACCACCGCGCCGCCAGAAACGACGTCGCCGAGCGTCACAGAGATTACGCAGGTGCACACGGCCTGGACGACGCTGACGACGACGACAACCGTCACCAACACGGCGTATGCCACCAACACGGCCGCCGCCACGAAGACAACAACAGCCGTCGTGACCAACACGGCTGTGGTCACCAACACGGCCGTGATCACCAGGACGACCCTGTTCCCAGTCACCACGACGCAGACGCAGGTCACCACGCAGACGGTGCAGACCACCCACCTCATCACGCGCACCACGACCGCCACACAGACCCGCATCGACACGTCCGTCATCACCACCATCACGACAATCACACTGGTGCTTTCCGTCACCGACAAGGGCCGCGTGCCGGGGCCGACCTTGTCCCTGACTCTGGGTCCCCGGGACGCGGCGGCTCAGCACCCGACAGAAAGAACAGAACCGACTGAACCGACCGCAGCCGCCCGCGTAGAGGCGGCTTGCTGTGGCACGCAGACAATCTCGTGCGCCGCCACGACGCCGGGTCTGGCCGTCTCCGAGCAGCAGGCCGTGGCGTCACTGGCCAGCCGGGCGGCGCTGGCGATGCCGGGCATGGATGTCTGCTGCGGCGTGCTGTACAATTGCGGGAGCGCATGAGGCGAGTACAGGTAGAACGGGAATGTAAACGTTATGCTCATTCATATATGACGGAACGCGACAGTGTTTGTGCTCTGCAGAATTAATTCAATTGTTTTATTTCAGCGCCGTCCGTCCTCAAGGGCGCCTCGCTGTTCCTTTTGTGAGTTGAAATAGAAAGCCATATTGCGTGAATTTGTTCTCTTTTCGGAAAAGAAAGAAAGTACATAGAATTCTTACATTTCTATTTTTATTACATTTCTATTTTTATACATTTCTATTTGTATTTATATGTTCATATCATTTATTTATAGAATAAAAAAACACAATAAATCAACGATGATAAAAGAGACGCATTGACATGATATCAGAATCAAAGAATTGAAAAGTACTTAGTTAATATGTAACATAGAGTCGTGAAAAACCGCAATGTTTCGCCGTTGAGGTGGAATGGAAATCAAAAGTGACCACACACTCGCATTCCAGAAACGCCACTACACAAACGACATGCATTCCTGCCACGCAAGTAAACAAAGCGATGGGATGGAAGATAGCAAAAAACAATAAACCTTTTCTTTTTGGACACACATTCTAAAGGGTATCTGGACGAGGAGGGAGGAGACAACAACAAAAACGCAGAAAACGGAAACGAGAAATCTTTCGACATAAACCAAAGATGAGGGGCGCTGTCATACATCAAATCAACACGAAACGGTCAAGAAACAAGGGCGCTTTCCAATACACCGGCTAGACAAGAAAAGACAGGATGAACACAACAAAAACACAGCGACATTGAAACCGGTGTCGACCACCACACCTCTGCAACAATTCACATCGCCAACAACCACTCCCATCATCCCAACCACACACAAACGCTATGCCCAGCCCAGCATCGCGAGCGTCGTGCGCACATCCGAGTTGCTGAGGCTGGCCACGCCCAGGGACCGCACCTGCGTGCCCTGGCGCAGCCGCTGCAGGCCCTTGGACACCTTCCAGGCCTCTTCCTGGTCGAGCACAAACAGGAACCGCTTGCCCTCCTGGTCGCGCACGGTCGCGCGCACGAGGTGCAGCCCCTTGGTCTTGAACTCGCCATTCTGTTCAAATTTAGTACGGGCCGCGGAGTGGGAAGAAGCAGACGACGCAGAAGCAGACACAGAATCATCAAATGCAGAGGGGTGGACCGTCTCGCAGAGCCCTAGGCCGCACAGCGCCTTGCACTCCCGCAGCATGTCGGCGAGATAGGCGTCGGCTTGCTCGTCCGTCAGCGGCCGCGGCTCGCCCCGCACGCCGCCGGCGCCCGAAAACGCCTTGCGCCAGGCGGCACGCGGCAGGAACGTGGCGTTGTTGACGTTGGCGGCCGAGGGCTTGACAGAATTGATGTGGTCGTTCGCAGCAGAATTCGCAAGAGCAACAGCATGCGCGGGGCACCATACCTCTACCAGCTTCAGGGTCCACGCTTTCACGTCCCATTCGCGCTGGGGGACGCCGCGGACATCGTCGTCAATAAACAGGCCCTCCGTCGTGATGCGCAGGATGAGTCCGTCCGTCACGGAACCCACGCCCGACAGCAGCTGCGACGAGGGTGTCTTGGCAAACTGGTTCAAAAAGCCGTACACCGCGCGGATGACAATCTTGTCGGGATCGTTCGTCGTGTACGGCTGCCGCATCGACGGCGGTGGCGACGTGTGGGCCGTGGAATGAGACGGCGCCCAAGACGATTCGGACAAGTCGGAGATGGACTTTTTGCGTACCGGCTGCGGCCTCTTCGGCTTGTCGTACGGTCGGTACGAATACGTCTCTTCTTCGTCTTGCACACGAGCTTTCTTGGACGGGCCGGCCGAGGACGGGGCAGGGCCGGGCTTGCGGGGGGACGCACCGCCGTAGGAGGACTGCCCACCGGTCGTTGGAGGTGGGGCTGATCGGGGGGCCTGTGCTCCAGCAGGGGACGAAGACGGCGCAACAGACGGAGGCACCGGTGGCTTGCCGTTGGGCCAGGGGTTGGTCCGTTCGCCCACGGCCGAGAAGGCATACGAGCTGCCCTTTCGGTTGATGCGGTCAAGCTCCTTCTGGCGCTCCTCGTCTTCTTTGGCTTTGCGCGCCTTTTCCTTCTCAGCAAGCTCGCGTGCGGCACGTTCGATTTGTTCGCGGATGTCGTTTGCGTGTCGTTCCTGTTCTGCCTTTTCACGTTGTTCCTTATCTCGTCCTTCCTGTTCAATCTTGGCGCGGAGTTCCTTTTCCAGTTGCTCTCGCTGGGCTTTGAGCTCCTTTTCGCGGTTTTCTCGTTCGGTGCGTTCACGCATCTCTCGCTCGCGAGTCTCTCTGAGCTCGCGCTCTCGTTTGTCTTTGTCTTCGCGTTCACGGCGGTCGCGTGCCTCACGTTCTCGTGCTTCTCGTTCACGAATTACGCGAAGCCTGGCGGCAGTTTCTTCTCGTCGTTTCTTTTCGGCCTCTTGTGCCTTACGCTCTTCCTCTTTTCGCCGAGTCTCTTCGCGCGCCTTTTGCCATGCATTCTTGGCCGACTCAGCTCCCGGAGTGCTTGGTTGCGCCTTCGGTCGGGGAGCCTGCCGTTGGTAGTTTTGCTGTTGGCTTTGCTGCCATGTTGGCTTAGGCTGCTCGGATCCAGATTGTTGTTGCTGTTGTTGTTGGCCCGGTTGTGGAGGTGGTTGCGTCGGAGGCGGATCTTGTGTGGGAGGAGGCGGCGCTTGCTTCGGCTGCTCGGACTCGGATTCTTGAGGCGGAGGAGGTGGTGGAGAGGATTGCTGCGGTGGTGGTGCAGAGTTGTACCCGTGATGTCCACCGCCGGCACTGCCGTGGCCACTCTGATGACCGCTTTGATGGTGGGCGCCTCCATTTGTGCCAGCACCGGCACCCTGCCCAGGCGAACTAGGACCAGAGCCGGGCGAGCCGCTTCGAGACGATCCTTGGTTGCTGCCAGTGCCTTCATTTGACTGTGGGCCGTCGTGTTGAATCCGGCCCAATGACCACGCTCCCAGTCCGACGGCGATGACCAGCATTGCCAACCCTACGTTTCCCATGCCCTGAAAGTTGGCCCACCAGGCGCGGAAAGCGGGTGCCATGCTGTTGCCGAGTGCGACAATAGCCAAGGCACTCGCGAAGCCGGCAACAAAGCTGTTGATATTCGGCCGCATCGAGGGGAGGTATATGAAGCCGGAACCGGCCGAGTGTTCTGGGATGACAAAAATGTCATAGTTGCCCGGCGGTAGTCCGCTGCCGCCGCTTCCGCCCGTTGTCTTGGGCGCCTCGCCATGCGGCGGAGGCGGGGGCGGAGCGCTCATTTTTGGGCAGGACGCAGTCGATTCAGAGTGTTGGCTGCTGGACGGGTTGCCCGACGGCGGTGTTCTGGTGCGTGAAGCAGGGTCTTGACCAGGTCAAGATTACACCGAGAGAGTTGACGAGACGGGTATTTGTTGTCGTCAAGCGGGCTTGTTGGCCGTGCGAAGAGAGCCTTCGGTCTGGAGTCGACTGGCTACGTTAAGAGAAGTTGTGGAACGAGACGAGGATCGTGTGACCACAGTTGAGAGCGGAGGAGGATTGAGATGAGAGCTTCGTCGAGACCGAGGAACTCGAAAAGGAAAGTCTAAAGGTATCTATGGTAGGTCATGCAAGAGGCGGAGTAAGCTCGACGTGAGATCGTGACAGGTCGTGAGAGAGTATTGCAGAGAAGTCTGGTGAAGCACGAAAGACAGGCGTCAGCTTGTTGGTCTCACAAAAGCAAGGTACCCGATGCAGGCCCGCAACCTGGCCGCGTTCTGCCATCTGCCGTACCGGCGCACAACGTCAAGGCTAAGCCAGACCAGGCAGCTTTGGCCGTGACGGTGAAATAGTTAGGGAAGGGTGAGGACGACGAGGAAGGTACTCACGCAACGGGGAGGAACGCCAGGCACCGTTGGAAATGCGATAAGAAGAACAATGTGAGAATGAAACAACAGGCAAGGACAAGCAGCAACACGCAAGACAATGGCAATCGGCTGGCCTGGCAAGGATTAAAAGATGAGTATCAAACGAAGAAGGGGGGCATGCAAATGCTAACGAGTCTTTTTTTTGGGTCCGGTTTGTCGAGATCTAGGAGAGAGAAAAAAAGAAACGAGGAGTCAGTATGGAGAGCAAGGAGAAAGTTTGAGAGATGTGGCTCGGCCTCTCAGCAAGAGGGAAGAAAAGGGCCACGGAGTCAACGGAACCGAAAAAGGAAAACAATGGGGAGGGCGGGTCATGGACAATAGCGACGGCCATGAAGATGACGGGCGACGACAACAGACGACGGCAGAGACGTCGACAACGATGTCCACACCCAAGAGACCCTGTCGAATGAAAGAGTGGCTTGCCTCGCGGGTTTGTTTTGGCTGCACATACTATTGGAGAGAAGCTGGCATTGTGGGACGATGGTGAGCCACTCTGCGTTGTTCTCTGGGGGGGTGTGGTTGAGCAATGCGTCGAGTCGGGGGACGTACGAATAGTCGACGAGAGGGAAGTCAGCGAGGGTGGCGACGGTGACGAAGACGACGAGGATTGGCGAGGAACAACGAGGATTGACGAAGATTGACGAGGATTGACGACGACGGCGACGAGAGCGGACGGAAGAGGGTCGCAGTCGCTGGATCGCTTCGTTGAGCGAGAAACGGTGGAAGAATGGAGTCAAGACGGAGACGAGGAGGGAAAATAGAGGACCACCTTACCTTTGTTGCGAGGGTGAGAGGGAATGGAAGTGGAGGCAAAGAAAGGCACAAGAGGGTCAATATTAATCTGTGAATAACGGACGGGTCAGGATTCGGAAAGGAGTGACGAAAAAGGGGCGTGCAACTGTTCTTGCCCGAAAGAGAATGGAACAATGTGGTATGCTGTCGACGAGGAAAGAAGACAAAAGTGAATGCTGCGGCAGGTGCGACACAATGCGACGAAGCTCTTTCCTTTGACATGCGCAGTGCTCACTCTCTCCTTCCCAGTTGATGTTTTGTGGCGTCGTTGTCGTTGCTTCCTTCCTCTCTCGTGTGTTTGTGTTTACTTTTGCGGTGGGTTGCCGACAAATAGGCAGCGTCCGTCTCTCTTTAGCAGCACATGGGACAGAAAGCGGGGCGCGCTAGTCGCGGGTTTGCGCGTAATTAGTGGACGTTTTCTGTGTTTTCCATTGAGCGTTTTTAGGTGTCTGTCGAGCGCTGTCAGTTTGGACAGGCCCTAAAAGGAGAAAAGCGGTGCTGAAACAGGCTAGTGTTGAATGCAGGACCTCCAGATAACCACGAATGGACCCCTAGTATGACTCTCTTTTCCATTTTGACAGTTGCTGTGAAGTATCTTAAGATACGAAGTACATCGTAAGATACATCGTACGGATGGCATTGGGTGGTCTATGTAAAAGTACCGTGAAGTCTTTCAAGCAGGCAAGTTGTCAGCTTATGCGTCATGTAAGCAGTATCTTCCAACTTGACGCGCTGTCATTTTTGAATAGACCAGGACCTGAATTCGACAAGAAGGACTCAAATTGTCCGTGGCAAGGCAATCTTCGCTGTACGGATAAAACACGTCTGTACCTGGGCCAGCTTTATTGTCGACCGTGTCTCTCTTTGACTGCTGTCAAGCATGTGGAACCTGGGCGTGGCAGGCGTTGTCTTCGGGTGGCCAACCGGACCAGTGCCCTTTTTTATGACGGGTCGTTTTAGGCACCAGTTTTTAGTTATTGTGACACGGCTGTTGTGGAAAGCCAGGAGCTGTGTGAATAGCAGTGACGGACAAGCATCCTGGACATCGAATTGCTGTGCTATTGCCAGTTCGCCCACAGCATTTCACTCCGTTTCGTCATTGTTCGCTGCCGTTCCCCTCTCTTCTTGCATCGTGCATCACGACTAATGCGCGCCGTGACGATGCATATCGTGGCCGTGGATTTGACTGGTCGAAGCGGCAGAATGTCAACAAATGGCTGCAGAAACTGCGCAGAAAGTCAACAACCCAGTGCTGCAAGCCCGGACGAGAACTGCAAAGCACGAAAGTCAAGCGAACAAGCGGTCAATGTTGGAAGGGAAACGGCGTCACGACAACGGTTTGCAGCCAGGTGAACAGAACATCGTGAACCGTTCCGCCGATGCTCTTTGCCAATTTTCGTCCCGCTCCCAAATAATCTTACAAAAGCCTAAACTGGTCGTCATCTCTCGTTGTACCATTGTACCGGTGGCTGTTCCGACCACCAGCACCCAAATTTACCATGTAATATATCGCAACCGTTGAGAAACAGATTGCCTACCGCTGCCCGAACGAACACGACCGTGCCCAGGCAACCAGTCAAAACGGACAGTACAAATATTCTGCAGACGCTGTGCAGGGGTCGAAAAGGACGAACAAGTCACATCTTGGCCAAAAGTTTGGGTTGTTTTCATGACCAAATCTCGTCCTACTAGCCAGTCGTTTGGTACCGAAAGGGACGCAAATCGTCTCGCTTTCTTCTCGTGGTGCACTTGTGTCCTTTTCCTGGGCTTTATTTGCCTATCAATCCGCTTGTAACAGGGGTTCTTGCAGGGAAGCGGATGTTAGGAGACGTGGTGGCATGCCAGCCGCCAGTCACAGCCAGCATTGCAATCGAAAACAAAATGTTCTCGAAAAACAGATGTCTTGCGCGCGAGCTTTGTCTCTGACAATCTTGCTTGCTTCCTTTTTGACATTAGGCCTGCGCTAAATGTAAGGCTCCACTACTTCGTACATCACACCGTGAATTGCTGTCCATAGTTATCTCGTTGCCTAGCAACGGACGCGCTTTAGGTCCATTTTGGGCCAACGTGTAGCCAACTCTTTGCTTCCATTCATCGCCCGGGACGCTCCTTTCCTCTTTGAACCCGCTCTGCCGGAACACAAACTGGACACGAAAGAACAAGTCGAAGTCTGAGAAGCAAGACCCTTGCTCGTTTTGAAGCTATTTCCTAGACAATATGTGGTGTCTTTGGTGAACCCTGACTCCATGGCAAAGGAATGTTCCAAGTATTTAATTCCGCGCCGCAGCGGCCCGGCGCCGCCACTTTTCTGGCTCCCAAAACCCACCGTTGACAACCACTCTCGAGCATTGTTCAGTTTCCGCACTCCGTGCAGGGTGTCAGGTTCCCCTTGCTCTTGACACTGACAGCCGTAAACCAGTCATGCTAGACTCTTTCGTTGTTTCCCCATCGTCGCATTCTACGAAAATATGTGTTTCATTCATAGTGACCGGTATGCAATGAGGTTCTCTTTGTTTCATAGTCACAATTTTCCCAGCAAATTGTATGACGTATACATGTGGACAAGGACGTGCTACAGTCAACTGTTGTTACCGCCCTGTCAATGTTGCAGATAGATGGCGGGATAGGATTTGCGACCGCCAAACTTCCGGTTCGCACGGGCAGTCCTGCAACATCAGACAGCTGTTCGGTGGTTGGCACTTTGGCGAAGAGAACAGTAGAGGCTTGTTGCACAGATTTGGGAGGGTAGAATAAATTGCATGCATATGCAAGGTGGATCATCCCGTCCCATCCTTATGACGTCGCGCTGGAGGTCGTGTGCAGCATCACGTATTCTGAGAAGACTGGACAAGTCAAATGGTATCAAAATAGTCGCAGTATGATTGCTATGGTCCTGTATAAATATACAGGGTATTTTTGCTTGCTATGCCGGCCGAAAACAAATAGGACTTCCCCGACATGGAAGAACATGCCTCGAAGGAGAAAAGAGCGAACGTGACTAAGAACAGACGGAAACAGAAACCCGGTAGAAACACCAAACAGAAGCGACTCAGGAACGCAAATGTGCCTCGTAATGTACAGACTGGCTCGTTCCCCGGTCAATTCAACCGCTTGATCCGGTCTTTGGCCACCTTCATCTTGCCCTGCACCCGGTCCGTGTCGTCGCTTAGTTGCTGCAGCATTGGCGCCTGCAGGTCGACCTCCTCCTTGATCGCCAGGCCCAGCTCCCGCTGCCTCTGTACTATCTTGGCCAGCACGTTTACCTCTTCGTCCTGGTCGGCTACTTTTTGTTTCTGCAGCTGCAAAACAGCATCGTTGTTCAGCTCTCGGGTCTGGTCCGTCTCGGGTAGCGGCGCGCCCAGAACGCGGCCGCCACCAAACGAGCGGCCGTTGCCATTGTTGCCATGGCCCACAGCGGCGGATCCAAAGAGGATGGCACGATCTCCTGTAACGGGTGCCGCCCCAGAGCCGGCGATGCTGCCACCGTTGCCGCCGCTGCCGCCTTCGCCATAATTGGACCGTGCACTCGCGAGACTCGCACTCAGCGTCTCTAGCCCATCCCGCTCCACGCGCGCCGCCGCCAGCAAGTCCCGTCGTCGTCGCAGCTCGCCCTCGCCCAGCCGTTTTGTTTCTTGGAGCGTCTTGAGCCCCGTCGTGAGTGCAGTCAGCAGACTCCCCGTCTTGACGAGCTCGCGCTTGGCCGCCGCACCGGCCTCGGCGGCGCCCGACGACACACCGCTGCCGCTGCCGCCGCTGCCACTGCCTGCCGTCAGCGCGGCATCTCGCCGCGCCAGCTGTGCCCGTGCCTCTTTGAGCGCGCTTTTCATCTCCTTGTGCAGGTCGATCCAGGTGCCGGGGTCGCTCGCCGCTGCCGCGTTGGCTGCTGCCAACCCAATAGCGGGTAGGCGACTCTCGGCGGACGCTGCTGGTGTGCCATTGTCTCGCCTCGCCGGCACGATGCCCTGGTTGCTACGCCCGCTGGCCGACGATGAGCCGGCGCCATTCGCGCTGGGCAGGTTCAGGAACGCGCGCCAGACACTGGTGTCGCGCCACCGGCGGTCGGGGGATTCGGCGATGGCGCGGAGGTAGGCTTCGAGGCCGACGCGGCGGTCTTCGGTGAGCTCCTGCGAGGCAATGGTCGATCGGAACCAAGATTTTCCTGGGAGTCGTGACGGTGGTGCTTCACCGACGAGGCTGGTAAGGCTGGCATCGAGAGCTGCAAACTCAGAGTACCGTTTTTGGAACACATAGGACCGCAGGGGCAGTCGGAGCGTGATGTTGTAGAGTGTATAGGCCTTTTCGCCGCCGGACGCCGCAACGGCGGACGTTGTCGGAATGGAGATCTCAATGGGCGGCGCCATGGAGGGCGAGGTGGGAGTTGTTGGAATGCAGATGGTATGAAGAGAGGATGTGGAATGAGGCGAGAAAAGCTCCAAGACAGGCGACGCCAGTGAAACCGGCGATGCCGATAGATGGGAGAAGCGAGAACCAAGCGAATGAAGAAACAATGACGAAAGCTCTCGTGCTTTAAAGGTATCCAGAGGGTTGAGTTAGGCACAGGCGGAGAAGCGAAAGAACAACGCAGCGAACTATACGAACAAAGAGAGCGGGCGATCCGGGCTGGAGATCGATGGTTAGTGATAGCTCAGAGTCGTCGGTTTTGATGTCGTCGGGTAACAGTCGAGATATATATCGATCGAGAAGCAGCACGGTCGTAGATGGAAGCGCGTCCCGGATTTGAAATGAAGAACGAGGAAAGAAAAGCAGGAGGATACATGCACGAGAAGAGAGAGGTGAGGAGAATGGGAGCCTTGACCACAGCCTCTACATCCGTATTTCGTTTCCAATAGGACGAGTCACCAGGGCCTCGAATGTGTTTCCCAAGACGGCAGAAAGTGGAGATTCAGGCGGCGAACATCGACAGTGCTCTTGGGCATTGGTTGCAAGCAGCTTAGCGCCGTATTTTGGCAGGTGGGCGGCTAGACCGGTCTTCCCAGCAGCATGTCTTAGCGAGTGAAAAGCCTCTGACGTAGCTAAAAGCGCCAAAAGCGTCTACTAAAAGTCGCTAACAACCGCTGCAAGGCATCCTCCTTCACCTGTTTCCTAAATGGTAAAGATGACATCGGTGCTGCCCGATTTGGATTTCAGTGCGATGTCACGTGATGTCGTTTACGCGTGAAAACGAGACAACGATCGAACAATTGGCGGCAACAAATAAAAGAGAAGCGTCAGGCATGCTGATGTAGCCTCTATTATTACTCGGTCATATCGTGTTTTTCATCAGTGCCTGATGCGCCTGATACCTATGCACGCCAATGAATGGTGGCACCTTTGTCACCCGCGACTCGTCTTCATCCGCCCGCATTCTCCATCTCTTCGCGGAGCTCTCCAAAGCACATCATACCAAGGGACATATCGCCCGATACAAGACACCCAAGGTATAGTAGTAAAAGAAAAAGTATCGTCCTCCCTTTTGTCACTCCTCACAAGTAGCTGTCGCTGCCCCGGCCGGCTGCTCCGAAGTCGGCTCCGTCGTCGGGACGCGCACCATATTTCGGATGCAGGTCTTGGCGCGCCGTGGGCGTGGCGAGGTCTTCGTTCCAGTCACCTAGAATGTCTCCTGGTCGTCGAGACCGGCCTCCTCGGCGGGGATCTCAAAGCCCTCCTCGGTCGAGTACAGGATCGTCTGGATGTGCTTGACGAGGCCGTCCTCCTGCTTTTCGAGCTCCGGGTCCTCCTCGACCGCCTGCTGGATCAGCAGCTCAATGTCGCGCAGCTTGCTAAAGTAAAAGTCGCGCTCGCGCTCGAGGCCCACGACGGTCTCCTTGAGCGTGTTGTTCTCCTGCTGCAGGGCGGCCGAGCCGGCGCCACCGCCCACGGCCTTGCCGATCCGCGGCCCTGCTGTGGGCGTCGTGCCCCGCCGGACGGCACCTGCCGAGACGGGCGCGCGCGCAGCGCCACCGGCCGAGACTGGGGCGCCCTTCCGCCGCGCGACGGCATCGTAGTCGCCGCCAGGGTAGTGCTGGTCCCAATAGCGCTTGGTCCACTGCAGGAACTCGAGGTTGTCCTGCATCTTGCACTTGACGAGGGCCTGGACGGGGATGGGATGGTCGATTTGGTGCTTCTGGAAGCAGCCTATGCGGGTTAGTCGAGGGACCTCTCCCTACACTCCATCCCATTGTACGCCTTGTCCGTCCTGCACTCACTTTGTAAGACTTTGAAATTTTGTATGTAGGCATATTCCGTGTTGACGTTAAACTTGACGCGCGACATGGGGATGTCGAGGAAGATGCTGTCGAAGACCTGGCACAGGGCGGCTCTGGAGTCGGAGGACACGACGGTCAGTGTCAGGGATCGCGGCACACCGCCTAGCCGCTCACGGGGGACACAGCACAACTTACCCTGTTCCACACTGCTCGACCTTTGTGACGTTGAGCTGCAGGAGGCTGTTCAGCCATTGCACGAGTTCCTGTCTGTGGGATGTGGTCAGCAAGGAGAGCTGTCAAACACCAACACGCGTACGCCACCATGCGCTCAGATTACCGCCGGACACGTTCTTGAAAGAAGGAGCGCCGGACACAAACCCTGATCGCACGAAGCTTTTTGTTCGAGTACTCATCGGGAACGCGGTGAGGAAGTGCGTACCTTGATTCACCCATCGTTGCGGCTAGAAGCGACACGAAGGAAACAACAGAGGAGAGAGAGGAAATATGCCGTCAAGACGAAAGCCGGACAACAGAAACGTTTGGGGTGCGAAAGCGAAAGCGACAAACGCTAGATGACGCAAGTCACGTTAAAAGGGGGCAAGAGGATGTCGCGAAAAAAAAAAAAAAAAAAAAAAAATCGAGAAGGGGTATCGTCTGTCGTCGGCTCGTTGGCAGTATGGCCGTTTGCGGGAGGGTGGTGAAGGATGCAGAAGAAGAAGATAAATCTCGAGATGGGGCTCGTGATAGAGGGAAAAGGCGTGGTAGTTACTTCCGGTTCGCGAAAGGCAGCAGAGGCCTGAAAATGTAGACGGCAGAAAATATGAGGAATTCCACACTTCGCCTGTCCAGTCCTTTCCTTCCGCTTCGGTTCCCAGGCAATCGAATTTCCATCATCGGCCTCGTCCAATCAACAAAACAAGCCAGCTCAACTACAGTGGGGTTGTGGCACATCCCCCCTGGTTCCCCTGTTTTCCAACCGGACGGGCAGCGGCAGACGACCGAGCCACTATTTTCCAGGCAGTGTTTTTATTTATTTATTTTTGACAATTCGTCGCCCCTGCAACAAGTTCCCCTCCCCCGTATGGTGCCCCTCCATTTATTGGTCCGTGCGCAGGGTCATGCATGAAGTCACGTGTAGAAAATATGATGAGTCCCAAATTGGCTTCAGGGCGCACAGGGCATCGGCACGCTATTCTTGACGCTAATTCCGTGACGCTGTATGTTCAGCCTTCTCTTCCAACAGACCAGGATGGTAATGGGCACAGCCTCGTCACGGACACGTATACGTGATTTCACTGGTTTCTTTTTCTCTTCATTTTGTTTTTCTCTTTTCTTTTCTTTTCTTTTCTTTTTTTTTTAAAAAAAAGGCCCCGTTTTGTAGTAAAGGAACGAATTATATGTGTAATCAAAATTTTCTAATGAATTTGTTTTTAAAAAAAACATTGACAATTCCCTTATTTATATCAAGGCACAGCGTTGACAAGTCTGGTTTACGATATGGACTAACCCCATCCCATCATCCGTTCTGTTTTGAACTGATCATGATCTTAGCTCACATTGTGAACTCTCCTTGCTACGGACAAAAGCGGACGGAGGCATTTAAAGTCCAGGTAAGGCTTGACAGTCACATGCTCATGGCGATGTTAAACCTCTTCATATGGCTCAACTTGTTCTATATCGGCCTCCACTAGATGTTGACATTATAATATAAAAGAGGAAGGACTGCATGCCCGAAACAAACACTCCAGGGCCATGGAACACGCGATGTAAATCCGTCATCAGGTAGATATGCACAAGTGCGCAAACACACCTGTCCACCTGTACACAAGATCATACATATGGGCGGAGAAATAAAGTTTTGATCTCGCCAACATTTTTAGGAGATCTTTGTAATATCCTTCCTACGCCTTACACTGCCAGTTGCCTGCTTTGCTGGGAAATGGTTTTTACGCAGCCCAAAACACTTGACAAATTATATAGCTATTGTCAGCTACACAGAAAGTGAAATGCTCTGATGCATCTTATACATATTCAATCCCGTGGACTTGGTCTGTGAGCCCTTTGTCATCGTCTTTTGCGTTGTCCCTGCCATTGACTTTTGTTGTCGGCGCTCCTGAAGAGGAAATCTAAGTCCGACTAGTCCTATTTGGGAATTTAAAATCCGACTTCAGCACTTCCTAATGGGGCAGCCACTGGGTGGTGTAACTTGATTGGCCTGGAAAGAACGACCTTCGCTCATGCCGATGAATATACACATGCCACTTGTCTGACAAACGACCGTTTGTCGCCTTTGATGGATCGGGGAGGAAAGTGCAACCGTCCTGATAATCTGTGCACCTTCCTCCTCCATTGACCCTGAATGTGCGTCGTCGAATGGGGGTAATTGTTTCCCCACCGCCCATTTGCTGAGAAAACCAGCTTCTTCACGATGCACTCCCTTCCCTTTTCCTAATTTATATTCGATGCTCACCAAGATACCTTTTTCCCTTTCCCAATAATATAGCACCTTCAGCTCACTTCATTTTCTACTTGGGTCTCATTTCTGCTCTCCTTTACTCAGGATATTTCCACTTTACTTTTCTTGCAACAATCATCTCAGATCTTCACATCTCAACACGACCCCTGTCGCTTCGCTTTCACTCAACAACAGGATACATACGAGCATCTACATATTCAACTATTCAACAATCGACCGGTCTTCTAAGCAACTAATACGCTTCTCTTCAGTTGAACTCGTTTCATTAGAGCCGTCTTCTATTCGACATACCTCATTCATATCCCATCCCGTGTATCTTCTTTTCAACCACCAGCAGAAGCTGCTTGACATACCCCAAAATGGCGTCTCCCCAAGGGCCAGTCATTGCCACGGACAGGGACATGGAAGCTAACATCCTGAATGATCCCTCACCGACACGCTTGTCCGGTACAGACGCTTCCGGCGCCGACACTTCCGGCGCCGATAGCATCGGCGAAAAGCCGGCCACTGTTCCAGGAACTGCACCTGCCGCGCCACTAGGACCTCCTCCGCCGCCCAATGGTGGCACTCGCGCATGGATGCAGGTTCTCGGTGCCTTCTTCATCAACTTCAATACCTGGGGCATCGTCAACTCGTACGGCGTCTTCCAGTCCTACTACTCGGCCAATTTACTGGCCACATCTACCGAGTCGGCCATCTCGTGGATCGGCAGCATCCAAGCGTTCCTCATGCTCGTCATTGCGGTGTTGTGCGGCCGAGCCCTCGATGCGGGTTACTTTTACACGGACATCCTCATCGGCTCGTTCCTCGAGGTCTTTGGCACCATGATGACCTCGATCTGCAAGGAATACTGGCAGGTCTTCTTGGCCCAGGGCATTGTCGTGGGCATCGGTGCCGGCATGGTCTTCATCCCCGGCGTCGCCATTGTTGGCACCTACTTCTCGACGCGCCGCGCCACCGCCATTGGCATCGCGGCCACCGGCTCGTGCATTGGCGGCATCATCTACCCTATTGCGCTGCGTCGCCTCATCATCAACATCGGCTTCGGCTGGGCCGTCCGCGTCATGGGCTTTTTGATGCTGGCCACGCTTATCATTGCCGTTGCCGTGATGAAGCCGCGCCTGCCGCCACGCAAGTCGGGTCCGCTGATCAACTATGAAGCTCTGCGCGACCCCACGTTTGCCATGTGGCTCGTCGTCATTGTCTTCTCGTTCATCGGCCTCTACGTGCCCTTTTTTTATGTCGAGCAGTACGCCACCCACATCGGCATCGACGCCTCCACGGCCTCGTACATGCTCATCATCATCAACGCCGCGTCCATCCCCGGCCGCATTGTCCCGTCCATGCTCGCCGACAAGTTTGGCAACATGTCCATTCTGATGCCAGCCGTCTTCTTCTCGGGTGTCATCACGGTGGCCTGGATCGCCGTCCACGACGAAGCCGGGATTGTCCTGGTGTCCGTCTTTCTGGGCTTGACCAACGGCTCCATCCAAGCGGTCGTGCCTGCCACCGTGCCCTTCCTGTGCCCGGACTTGACCAAGCTGGGAACGAACCTCGGCATGACGCTTTTCTCGGCCGGCCTGGGCATGCTCATCGGCAGCCCCGTGGCTGGTGCCATTGTGGACCACCAGTCTCGCAGTGGCACGTCCACCGTGTACTGGGGCGCGTTCTTGTTTGCAGGCGTCACGACACTCGCTGGTGCGTTCCTCATCGTCGTGGTGCGGCACATGAAGGTGGGCTTCCGCCTGGTGAAGGCATAAATCTGCGGCGGAGGAGGAAGAATGAATAAGAGAGTAAGAGAGTATAGCAAAAGCATGCTCGAGTCGACTTCCTATCAGGGGTTTTGTACTGTTGCATTTCCTCGGCGTTTGTTCCATTTTTGTCATCGAAAGGATCCTAGTTTGTCTTTTTATTCCGGTTGTGTCTTTAATTAGGGGCATCCTGAATTCCTAATGAGCGTATTTGTTGCGATTTTAACAACAAAATTATTTGAAGAATAGTAAAGTTAACAAAATTGATTTCAATAAAAAACGATGTAAATATTTATTCCAACGACTTAGAAAAAAAAAAATCAGAACAAGAAACATTTTGTATTCAAAAGATATTGTTCATTATCGTGTCATTTGAAAAGTCGAGAAACGACGAATCAAAGTCGCCCATGAGAGTACAATCAAAACTGCTGGGCACGGTGTAGGGAGCAGCCGTCATGTTTGAGCTAAAGTCGAGTCCGAACATGTCGCTGCCACCTGGAGGTACGTTTCCACTAATTCCACCAAACTCGGGCGTTGTGCCTACTGATGAGCCAGTGGCGGACACATCGGAAAGTTGGCCGGGACCACCTCCAGCCAATCCCATTGGTATCCAAGCCTGGGGCGCTGCACTTAGTACTACCATTTGTGGCGGCAGTGTACCCGGAGATATGAGCGGCATGGCAGCTGCAGAAGTGGTGGGCATCATGGACAGCGGACCTGCACCACGGCTTGGTAGCAGTTGAGGAGCTTGGGTCGTGGCTGCAACGTGACTGACGGCGGCCGTCGCGGCAGCGGCATCCTCCATACTGATGGCGGAGTCCCGTTCTCTCGAGGTCGACATGGCCTGATTTGCGTGCTTTTCTAGGGCAGTTTCTATTTCGGCAATCTGCTGCGTGGCCGCCTCGACGCCTTTGTCGTAAATATGATCAAAGTCGGAATAGAGACTATTTGTCACCGCGATGGCGACGGCGACAATCATGCTTGTCTTTGCTGTAACGGGCCCCAGGTGCGACCTGCCGCGCCACAAATCCAGTAGCCCCGACAGAGACTGGGTGAGCATCTGCTGGAAGATGGACGCAGTGTGCTGTTGTCGTGGATGAACTGAAAATGCCATCGTCTTATCAACGTCATGGCGCCGAAGACGGCCAACAACAACACAGCCAATAAGCGCTGCTCGGCCAGCATCCGTCCACATCAAATGCTGGGTCATGGTGCTGGCGTCACTGGCCGCCGTGTTCGGGTAGTCGGACAATTGCAGAGACGCTAGACTTGATGTTGACTTTGAACTAGCCCTCGACGCCCGTCCATCGCATTTTTTTTGCGAAAGAGACTGGAACTGGGTCAATATGGACGTTGTGTAGTCCCAGATCTCAAGAAGCCGAGGGCGTTGTGTGGCGAGATCGTCGGACGGAACCAGCTCAGCCGCCGAGTTGGACAAGATGTAGCTCGTCGACACAACGAGAAGAAAGCTGTGTATACCAACGGATATCAGGCTGCGCTGTAGTTCGACCGTAGGATCTGACACCGGTATCCCGGCCTGGAGGCTTGTTGGGAGCTCTTCTGCAAGGGAGGCGAAGCCACGCTGCAACAGGTCTTGTTGCTCAGTGTTGACTTGTGGTTTAGCCGAACACAAGACTTGGTGAATCGGGACCACAACGTTGGCCAACTTGGCGGAGGCGTAGTTGAACGAAGCATCGTTCTGCGCACTCTCGTCGTCCACTGTCCACTCTCTCAAACATTTGCTGATGTTCTCGTCGACCGGCATGGCGGCCAAGGAGGCCTTTAGCACACTGGCCGAGGGCAAGGGGCAGTCGATATCGTCCAGGCGCAGATTTAGTTGAGACCCGGTGCGTATGCAGTATGCGAGGTGCAGCCGCAAATAGCACGCCCAAAGCCGTTTTCGTTGCTCTATGAAGTAGGGCGACGCACCCGGAAATATTTCTGGGTTGCGGTGGAGCCCCATTCTCGTAACGATGTTGCTCGTCAGTCCGAGAAGGCCCATGCAGTCGTATTCTCCATCGATCTCGGAGCCCATGACAGTTCTGACAAGAATGAGCTGCAAAAGAACCTGCAGACTTCCCGTGCAGGGCTTTTGCACGCGGGAAGCACGTCGAACAAATTCCTCAACAAGGCATGCCAACTGGCGGCCATGGACACGATTGGCCTCTGACATTTGCATGCCGAGAGCCACCGTCACGAGAATCCGGAGCAGGTAGACAGAGTCCATCGCAGTAGCGTATTCACGTCGTTCCTCTGTCGAACAAGAGAAGGCGTTGTGCAAATCGCATGCCAACGTACCCGGGTCCACTATGTCGAAGATACGGCCATAGCTGCGGAAAAAGCGGCCAATCCACAGTTCACACGACGTCCTGTCCGGAAGCACAGAAAAAAGAAAGGAAGCGGTCATCCCGCCATGGGCTGCTAGACAGCCTGGAGGCAACAGGGTCATACCGGTGTTCGCAAGACGTAGCCGTTCCTTCAGGTCGGCAAACTCTCTCATACACGCATCGAAGCCGTGTGTTTGGTTGATCATGGCATTGATGACCATCATCTCGTTGCACGGGGCCATCCAGTGGCTGACACCGATGAGGCGCGTCTTGCGGTTGGATACGTGGACGATATGACCTTGAAATTGCTGCTTGGCAGTGTGAGATGGCCTTGTCGGAAGGTCCTGCGTTTGTTGCCTGCCTGGTATGGGCAGGGCCGCTGGAGCACGTGTTGAAGCCGGCCGTGGACCAGGAATACTGGATTGAGGCGATGTCGTCGAGAATGCCCGAGGAGAGGTCTTGTCGGACTCTGTAGAATCTCGTGCACGGGGCGATGGCGGCTTGCTTGTGGACGCAACTGAGGCCGTCTTGGCATGGTTGTATGTGCACTTGGATCCGACACCGCGCTGGGCACATGGCTGACAAGGCACCTCGCGGTCGCAGCGGACCTTTCTTTCACGGCATGGCCTGCAAGACATGACGTTGCGGACTCGGGGCCGCTTGCGACCAGCCTTCTTTTGGGCCTCCTCTTCGAACGTATCGGAGCTGAGATGACTAAAGGTGAGGTCTGCCATCGGCGCTGCTTTGTGGCTGGTGGCAGCAGAAGGGTTTGGATGGTGGTAGGAAGCCGAGGTGACGGAGATGATGTAGAGTGAGTGATGATGTGGATGGATGGGGTTCGACGTCGTGCGGCTGACGATGCAAAGAGGGCGGTTTGATATATTCCATAGAGGGCCCGGACGGTTGCGATGAGGGGCGAATGCGTTTTAGCACCTGTTTTGGACGACGTTGGTTGCTCGGATGCGGCGTAGTGTCCTTTGTAGGGGAAACAGAAGGAACTACCAACAGACAGGACAACGGATGTGACTGCCGTTGTTGGGGTCCAAATCTGGCCCTTTCCTCTCTTTTATTTCTTTAGCACCAGGAACGAAACGGGAAACTGCGATGGGCGACTGCGTGGTGGTACCAAAATATTTGAAGAGGAAGGAATGCGCGAAGAATGACGAGGTCTAAGGAAGGTGCGGAGTCTTATCCACGGGTGATCGGCGCTACCGGTGGGCAAGTACCGGCCGTTTTTGAGCTTATTCACTGGAGAATCGTTGAAGAAGCGCTGCAGGGGCTATGCCTGGCGCCTTTGGAGAATTATGGGGAGTACAGTAAGAAGCTGACTTCAGGGCGTTGACGATGTCGTATGTGAATTACCTAAAGTGGAAGTCTCGACATCTTCTACAAGTTTTGGTGGTGGTTAGCAGTTGAGATCTCTAGGCACTAGATAGGCATGACCCCCACGCGTTAGTGATTGGTGCTTTGGTGGCCAAGAGTGCTGTGGCGTCTGCCGTCATGCCAAAATACAGCCTGTAGCACGCCATTGCACCTGCCGTTTAGACGGCTCTTCATTCATGCTGCGGCGAAGGAAGGCACGAATGGCGCAGTGCCGCCGTGCCAGAAAAGGATCCAAAACACAACACAACGCTGGCATCCTATCTTGTTGTCCCACGCCTTGTTTTGCCGAAACTCTGCGGCCCTGCAGAACGCAGGTCGACGGACATGTCACCGCGCACGAACAGGGCTGATGTGTGCATGTGCATCCTTGCCCGGGCCAACCCGACAGGCTTATCAAGCAATACGATGATCCTCCTGCGCCAGCATGGCAATCTTCCAGATCATGGCGGTCGACGGCTATTGCTCACACCATTGTGAATAGGACGCACGTCAGCGGCAGCGGACCGACGGAGTGACTATCGAGTGGCCAGGCACATGAAGTAATACGAAAATAGGTCAGTCTAGGCTCCAAGGCCTCTGGTGTCTACTGTCAGCTTTTCCCAAAGTACTCAGTACTCAGCGAACTACTCTACGAGAGCGGAAGGAGACTTGCTGTGGTTGATTGTCCACCAGGAGAGCAGAATCTCACGTTGCTGACCCTTATCGCCTGCAACAGATTGCACTTTGGCCGACGGAGCACCGTGTATGGGTAGCACAGGTACGCCCTGTGCAATGTACCTCCAGGGCCACGCCGATGGGAGTCACAGAGTAAGGTGGCATTTCGGTCACCCTCATGCAGGATCTCATCATCCTCGACTGCCGTTACGAGATACGACCTTGGGGCCGCTGCATGACATCTGGCTTGTCTGGCGTCTGAGAACAAGGAAGCGAGTAGGATCAACGCGGTTGCTGCTCTGGACAGTGACGGCGTGATGCTTATGTGCAGACCAGCCCTGCTGCGGTGAATCTCACGTTTTCATCTGTGGAAACATACTGGCTCTACCACGGCCACTTTCTTTTCCTACCAACCTTTGCTCATTCGTCACCTTTCTCGCATTTATTTATTCCTATTACGACGCGTCTCTATTGATACCACCCAATCTGTGTCTGTGCCTGAACACGACATGATGCGAGGGCTGCCAGCATACCGCTGTCGAAGTAGTATCCTTCTTCGACACTCGTCACACTATGCTTGCGAACTGATACCCACGGCTCGGTCACCGCCTCATCTCGTTTAGACTTTTCTTGCCAAACGAGATATACTTCGGCTGTCAGCATTCGCTGTAGGCAGCCTTCGTGTCATCGGCGGGAATACTTGCGAGTCGAAAGCCGGCAACTTTCGAGGATATAAAACAGAGAAGGCATGGGCGCTGTGCTACACATGCAACCGACCATACCAGAAAGGCAGGTCAACGTGGCCAATAAATGCGATGAACCGTTGTTCAGTATTCACGACATGAACACGCCCGCAAAGCTATCTCATTTAGGCAAAAAGCTGCGAAGTGCATTTGTTCAGTCTACCTATCTTTAGCTGAGACATTGAAGTCAGTTTTAGGTTCCGGCCCTTGTTCTTGGCTCCACCGCTCGGCCATCATGCCATCTCTTGCCCCGAGACACTGCGGGCTATCTGACGACCGAGATGGGCAATGCCCGGCCTCCTCATGATGGTAAAGTGGTCGCCGGGAATCACTTTGCACACAATGTGAGCTCCTGGCAGCAAGTCTTTCCAGCCGTTCGGACCTTTGTCCACCCGCGGGTCCATGATCCAGTCTTGTGCGGCGTTCGCGCCGATAGTGCCCGTCTGCTTCCGTCGGTATTGGTCCTGTACCGCCTCGCCAACAGTTTCCCACACGCCATCACGCGCCCACAACACCGTGACCGACTGTGGCACAGCCCAGTGCGGAACTGGAGCCGGAATGTATTGCTTGAGTGAGTTTACAGACCCAGCAAAATGATCCCGGACGCCTTCTCGCATCTTGTTGGCCCGTCCCTTGAGTCCATCAAACGCACCGATGGTGTCAAGAAGGTCAATTGTTTCCGCAGGCAGTGGTGGCAATGACTTGGGACACGGTGCGTCGATCAATACCAAGCTGGCCACCTTTTCATTATGACGAAGAGCAAGTTGCGAAGATACTTCGAAGGCATAAGAACCGCCGATGGACCAGCCGCCCAGGTGGTAGGGACCACGGGGCTGTATCTTTTGGATCTGGCTTATGTATGCGCTAGCCACGTCCTGGAGCGATAGGGTAAAGTCCTCGGGATTGCTCAGAAAGGGGCTGTTGAGGCCGTAGACGGCGCCCTTGAGACCCATCGGCGGCAATCCGACATAACTGCTGGCACTGCCTGAACCGTCTGGCAGCAGAAACAGGGCTGGGGCGCCAAGACCCGGACTTCCCTGCAGCAGGATGGCCTCTGCTTGATAGGACGCTGCGCTGCCCTCCTTGGAGATACACAGCGATGCTGCTTGGGCGACGGCTTGAGCGAGTTCCTGCGGCGACGTGTGCGACTGCCCGCCCAAGACTTTCTGAATGTCACCGATCGTTTGGTGGTCGAGAAGGAAGCTGGAAGGTAGGATGCGGCCCGTCTGAGACTTGATGGTGCCAAGAATTGACAGAGATAGAAGGCTGTCGACGCCCAAATCAGCCAGCGGCGTGTCATTCTCAATCTCGGATGGATCTACACCCACTTCGGCGGCAATGATTTTGCGAAATAGCTCTGTGGACTGGCCGTCGGCAGAGTCCGAGTTGGGTGTCTGGCCAAAGCTGCTAACCGGCGTATACGCCTGCCTGGGCGACTCATTGCTGCTGGCACCGCTATCGTCGTCGTCATCGTCATCGTCATTGTCGTTATTGCCGAGGTCTGACGGAGGAGCCGTGGACCACGAGGGGCCACTGGCGTCTCCGTTGCCGGAGGGCGATGTATTTTCCAAAGACCCGGTGCTACACTCTTCAGCAAAGTAGCTGCGGAGTTGGCTGACGCCAAGGTACTCTGTGAACAACGTTGCCGGCAGCTGGCGGCCGAGAAGAGCGCTGAGCTTGGCAGTGATGCTGATGGCCAGCAAGCTGTCCACGCCGAGATCAGCAAACCAAGCATCATCTGTGAGCTCGGACACGTCGATGCCCACTTCGGATGCGACGACGTCGAGAATCTCAGTGAAAACAGCGGCACTTGCTTGAGGAGGCGCTGCTGTCTTCGGCGTTGGCTTTGCCGCGGTCTTACCACGTGGAACAGTTGGCCGTGAAACCTGCTGTACGGCTGGCTGGTTTGTGGCTGCCTGGTCGTTTCCGGAGGGTAAAAGATATGGCAGGATTGAACGCTTGACACGCTGGAACTTGAGATCCTCGCACACGGCGACAACGTCACCACCGTCGAAAAAGTACACATCGCCTGACAGGACGCCACGACTCCCAGGCTCCTCCTGCATGCGGACGTAGCTTTGATACGACTTTTCTGCTGACAGTTGACCGACAACTTTCAGACTGCCCCAGCCGTGCGAAATAAAGACTGAGTCGGCCGGTGTTGTGTCGGCACCGTTGAGGATGAAGCCGGACAAGTGAGCAAGGCCATCGATCCAGTAGGGGCTCAGCGTAAAGGTACCGTCCTCTGCCTCGCTGGTCAGAAACTGCACCTTGGCGGCTGCCTCGAGCTCGTGGCTGTCCATGTACACCTCTTCAAGGCCTTGGTACTTGGGCGCATAGTCGACAAACGCCGCGAAGAGCTTGTACACCATGGGCCGCAGCAGCTTGTGGGCCTGACCACGGCCGGACGCCTCGACGAGCTGGGCCATGCGCGACCGGACCAGATAGGCATTGCGCCTCCACGCAGACTGCCATGCGGAGCCGTCGCCGAACACGACCTCGCAGTGGGCATGCTCGACCTCGACGCCCTCGGGACCGTCTTGACTGCTGAACGTGACAGACACTGTGTTGGCTGACATGTCCCATTTTGCAGCCGTGTGAATGACCTGCTTTGTCTCGCCAGGCTGCACGAGGAGCGGCTTATGGATGCCCATGTTGTGCACGTCCATGCACATCTCGGGGTCAATGGATGAGAAGGACCTGGCGCTGTTGGCTTGTGATAGGCGGCGGATGTACACGGCGGCAGTGAGTGCCATGTCGCCCAAAATGGAACTGGGACAGAGTCCGGCCCCGTTGACCAGATGACCGCGGAGCGCCTTGTTGAGCTTAGGCTCGATGGCATCCGTGGCGAATGTGACGGCAATCCCGGCATCACCAATGGTTTGCGACACGATGCAATGGATGCCAGTGGTCGCCTTGAACTGTGGATAGGAAGGCGCCGCTGGTGCAGGTGCTGGCCCGGGGTGTGGCCCAGCGGATGCACTGCTGGTGGCGTCGACCGAATCGCCTTTTCGAAGTGCCCAGTCACCGCGATACTGGATCCAGTAGTTCTTGAGGTCAAAGGCATACGTGGGCAGCTCGAGAAGGCGCAGCGACGATTCATAGGCAGCATGGTACTCTTGCCAGTCAATGTCGATGCCAGCCTCGTAGATGAGAGCAACAGCCTGCGAGACCACCTTCCAGTCACTCTCGCCACGCTTGAGAGAGGGCAAAAGCACAGACGACTTGTTGTTACCGACTGTCGCCAAAGTGGAGCGGGCAAGACCGATGCAGACGGGGCTGGGTCCGATCTCGACCCAGACAGCCTGCGCTGCCTGGAGGGACGAGTCTGCAAGCAGAGACCGCAGGGCATCCTCAAACTGTACGCGGTCGCGCATCTGGCGCACGAGGTAGGTATTGTCGATGGGGCTTGGCGAGGCGTCTACAGCCGGAAGCAACGTCCCAAGCAAAGTTGACGCAAAGGGGATCGAAGGCGCAGAGTAGTGCGCCTTGGCCGTGAAGATGGAAAAGTCGTCAATAACGGCGTCCATTTGAGCGGAGTGGAAGGCAAACTGGACGTCCAGCAAAGTCGTCTTGCACGAAACTACTTTTTGAAGTTCGGCGACCTCAACCGCGGGCCCACTAATGACGGTGGCCGATGGGCCGTTGGCACAGGCAATCTCGCAGTGACCAAAGCCGGATGAGCTCAGCAACAGGGACTCGGCTTCCGCGACACCACACGCCATGGCAAGCATCGACTGGGTTCCCGGCTGGCAGTTGGCGAGCATGAGGCGTGCCCGGTGGCCAACGAGACACAGGCAATCGCTGAGAGAGAGGACGCCCGCAGTGCAAAGAGCAGCATACTCGCCGAGGCTGTGGCCTATGACAGCTGCCGGGGCGACACCGAGCGACTTCCACAGGGCAGCCAAGGAGAGTTCGATGGAGACAATGGCCAGCTGGACCTGAACGGGCGGGGCACTGTCCAAGGCGTCGTCGCCAGCGACCAGGGGCAGGAAGGATTCAAAGCCATGGCCAACAGCAATACGGTCACAGTCCAGCATGGTCTCACGGAAGGTAGGCTGTGTCGCAAAGAGCTCCGAGGCCATTTCAGCGTACTGCGAACCCTGCCCGGTGAAGCAGAAGATGACGGACGGGGCCGACGAAGACTTGGAGGGCACCTTGGTAGCAGCCGGCGCTGCAGCACCAGCCGACTCAAGGCTGCGGATGAGGCCGTCTAACGACGACGCGACATGCATCTGCCGGAGACCATGGTGCATGCGACGAGCCGTGGTGGTGTAGGCCAGATCCTCGAGGCGGACAGTGGAGGCTGCGTCGCTGCGCAAGTAGTCAAGGAGTCGCTGGGTGTTTCCGGCCAGAGCCGTCGCTGTGCGTCCAGAAACAGCAACAACATGATGCGAACGCGGATCGCGTTTTGCTGTGGCGTCCTCGAGTCGAAGCGGCGCATCCTCCAGAACGATGCTCGTGTTGCCACCGGCCGCGTCAAAGTTGTTGATCAGCACGCGGCGCTTGCCGTCACCACCAGCGCGCGGCACGAACGGCGTGGTCTGAAAGGCAATGTGGGTGTTGAGGTCCTTCAGGTGGGCCAATTTTGGGTTCATGCGGCCCTTGATGCCGACGTGCGGTGGGATGGTGTTGTGGCGCATCATCAGCAGCACCTTGATGAGCGACGTGGCCCCGCTGGCGGCCTCGCCGTGGCCTAGGTTGGGCTTGACGGTGCCGACGTACAGTGGCTCGGCGGGGCCGCGGTTGCGCGCGAGCACGCTGGTCACGGACTTGGACTCGGTGGCGTCGCCGGCTTGCGTGCCTGTGCCGTGCAGCTCGGCGTAGTCAATGTGGTTGGGCTGCAGGCCTGCCCGGTCAAGGGTCGCCTGGAACAGGCGCTCCTGGGTGGCCGCGTGCGGATGCGTGATGGAGATGGCCTCGGCCGAGTGGTTGGTCACGGCGGAGCGGATGACGCCCAGAACGTTGTCGTTGTCGGCGACGGCGTCGGCGAGCCGCTTCAACACAACCACGGCCACGCCGTCGGCGCGCACGTAGCCGTCTGCATCCGCATCAAACGTCTTGCAGCCGCCTGTCTTGGACAAGAAACTGCCTCGGCTCAGGCCGGCAAAAAAGTCGGACGTGGTCAGCAGGTTGACGCCGCCGGCGACGGCCGTGTCGCAGTCGCGGGCCAGCAGCGCCGTGCAGGCCAGCTGGATGGACGCGGCGCTCGACGAGCAGGCGGTATCGACCGAGTAGCTGGGGCCCTCCCAGCCAAAGTGGTAGTTGAGCCGGCCCGGTCCGAACGCGCGGATGCCGCCTGTGATAAAGTACGTGTCGACGTCCTGGCCGGCGTTGACCTCGCGGTAGTCGTCACCCGTCTGGCCGACAAACGAGCCGATGCGGCGGGCCGCTGTCGACGGCGTCCGTCCGGGAGCGTAGCCGGCCATCTCGAGAGCCTCATACGTGGTAAGCAGCAGAAGACGCTGGCCCGGGTCGGTCTGGGCGGCCTCGCGCGGGGACATGCTGAAGAGGCGCGTGTCAAAGAAGCCCGGGCGGTCGATAAACACACCATACGGTGTGAGGGTCGTGTTGCGGCGCTGGCCGGTGGGGTCGCAGTGGGTGTTGACGTCGAAGCGGTCCGGCCGGATCGGCTCGTGCAGGTCGCGGCCTTGCTCGAGTACCTGCCAGAACTCTTCTAGAGTCTCGCTGCCGGGCAGCCGGCTGGCCATGCCGACAATGGCAATGGCGTTGTCGCCCGGCGGCGGGGGCCAGGCAGCTCCCGACGGAGAGGGAGCCGATGTGGAGGTGGGCAGCGTTGATGACGGATCGGCCTCGGTGTGGATGGTGATACCTTGGGCTGTCAGACACCGTGCAATGGCCTTGGCCGAGTTGATGGGCCCAAAGGAGACCAGTGTCACGCTGGTCGTCTTGTCGGTGACCGCCAGGCTAGCCAGGCTCTGCATGGCGGCGCCGAGATCGATGGGTGTCTGGAAAATGTCGTGGATGACGTCGGCAAGGAGGTCGGCCATGGCCGTACTGGTGTACTGCGGGCGATCTGCGCGGGCGGCCAAGAGTGTGACGTCCGGTCGCAAGGAGCGGCGCAGGAAGGCGGACGAGGCGTCTTTGGGGACGACCTTGTCGAGGATGTGTTTTGCAGACAACGGCGGCAGGTGCTCGGCATGGAATGCGGCGGCAATGGGAAGCGGAATGCGCTTGGTGCCTTGAAAAACGGCAGGCTCCGTTGCAAAGAGAGCCGCGGTTGTTGACGGCGGGCCGCTCAATGTGATGACTGACGATGAGGTGGAGGACGCCGACGAAATGTACACCCGGCGGTCGGCGGCCAGCACGCGCTTTTGATTGAAATCGGCCAGTGCTGCATCGATGGCAGCGCGGTCGGCCGTGATGTTGGTCACGAGTGTGGCCCAGGCTGCGGTGGTGGTCGAGGAGGCGCCGGCCGTGTCGTCGAGGCGGGCCGTGCGGTGTACGCCTTCGTAGCCAACATGAAACGCGAGCACGACCATATGGTCGGCAATGGCCAGCACATCGGCCACGCTGTCCGAACAAGCAACGGCAACGGCGGCCAGGAGGCCCGTGCAGGTGCCCAATATGGCCGTGTCCGCCAAGCGGCGGGGATTCTTTTCGAGGTCGCTGCGGGCACAGTTAACGGTTAACAGAAACCCAGAGGGAGATAGAGAGGGCAAAGGGGACCTACACAATGACGTGCCCGAGTTGGGCCATGCACAGAAGAGCTGCCGACAGGGCCGGGCTGATCTTGCGGAGGAGCGTGCCTCCTGAGATGCCTCCTGGGATGCCTCCTGGGATGCCTCCCGAGACACCGTCGCTGGCTGGACTGGCGGCCCATCGGGCCAGCTCCAGCGGCGACGTAAACGAGGCCGGGCACTGGCGACGATCCGCGGCCGGCAGACGCGCAATGGCTGCCCGCAGACGGTCCGTACTCTTGTCAAAAAACTGGCGCAGGGCCGCACTGTACAGAGTATGGGCATTGAGGGACTCGATGGAGGGCAGGACCTCGGCGGTCTGATCGCCAAAGAGGAGTGTGGTGGTCATGGTGGTGGTGTTGTGGGTGACGAGAGGTCGTGTGTTGTGGTGTTGTGGAGTGACGAAACAAATGGTTTGACGGGGAGTTTGTTAGTCGCGCTGCCGTCTCTATCTTTGTTTGGTCTTGGCGAGAACGACAACGGGAGAAAATTCTACAGACGGACTTCAATATTAACCAGTATGAACGCAGACGGCGGTATGCACGACGATATATAAGACTACATCTGTCAAGTCAAATCAACACACAGCATGACACCTCTTCTCAACAAATCTCAACAAATGTCGGCCACTGGAAAAGCGATGCACTACGAGACGAAACGGGAAATCAACGAGCGATCAGACGTCTCTTTTTGGCCAAAAGCGCAAAGTACTGCACGGTAAGCGTGCTCTTGAAAGGGGCAAGAGATGCTTCCATGCGGATGGCGTAGCAAATGGCCCGAATGCTGTTGGATGTCGTGATCCGGAGATTCATTTTTGCAATTGTGACACAGGAGGCTAATGTCGATAAGCAGATGGAAAGACGAGAGAACACAAATATAGCTACTACCTCGCGGCTCTGTGACGAGCCGACGCTCAGCAAGACACAATACCCAGGGCAGATGACTCTTGGATGTAAGACGGATGGCCGCAGCCTGCTACGACGTAGCACCGGCGATGCCAATAGTACGGTAGAGGGAAAACGTACATGTATGGCGTAAGGCTGTGACGCGAAGCTGGGCAGCACGGGGCGGGTGTGTCCAATGGAGAAGGATATGGATGAGACGGGCGTGGCCAATAGCAAAACTGACCCTGGGAATGGACAATCAAAAGGGACATAAACAGATGGCCAGATTTGGGAAGAATACGTGGTTTCACAGAACGGCTACTTGGGACGGTGACCGTACGACAGTCGTGCCGTTGGATTGTGGCCGAGTCGTCCAACGGGCCGAGGAAAACGTGTACAACATGCCATCTACACTGGCCACAGAAAGGAAGTCTGATGCCATGTGCGAGGAGGCAACGCATGGTGCACGCCCGCCCTACACATTATGCCGTGCTTCCTAGGAAGCATTACTTGCGATACATGCAAAACACGCCGTACATGTAAGAAATGCACAGACTTTGGCGGTGCTGTGCGACGGTGAGTTATTACAGTTCTGGGGCTTGGGCTGCTGCTGGAGAGACGGGAAACGAACGGGCCTTAACTGCCCAATTAGGCAATTTCGGGCCCCTGCGTGTAAGTCGAATTGTTGTCCGACAAAATCAACGTCTCGTCGACAACGTAAGACGGGAGTCATCTCCACAGGGCTGAGCTGACGCTGTTTTTTTCTTTTTTCTTTTCCCTCTATGTCATTCAAGTTGCACGTATGGAAGACACCGATTTGGCCGCTTACGGTTTACTTTCTAGAGTTGCGATAAGTACAAGTCGCCATGTTCATAGCACCCTGCATTCCCCTTTCGGAAGGTACCACACGCCTACGCACAGCCGGACTCCCTGCACCTTCCCTCAACCACCCAGCCACCGAGCTTGACGCCCCCCCGCCCGGCGTGGGCCGCCAACCCGTCCGTGGCCTGCTCTGCTCTTTCCCCGTTTGGCAGATGCGGCAGTGTGCTCCTGGCCCGTCTCTTTCCCCTTTTGGCACTTGTAAACAGGCAGACAAAATGGTGTCTATACGACGTGTCTATACGACGTGTCTATACGACGTGTCTATACGACGTGCATTTGTCACTTGCATGTGTAGATCCTCAGCTGGTATTAGCAGCATGTCACCGATTTCGTATCCTCTCAAAGCCATTTGTCACCATCCGTGCCTTTACGCAGATTGTCGTCAGCCGTGGCCAGTCCCGAATCTATTCTTAGACGTCGATCGGGGCCACCGGCGTCGGCGAACAAAAGCGAAACTCTGTACAATACGGATGGCTTGTCTTCATCATATAATAGACCACACCACACATCTGACACTTCTTCGTTGTGGACGAGCCACATGGTCCGCTACACAAAGCGCGCTGTCATTCTTCCACGTATCTGCTGCATCCCTCACATTCGGACCCTCTCATTGCTTCTACTACTTGTCGTCATCATGGGTTCCACCGAGCATCTAGCCCTCCTTCAATACACGGGCATTCCCATTTCCCTCGTCATTCTTGGCCTCTCCTTCCTTGTTTTTGCCGCGTGGCTCGTCCGCCGTGACCGTCGCCTTGCCCACATCCCTGGACCAGCTTGGTGTCGCTTCACGGATGTCCCCCGACTTCGCTGGGCCTGGTCCGAGCGCATCCATGAAACCCATATCGCGCTGCATCGCCGCTACGGCGACCTTGTCCGCGTGGGCCCGCACTGTGTCAGCATCGGCACGCCACGCGCCATCCAGGCCGTCTATGGCACGGGCGCCAACCTGCCGAAAGGCGACTTTTACAAGGTGTTGCAGCCGCTGGCCCACGGTCGTGTTGTGCAGGGCCTCTTCAACACGCAGGACGAGGCGCTGCACCGGGCCCTGAAGCGGCCGATTGCGGGCATCTACTCGATGACAAACCTCGTGTCGTTTGAGCCGTACGTCGATACGACCATTGCAGCTCTCCTCCGACAGCTCGAGGCCCGGTCCGCGGCCGGGACGGGGACGGGGACGGTCGACCTCGGCGCGTGGCTGCAGTTCTTTGCGTTTGATGTCATGGGCGAGATTACCTTTAGTCGCCGCTTCGGGTTTCTCGACACGGGCCGCGATGTCGACAGCATGATCCGTGACATTTACCGCTTCTTTGCGTACGGCTCGGCCGTCGGCCAGATGCCGCTGCTGGACCGGCTGTGGGCCAAGAACCGGCTGGTGAACTGGCTCCTGCCGGCCAAGAACTCGAGCGTCGTGGCGTTTGCCCAGGCGCGGGCCCAGGAGAGGGAGGCCGTCGTCGAAAAGGACGAGGGTGACTCGTACAACAGCCGCGACTTTATGTCGCGGTTTCTCGAGACGCGCCGCAAGGATCCCAGCATCCCGCCCCACTTCCTGACCGCCTGGACGACGTCCAACGTGCAGGCCGGCAGCGACACGACGGCCATTCTGCTCCGCGCCATTGTCCATTTCCTGTTGACCAGCCCGGCCTCCCTCCAGAAGCTCAGGGCCGAGCTCGACAGCGCCCGCCAAGCGGGCCACTTGGGCGCCGCCTCTACGAACGGCATCGTCTCCTGGAAAGAAAGCCGCGACCTGCCCTACCTCGACGCCTGCATCAAGGAGGCCGGCCGGCTGCACTCGCCCGTCGGGCTGGCCATGGAGCGGGTTGTCTCGTCGGCCAAGGGAATCGAGGTCTGCGGCGCCCATCTGCCAAAAGGCACCGTCGTCGGCCTCAATCCCTGGGTCGTCCACCGCGACCCGCGCATCTTTGGCGACGACGCCGACGCGTGGAACCCTGACCGCTGGATGCGGCCGAAAGACGAGACCCGGGCGGCCATGGAGCGGTCCCTGTTGACGGTGAGTCCACAGCCAAGGAAAGGAAAAACGACCTCTGCGCAAACCATATACTGACGTGCTGTTTGCAGTTTGGCGCGGGCCATCGCACATGCCTGGGCAAGAACATCTCCTACCTCGAGATCTACAAGCTGATTCCCACGTTGTTTGCCAAATACGATGTACGTATGGAGTAGAGGGAGGCGCCTTCTTTGTCCAATGTGTTCAGCGCTAACCAGCAGATCACCTTTGCTACTCCCGACGAGTGGAAGCTCGTCAACCACTGGCTCGTCTTCCAGCAGGGGCTCAACGTCCGCATCCGTGTCAGAGACGACAAGCAGATAGGGGACGAAAAGATGCTGGCGTAGTATAAGGGAGCATAGAATCCATCGCAAACAATAGTGGAATAGATAGTGGATAGGACAAAATAGTTGATAGGACGGATTAAAATCAAATGTTCCGTTGCTGCCCCGTCTTCTCTCCGGTCATCGCCGACACTTGGACCTGTTCAGGACGACGTCACCACCAAATCCGTCCCCGACTCGTCCACCTTGCACAGCGCCTGCTCCGTCGTGTAGCTCGCCGTCGCGGCGTCAAACTTGGTCGTCTTGCCGTCCATGCGGTCGCCCTCGGAGACCGTAAAGTGGATGGGCTCAAACGCGGCAAAGAAGTCGCCGGGGCCGGCCTTTACGGGGACCAAGTCCTCGACGAGCCACGCGACAGACTGGCCGCACATGGAGGACGCCGTGGGGACGTCCTTGTCGAAGAATTGGTCGGTGCGGTTGAGGTTGGACCAGTTGCTGACGTTGGCAGATTCGTTAGCATGGGAAAACGAGCAAAGTCTCTTGGACAACTCCCTCTCCCTCGAACTCTCCCCTACTCACATGTTGACAATGTCGTCCTGCACAATCGACACGCGCACGCGCACGCTCTCCCCCGCCGCCACGCTCGCAATCTTGACCGCGTACACCTTGCCGCTGAACTCGACAAACGGCACGTGCTGCTGCGTCCCGTTCTCGAACACCGTCGCGTAGATGCCCGCCCGCACCAGCTCGGGGCACGCGAAGCCGTCCACGCCCGTCGACACGGCAATGCGCGGCGTCACCGCCGGGTCGCGCGTCCAGTTGAACGCGGGGCGCGCCGCCACCTTGGGCGCCGCAAACACGGCCGTCGCCGCAATGTACATGGGCGCGTCGCCCTCGACGCTCTGGAAGGCGCCGCACGTGGTCGTGTTGCTGTTGTGCGTGCCGGCGTGGGGCGCTGCGGCGGTCGTGGCGTCGGCGTCGGAGGATGGCGGCGGCGCCACATCGTACTGCCGCCACGAGCGGACAATCTCTGGGGCCAGCAGCTCGAGCTCGTCGGCGGCAAAGGTGGAGCGGGCGGCAGGCGCTGCCGTGGCAAGGCCGACAGCAGTGGCCAGTGTGGCCGCGATGGAGAGGAGGACGGATTTCATGATGACCGTGATCGATGGCGTGAGAAAGGGCGGAGGAGTTGTCAGAAAAGTAAATCAAAGAAAAAGGAAATTCGTGGCAGCTATACATCAAAAGGAGAGGGATGACGCTGGGTATAATACGCGGACGGATAAAGCAAGACAAGGATGAGTCGACTGGAGACGACAAACTCTCCCCACAAACGACTTTGACGGGATATACAGATGGGTACGGACAGACGGCCCTCTCGGCTTCAACGAGACGAGATAGATGAAGTGGTGGGGGAAAGACAAAAGGAGGAGGATCCAAGAGACGCGGCACTCGGCCGGCAGAGGCTCACGAGGGTCCAGGGGCTCTCTGACATCGGAATCCATGAATGGCCGTGGCCCGATGGGAATCTAAATACACTTTACATATGCTTGGCCTCGCCAAGGCCGGGGCTTTAACCCGAGAGGGGGAGGAGAGCGATGGACGGTGAAGTCGAGAAGTCGACTTGAACAGGACAGAGCTGGCATCGAGTAAGTATATGAGAAAACAGCGGCTAGATAGACGTAGTATGATGATTTGTAGGACAAGTTCCCCAGCACTGTTGGCTTACCATCTGCTGTAGTCATTTCCATGATATAAAGATGGCATATCTACGGACTCTCGTCTTACATCATGTACCGTCCTCGTGGTCGGGGAGGTCTTGAGAGTAGCGGAGCTTTTTGTATTGCTTCCGTTTAGGTTATATAGAGAATACTACGTGGCGGTGGTCTAGATGCGCCTTCCATTGTAACGTGCAACTTTGTCAGGAATTGACCAGCCAGAGTGTAGTGGTTGCATGTGTTTGTGTTTTGTGTTCTGTGTTCTTTTTTTCTTTTCTGTCTCTCTCCAGCTGTTTATATTATTAAAAATAAATCAGTGGAAAGCAAAACCAAATACGAAATAGTTTCAAGGCAAATAATCCACGAATAATTTACGACAGCTGAAAACGCGGAGAACATAAAACAAAGATACAAAAAGGAACAATCTCTGCCTTTGTAGTCAACGAACCAACGGGCTTAAAGAAGTCCGAGACTGACTGCCGGCAGATCGTTCTGTCCTTTCGGGCGGAGATTTTTCCCAGTGCGAGGCCACGCGTGAGTTTACCCAACGGGAGATGGTAGCAAGGAAAAGGGCACAGGGTAAAGAATAAGGTGAATGAAGGCTAAAGAAGGCTAAACAAGGGCGTAGACGAAAGCACAATGTATGGCTGCGGCTGCTCGCTGCTCACGAGGGGCTGTCTCTTCTTTACCCGGGCACTATGGATCTGCACAAAAGGACCGGCATCGTCCGTCCAGTCGGCAGTGGATACGTGACGATTGTGTCGTGCCATGAAATTTCGTTGTTCTTGATTTCGTTGCATTTCATTGTACTTCTAGCCGTTCAGAATGCATCATATATCGTCACCTTGGCCCTCCTGCCCTAGTTCGCCCCGTTGATGATGGCCAGCAGCTCGTCGGGGTCCTTGGGCGCGGTGGTCAGGTTGTCACTGCCGGTCTTGGTGATGACGAGGTTGTCCTCGATGCGGACGCCGCCGACGTCCCAGTACTTGTCGAGAACGGCCTCGTCAATGTACTTGGCGTGGACGGGATCCTTGAGGAAGGGGCGGATCATGAATTCAAAAAAGTAAATCTGCGAGATGGGAGTCAGTCGTGTCATCCACGGACGGAACACGGAAGAGAAAAAAAGGGGACAGGGGACGTACACCGGGCTCGACGGTAATGACGCTGCCGGCGGGCAGGGTGCCGCGCACGCGCAGGTAGCGGAAGAGGGCGTCCTCGTCGGCGTAGTTGGCGTGGCCGCCGGTGTCGTGGGTGTCCATGCCGAGGTAGTGGCCGAGGCCGTGGGGAAAAAAGGCGACGCTGGTGCGGTCGCGCAGGATGGCGTCCTTGTCGCCCTTGAGAATGCCGAGGGCCAGCAGGCCGTCAATGGCCACCTTGTGCGCGTGCACGTGGACGTCGTCCCAGCGCACGCCCTCCTTGAGGAGGGCGATGCACTCGAGCTGCATGCGCAGCACAATGTCGTAGACGGCGCGCGACTCGGTCGAGAAGCGGCCGGCAATGGGGAACGTGCGCGTGATGTCGGCGGCGTAGCACTGGTACTCGGCGCCGGCGTCCAGCAGCAGGTTGAGCTTGTTGGCCAGGGGCTGGTCGTTGTGGATGTAGTGCAGCGTGGCGGCGGCGCGGCCGCTGGCGACGATGCTGTGGTAGGCCTGGTTGCGGCAGCCGTGGCCGACGCAGTGGCCGAGGAAGACGCCCTCGAGCTCCTGCTCGTTGCGGGCCTTGCCCACCTGCGCGAGCACGGCGCGGTGGCCCGCGCTCGAGACGTCGTTGGCCTTGGCCATCAGGGCCAGCTCGTACGGCGACTTGACGACGCGGCACTCGTCAATGGCCTCCCGCAGGAGCGCAAAGTCCGTCGCGTCGAACCCGAGGAACGTCGTCTGGTCCGACACCTGGCCGTCCAGGGCAAACACCACGCTCTTGCTGCCCGCCGCACGACCCTTCGCCTTGGCCGCCAGCGTCGCGTTCACGTCCGCCACGTACTTGACCTCGTCCACGTCCCACTGGGCCAGCGCCTCCTCCGCGCTCACCGGCAGGCCCGACCAGACCACCGCCTCCGGGTCGATGGGCGGGATGAAGAGCGTCGACGTTTCCGTCGCCAGGTCGTACACGTAGTACGAGTCCGCCAGCGGGCAGCCCGTCAGGTAGTAAAAGGGCCGCCGCTGCCGGAACGGCTCGGGCTCGTCGTTGTCTTCGAGCAGCTTGGTCGCGCGGCTCTCGAGGTACAGCACGCCGTTCTGGGCGGCCCCGTCGCCGTTGTCCGGCCGCTTGCTCCGGATGTACTCGGCGACGCGCTTGGCGTGCGCCTTGGCCGGGTACTTGCCCTTGAGGACAGACTCGTAGGCGGGCGTGTTCGTCATGGCGGTGGGCGGGGGGAGTTGCATGGGTGTCGAGGTCGACAAGGGGCGTGACGATGATGTTCGAATAGCTGTTCGAAGAGCCGTTGGGGTAGAGGCGATCGTGGAAAGTCGTTGCACAGGAAAGCGATTCGCAAAAGCTGTGATGCGGATGGTGGTGATGCTCGAAGACGCGCGAGGCAGTCGATGTGGGAGGCGCATGGAAAGGAAGAGGAAAACAGCGAGGAGGGATGAATACGAGGTGAACGAGGATAGAGGATAGATTGTGCGATCGCGGGGACCGATAGTATGTTACAATTGGCAAATGATAAATGGTCCAGGGGGGAATGGATGTTGGAGCGACTGCCGTCAGCCGGAAAGTAACTTTGTTCTGTACTTGCCCAGTTCAGAGCTCAAGCTCGAAGAGGAAGGTGCCCCGCCTGGTCGTTTACACACGGCTTTCTGTTGCGTGACGGGAAGGTGCAGCAGGCGCAGTGGGGTAAAAATGGTAAAATGGGGGGCAGATGCCGAAACAGGTAGTTGGACACGACAGCGACTGTTGGGCGGGACCCAAATGCTTTGCAGTGGACGGTTACAGGGGACGGTTATAGGGGACAGTTACAGTGGACGGTTACAGCGGACGGCGATGGGCTTGGAGCGGATTTGACTCTAGGAAATCGACTTGGAGATGGGGCCGGCTTGGCTTCTAGAAGACGAGTGTGGACTGAACAGCAAAGAAACTTTACCGCGCAAGAGTCAAACTGTGAAAGCCTTTTCCATTACCGCTCTGAAACAAAATCATTTCACTGAGCGGCGAACAGAAGCTGCGACACTTGACGGCTTAGCTACTACAAGCAACTCTTCAACAAAGAGTCGAAACAAAGAGACCGGGACGTCGGACCCTTGAATATACATCACATCGGGCGAGAAGACATGTGCTACGGTGGCATGCTACGATCGTAGAGACGGCTGGTCTTCACTGCATGGCAGACGGAAACACAGGTGCTCTGTGCTACTCTGCATCCCGACAATGGTCGTGGCATAGTTGTAGTATGTATATATAAGATATGCACTGTCGTGCTCGTCATGATTTCGTGACATTCGTAATACTTGGGTGTCCTCGCTTGGCCCGCTGGCCCGCTGGCTCGCTGGCTCGCTAGCTCACCACCACTTTGCGCCGCTGCGTCACATTCACGTTCAGCGAGTCCATCGAGGCCATCACCGCCGCCGTGCCGTCCTGGTCCAGCGACCCCACCGCCCGCCCGCTCTTCATCAGCATCCAGTGCTGCCGCATGTCCTCGACGCACACCGACAGCTCGAACCCGGCCAGGAAACAAAAGTTGATCTCCAGGCGCGCCAGCTCCGCTTCGGTGACGCCGCCGACGCGCGCCATCTTGGTGTGCGCATAGCTCAGGTCCTCCAGCGCCTTCATGGCCACGCGCAGACCCGCCAGCAGCAGGCGGTGCGCGTTGCGACGGGTGACGGCAATGGCCTTTTCGGACACGGCCAGCCGGTAGATGTAGTAGCTGGTCGCGAGGTAGACGCCTGTGCTCATCGGGCAGAAGCGGTGCAGGCGCAGCAGGTACTCGGAAATCCCAATGGGCGGCGTCTTCTTGCTGTAGAACTTGCGCGTAATGGCCGAGTGCTGCACGTTGAGCGGCTGCGAGTTGGCGCCGATGACAATGTACGGCTCGGCGGGCGGCACGACCAGGATCGGCACGCCGCTGCTGCTGACTTGCGCCGTTCCTGACGCGTGCCCACCATGCGGCGACTGAGATGTCGCCCGCAGGTGAACTCCGTCAATCTCCATCTCCATCTGCGTCTGCATCGGCCTGGCCGGCGGTGGTGTCGGTGGTAACCTGGACCGCGACGGTGTCGAGGGTTGTGAGGTTGCTGTCTTGCTTGTGTCGTCGTCGCCGTCGTCGCGCGGTGGTGTACTCCGGTCGTCGCCGGCGGCGGCAGCCGCTGCAGCATCTGCCCCTCTCTCCATGTGTTCGCGCTCTCGCTCGCACTCGCGTTCGCATTCACACTGCTCCGCCGCCTTGCGTTTCCGGTCCTCCCGCTCGGCCTTTTCGGCCGTCTCTGCCTGCTCGCGCAGCCGCGCCAGACTGTTCTCGCTCAGCGTCCGCACAATGACCTCCTTCTCTGCCTGCATGCTGCGCATGTTGGTCGGCGTCTTCGCGTCGTCGTCCAACGGCGGTGGTGTCGGTGGAATGTCGCCGGTAAGCCGGACGAGTGCCTCAACGCCCGCGCCCAGCATCTGCAGCGCGGCCAGTGGCGTCACATGAAAGATGTCGTCGGTCAGGGAAGCGAGGCGCGGCGACGGCGCATCGCTGCTCGGGTCGTTGTGCGACGAGGAAAGCAGACTGGGGTCGTCGGCCGGCACAGGTGGCGGTGGAGGCGAGTCGGGCGTGGAGCCAGAGCCCTGGCTCTGGTTGCGCTGGTCGTCGTCCGCCATGACGTGTGAGGATGAGATGGTGGTCAGGTATGGGTAGGAGCGAAGATCAATGCCAAAAAGTACATCGAGGTATAGGTAGGCTTCTGAGGATGATTTCGCGTATGCAGCGTGTCGTATACATGCAAAGTACGGTCCTCGGTATGGAATGCGCGCAATGCAGTGCAACGTGCGAGGTATGTCGTCTTGCACAGATAAGCAGCGATCGTCCTGCTTCACATGTCGCGCGCCGGCGCGATTGTTTTACAATCGATGGTGAGACCCTGTGTGGAATACCGTCTGGGCGAACGACTGATGAAGGGCCGGAATGTCCCCTGGCGTCGTGATATCCCTGAACTGTTCCTGGCCTGTTCCTGGGCGGTCCTTGGGTTTTACGGCGGGATGGCGAGATGGCGAGATGGGTGCGTTCAGTGCGGAAAAGAGACCGAGAAAATCGGCCGAAAGCTGGAGATGGGATACAATCGACCAGGAACACCGAAAGCGTGCCGCATGAAATGAATGATATTGGTCGTGGGATGCGCTCGCACGTGCTTTGGTGATTTGAGGCGAGGGAGCGATTCGGACCGAGATTGAAAGAAACGGGTCGAAAGCGCGTGTAGGCACGAACGTGACAATGTAATATTGGAGAGTTGACGAGAAGAACAGAGACGTCGGAGAGATCAGGTCAGGATGTAACCAAAAAGAAAAGAAATTAAGAAAGGAAAATGGAGAGGAAAGTGAACAAAAGTCAGAAACAGCCAAGAGTTGAGAGTGGCCTCGTGCGAAAGGTGATCCGACTAGAGACATCTGCCAAAATTAAATCATTTAACGGCGAATTCTTTTTCGTCATGGAGGGCGTCAGCAGGCGCCGGCGACCTCATCAAATGGAGAAAAGCGAAAAGCGAAAAGAGTGAAGAGAAAAGAGAAAAGAGAAACGAGGGTGTAGGAGAGCCGCAACGCAGAGCCGGCGGTTAGGCGGGATTAGCGGGGCCTGTGGGCGGGTCATGCGGGTTGGGCAGCGCTGGTCTAGAGCTGGGAGGTGCAAGACGATGCCACGAGACGGTTCTTCAGAGGCAAAAGCCGCCACAAAGGCCCCTAGGCCCCCAAACGAGCCAAGAGTGGACAGAGGACAGAGCAGGGTGGACCACTGGGCCATTCAAACTCCACTGCCGCAAGTGCACTGTCCCTGCAACGAAAGACGGGGTCCGACAAGGAGGCCTGGCACTTCCACTCTTAGAGGGGCCTGAAACTGAGACAGCAAACAAAGGGCGTCGGAAAGGGACCCGAAAGGGTCAAGGAAGCGTCCAGTGGCCTGGTCAGCACTGTTCTGCGATTCTTCAGTGGAGCCAGACACTGCGCTAGTGGGGACGCCAACCTCGGTCGGGCAGCCTGGATCTGGTTTTGGTGGTTTGCGGTGTGGTTTCGTTGTCTAGTGTCTTTCTTTGTCGACGCCTTTGTTCGTTCGTGATAACGACTGGGAAATAGGAAAATGGTGGAAGAAGAGAAAAAGGCTACGGATGACCAACGAGAATAAGAAAGTAGGGGAGCATTACAGTTTAGAAGAGCCGAGACGGCGAAAGGAAAGAACAATGCAACGGTGCGTCATGGAAAGAAAACAGAGGTCGGTCGTTCGTGGAAGGCGCAATGTACAGCAAGTCTGAATACAGCAGGAAGTTCCAACAAATTCAGAGCTGGGAAGGAAAGGGCGAGAGGTGTTCTACGTGGCAGGAGCGTTTGGTGGTTTTCTATGGCCTTTCTTTCCTTCCCATTTCTTTTTGCTTTTCACGATCCCACTCCTTCTTCCACGCATTCCCAAAAAGGGGCGGCAACAGCCACACACCCAAACATAAAGGCCATCATGTTTTTGCAGGCGTTTTCTGTGCCTACGCACACATTTTAAATACCACTCACCCATCACAGCCTCACCGCCTCTCCTGCATGCCGTCTGCTGCCCGTCTGCCCGTGGGCTGCATCGTGAACGGTAGACAAACCGAATCGAGACGCCAAGTCGTTGCAGCCTCCGAAGTGAGTCTCATGGGCGGCTGTTTTCATGGCAGAGTGTACGAATTAAATACGACAGTAACAACCGCCTGCTCTGTTGAAGGCTGCCGCACCAATGTCGGTGGTTGGCTCTGGGCGTCGCGCCTCCCCCACGTTCTCCCCAGTGCCACCCCAGTTTTGTTTGCAACCCTGCTCCAAATCCGCTCCAGCCGAGCTGTCATGTTGTGGAGGACGAGGGGGATACATGGCAACGTCCTGTTCTGTGCAGCTACCCAGAGAGCCAGACTCTATGGCAACGTTCAGTTGTAGTCGCTGGCCGTGGAGCATGCTTTGTCGAGTTTGTGCTCTGCCGTGCACGTATTCTGCGTGACATATTACTTATGTTTTACGACAGGGCGTCTACTGAGTCGAGGAACCCATGGCAGACCATATTTCTTTCGTCAGGGTCTCTTTCAGGGTCCTCGCGAGTGACCCACTGGACACCATTCCGGCCCGTGTGCCGCCATCGTTCCCTATCGTACCGTGCACGGCTTGCCTTTTCAGGATAGCCTTTGGGGCGGCACTGCATTGGCAACGAGACTGTGCCGTCTACTGTTCCCCCACGTTTCTGGTCGTGCGTTTTGACAATATCGTAAAGGCGTTTGATTGTGGTAATGCAACCGACTCATGAGGCCGACGTCGCTGCAGCCGTTTCACACGGATTGACATGTCGATTTTGGGCCGGGAACGTACTACATTGTCGACCAGAGCAAGAGGTATGCTAGTTTGCCAGGGGCGCGAATACATTGGCAGCTTTCAAAGTATCGTGAATGCAAGATATCAAAAAGTCATGTCTCATTATTATGAAGTATATCCACTTGTACTGTCCAAACGCCGGATCCGCAACGAACAATACGCGGCCCTCGTCTATGCGCCGACTGTCGGCTCGACATCGTACTCTACGTCCGTCCGGATGACGTACTTGGCGCCCTTGCGCACACCCGTGCCCTCGTGCAGGAGCGCGCCCCGGGTCTCGCCGTGCGGGAAGATCGCCACAGCGCCCATCACGGGACGCACCGGGTACGCATTCAGCGTGCCCTCCGCGGCGCCCGGCAAAAAGAACGTCGTCTCGCCGCCCTCAAACTCGTCGTTGAGGTAGACCAAGAACGTAAAGAGCGAGCTCTGCTTTTGGCCGTCGGGCGAGTCGTCGTACACGTACGTCCGGTCCGGCCGGACGCCCGAGGGCGGCCATGCGCCGTCAATGTGGCAGCGGTACTCTGCGCCGGGCACGTAGCGGTACACCCGGAAGCGCCGGTTGATGCCCCGCGCCACGCGCCCGCCGAGGACCGCCGGCACAAACCGCGCAATGCGGGACCACAGCCGATCGTGGAACGGCGCGTCGACGACCCAGTAAAAGTTGTGCGCCAGGATGCTGACATCGCCGTCCGCGCGGACGGGCGCATCCGGCAAAAAGCCGACGGACTCGCCGGCGGCAATGATGGCCTTGCACTCGTCGGGTGTGAGGACGTCCGTGGCGACGCCGAGGCGCGGCACGGTGGGATGCGGGTGGTAGGCGATGGAGGCAGGCGCGTCGGGGGCCAGTGGCACGGCGCCCGGAGCCGACGTGTAGACAACGGCAGGGTGGTGGTTCGGGGGTTTGCGCTGTGCTCCATCGGTGGTCTCGATCACGGGCAGGGCGTCTGGGAGGGAGTCGGCGCTGGGTGCATGTGTGAGGATCGACTTGTCCAGGACAGTTGCGTAGACTTGTTCACGGGCCCCCGCCGGCCGAAGGTCCCAAATGTCCTGAACGTGGATGGCTGGTGTGCCGGCAGGGACTGTGGCGTAGCGACGAAGAGCCTCCGGGTTGAGATCGACGGGGCCCGTCGCACGGAGAATGGCATCGACCACCAACAGGCGTTCCTTGTCTTCGGGCGAGCGCTCTGTGGCCGCGACCTGTCTGTCGTCGGGGGATGTGGACGTGGACAGGCCGCTGATCACGTCAAGATCGCGGACCCAGCGGCAGAGCGCACCGAGTTTCAGCTCGTCGCCGCGGAGGCGCATCTCGGCCAGCAGCACGCGGGCGTCCATGTACTTGCCGTCGGCCAGCGCCGCCGAGATGCGCGCCGTCAGGTTGGTACCGGCCGCATTGACGCCGGTCGTGCACGCCTGCCGAAAGTCATGGACGGCACCGCGCAATTCTCTGCACTGCTTCGACTTGATGAGGGAGGGGTGCGCCGCCAGTTCTCGCAGCGTCTCAACCGTGATCTCGAGCTCCTCTGTCGATGTCACAGACTGCAAACTTGTTGGTTCCGGGGGTGAGTCGCTTGGTGGGGAGATGGGGCGGGCGACTTTGGACATTTTCTGACCAGACTGCCCCTGGGCCTGGGCCTGGGCCTGGGCCTTTCGTTTTCGTGATGCTGCCTTTGCGGTCATGTTGTGCCTGCTGACGCGCGATGTCGACGACAGTATTATGTCGTATGTGATCCGCAAATTGAAATTTAAAAGTCATCTGTCAATGCACGTGATAGATACAGTGCAATATAACGTGCAAAAGGAACCCACACTGTATCCCAATAAGTTCTTATCAACACCTTATCGCCCCTGGATTGGCAATGCGGGGAAAGTACCGCTTGCAGTGGGCAATGCCGGTGATAAGCGGCCCATAAACATTCAATTCCACAATAAATTGGCCGGCAGGAATCTGACGACAAGGATTTGTCCGGACCATCTCCATGACAAACGCCTGCAAGCTCCGGAGCCTCGCGACAATGCGGCACAAAACCCGGGGATTGATGCATACGTAAATGTAGAGCGCGACGCGGCGTTCATTTTAGGCTACTCCTGCCGAATTCTATGGATGGGCGCGTCTGAAAAGGGCAACGGCGTCTGTTACGCGCGTCTTATCACAACGGTCGCAGTTGCCCCATTTTGGCGTCTTGGATTGTGCAAAGAACCGCAGGATGCAGCTTCCGCTTCTGGTAACGACCAAGGATGCAGTGCCTCTTGTGACAAAGACAAACTCCACCAGGAGGAAGCTGCGACCTGCGAAGTACACGTTGCTCATGTGAGCACTTCTGTCGTGTCGTTCTTTGAATTTTGATTGGCTGGCTGGGGGACTTTATATAGGAAGCTGCGACCGATATGTTTGAACATGGCTCTTTCTACTTGCACAACAACTTTTTTGGCCGGATGACTTGTGATTTTCGACGTTGTTCAAAATTGCCTCCTTTCTAACGAGTCAACCTCACATTGTCACGGCCAAACAAAGTTGGAGAACGTCACCCGAGTCAGTTCAACGCCAGCATTCCCTCACACCTTACCAGATTTGGCGTCGTGTTGTCGCGGAGAAGCAAGTTGTTATTTCCATAACGGGCATTCCTGCCATTTAAGTATCTGTTTCCAAATCCTATCATTCCTTCGCGTCGTCGCTTTATATATCCCTCGTCCCCGTCATCGGTACGTCAACCTATCACGTTTCATACACACACTGTCCCCAGCTTGCCATGCCACTGCCGACTCCTCCCCCGCTTTTGGGCTTCCCACATTGCCGCGCTGTTCGCATAGGTTGCGTAGCGGCTTCAAGCGGCTCCCGGCGATGGCTGGCCACAAGTAGCTCGCGTCTGGCAGGTGCCCGGCTGCATCGCGCCGGCATATCGCCGCTGGGCCGGGGCGGGCTGGCCTCGTTCGCAACTCGTGGTTTTGGCTCCGCCCGCTCCATTGCCTATATATCATCTAATGCAAACAATTCGGGTGCGCTGAAGACGGACACCAGCAACGCAGCATCGATCCAAACCACTCGCCCGCCGCTGCCATCACAGGTTTTTTCTGCTGCTGCCAACCAGACCCGCGCCGCAAGCACATCCGGCAGGGCCACTTCGAGCGCGTCAAACTTTCCCAATCCCAACATGTACACGGCGTCGTTTGCCTTTTTCGAGGCGCTGTGGGAGGCGGGTGTGACGCACTGCTTCGTCAACCTGGGCTCGGACCACCCCAGCATCATCGAGGCCATGGTGCAGGGCCAGCGGGAGAAGAAGGACAGGTTCCCCAAGATGATTACTTGTCCAAACGAGGTGAGCGCCCCCGAGCGAGGCTCAGGTTCTATTGTCATGTGTCATTTGTTGGCTCTCTTCTAACCCCAACAGATGGTTGCCATGTCCATGGCGGACGGCTATGCGCGCCTGACGGGCAAGCCGCAGTGCGTCATTGTGCATGTGGATGTCGGCACGCAGGGCCTGGGTGCGGCGGTGCACAATGCCAGCACGGGGCGGGCGCCCGTTCTTGTGTTTGCGGGCATCAGCCCGTTCACGATCGAGGGCGAGATGCGCGGCTCGCGCACCGAGTACATTCATTGGATCCAGGACGTGCCGGACCAGAAGCAGATCCTGGGCCAGTACTGCCGCTACGCCGCGGAGATCAAGACGGGCCGCAACGTCAAGCAGATGGTCAACCGCGCGCTCACGTTTTCCAAGTCGCAGCCCACGGGGCCGGTGTACCTCTGCGGTGCGCGCGAGGTCATGGAGGAGGAGATCACGCCGTACCACCTGAAGCAGGAGGACTGGACGCCGGTGCAGCTGGGCGGACTGCCGCTGTCGGCCGTGCACGACATGGCCACGGCGTTGGCGGGTGCCAAGGAGCCGCTGCTGATTACGGGCTACGCGGGGCGCAACCACGGCGTGGCGCCGGCTCTGGTGGAGCTGGCCGATGCGGTGCCGAAGCTCCGCGTGCTCGACACGGGCGGCAGCGACATGTGCTTCCCTGCGGACCACCCGGCGTGGCTGGGCCTCCGATTCGGAGCGCACGACGCCATCCGCACGGCCGACGTGATTGTTGTCGTGGACTGCGACGTGCCGTGGATCAACACGCTCTGCCAGCCCAAGGAGGACGCGCGGGTGTTCCACATTGACTGCGATCCGCTCAAGAAGATGATGCCAGTGTTCTACATTGCGGCGGAGCAGCGGTTCCAGGCGGACTCGCTGCTGAGCATCCAGCAGCTCAACGACCATTTCAAGACTCGCCCGGTGGCGGACGCCACCGGCCACGACGAGCGCGTCGCCGTGCACAAGGCGCTGCTGGCCAAGATCGACGCGGCGGCCCAGCCACAGGCCGACGGCGGGTTCGGCGTGGGCCACTTGACCAAGACGCTGCGCGCGACGTGCCCGTCGGACACGATCTGGGCGATCGAGGCCGTGACGAGCACGGGCTTTGTGCACGAGAACCTGCGGCCGACGCAGCCGGGCCAGTGGATCAACTGCGGCGGCGGCGGACTGGGCTGGTCGGGCGGCGGTGCGCTGGGCATCAAGCTGGCGACGGACTACGAGCACGGCGGCACGAACAAGGGCAGGTTTGTTTGCCAGATTGTGGGCGACGGCACCTTTTTGTTTTCGGTGCCGGGCAGCGTCTACTGGATCTCGAAACGCTACAACATTCCGGTGTTGACGATTGTTCTCAACAATAAGGGTAAGTTAGGCCCGCCTTCCCTCTCCTTCCCTCCTCTGTCCTCCCCAATCCAGTCAATACTGACAATGCAACAGGGTGGAACGCCCCCCGTCGGTCGCTGCTGCTGGTGCACCCCGACGGCCTGGGCTCGCAGGCGACCAACGAAGAAATCAACATTGAGTTCAGCCCGTCGCCCGACTACGGCGGCATTGCCAAGGCGGCCGCGGCGGGCGATCTGTTTACGGCGCGCGTGGACCAGTCGGCCGAGCTGGAGAGCGTGCTGAAGCAGGCGATTGCGTCGGTGCAGAGCGGCACGAGCGCGGTGGTGGACTGCAAGGTGGCCATGGGGTGTTAGGTGTGGGGTGTTGTCATAGAACGGAGTAGACAGGATGCGATGCGTAAGGGTGCCTCATAGTACCGAGTTGACATGAATGGGATGTTTAGAGTTCATTTCTCGTCGCCTGTCCGTGCAATGTGCCAGACTCTATGCTGTTGGGTCCTCTTTTCGCAAGCACCATGGTAAAACGGACCAGGGCGTGCGCCCGTCTCTTCCGATCTATCCACGACTCGTCATGGCACATGGCAATGTCCGATGGGTCGATAGGACCCGGTCGATAGGACCCAGCAGGTTCAACGAGTCGCGATCGTTGTGAGGCGTGTATCCTTTAACGTTCCATTGGATGTGTCCCCCGCGGACTTGGAGGTGGTTTCTTCGCCGGAGCGGACCCCAACTCCCAACTTAGCCTCCTCGTGGTCTATTTATGGATAAAGACAACAATGTGGAGAAGCAGAGCCGTGCACGGGCGGATATATTCGATCGGAGTGACATTTGGAGACTCCGATTGAGTGGACGGAAGATTACCAGTTCCGTCGACTTTTGCCGTCAAAAAAGGGTAGAAACGGGAAATGTGGCTCGTCCCAACAGCCATCCGACCGAACGGCGCCAGGGTGCCGAGCTGGAGATTGGGTAGAGACAGACTTTACCACAATCGGCCTTGGGCTGTGTAATGGATGTTGAGGCGGTCTTTGGATAAAAGCTGTTTGTTGACGTATCTGCTGGACTGCGGGGAGCACCATCTGCGTACCAAATGAAGGAAGAAATAATGCGGTTACGAAATGCGTTGCGTTAATGAAAACGACAAATGAAGACAACATTCGCTCCGCCGAGGACGTACGGAACGACGGCGTAAGGGACGAGGGGAGAGGGGAAGCGAAAAAGGGAAAGAATACGCTCGATATTTAATTCCCTTGGCATCCTCTGGTTAAGTATCGCCTTTCCCTCTGGTCCTCCTTGTTCAGCGTCCTTTCCCGCTGTTGACCAATTCAGTCCCCCTTTTCTTTTATCTTCTTCTTTTTTTCTTGCCTGTCTCGAACCGTCATCATGCACACCACACTTGTGCTCGGCCTCGTGTCGACACTGGCCGCGGTCGCCAGCGGCCAGGGCCTCAGCAAGGTCAACGACTTCAACGCCGGGCCGACGAAGCTGGGCATGTACGTGTACGTGCCCAAGACGCTCGCGAAGCCGGCGCCGATCCTGGTGGCGATCCACCACTGCCAGGGCTCGGCGCAGGGCTACTCGACGGAGACGCACTACCAGCCGCTGGCGGACAAGCACGGCTTCGTCATCATCTACCCCAACTCAAAGTCGAGCGGCGGCTGCTTCGACGTGGCGTCGACGGCGTCGCTGACGCACGACGGCGGCGGCGACAGCCAGACGGTGGCCAACATGGTCAAGTACGTGATCCAAAAGTACGGCGGCGACGCCAACCGCACGTTTGTGACGGGCTCGTCGTCGGGCGCCATGATGACCAACGTCATGGTGGGCGCGTACCCGGAGGTGTTCCAGGCCGGCAGCGTGTACTCGGGCGTGCCCGACGGCTGCTTCTTCGTGCAGGGCGCGACGGCCACGGAGGACCCGCCGGGCTGGGCCAACGCCTGCGCCAACGGGCAGCTCACCAAGACGGCGGCGCAGTGGGGCGACCTGACGCGGTCGTACTACAAGGGCTACACGGGGCCGCGGCCGCGCATGCAGATCTGGCACGGCACGGCCGACAACACGCTGCACTACCCCAACTACCAGGAGACGCTCAAGCAGTGGTCCAACGTGCTGGGGCTGTCGGACCCCAAGACGGCCGCCAACACGCCGCAGAGCGGCTACACGCAGACCATCTACGGCGCGGGCACGTCGACGACGGCGCAGCTGGTCGGCTACAGCGGACAGGGCGTCGGCCACACGGTGCCGGTGCACGAGTCGATGGACATTGCCTTTTTTGGCCTGGACAAGTGAGAGGTGTGTGGTGGTGGTGTGGACGTGGAATTGTTGGTGGTTCCGGCCGGCTGGTGTCTACACAAGTTGCCGTCAAAAGTGCCGTTTGTTTGTACATAACCGTATTCTCTTCTTTTATTTCAATATGGTGAAAATGATCCAAGATTGGCAAGGTTGGAAGGCCAAAATACATGTGCAGTTCAAGTAAGCCTTGCGAGAACTATTGCATTTATATTATTTTATTTTGTCGTTTATTTTGTTGTTTTATTTCAAAAGGTATTCACTGGTAAATCTATGAAAACTGGCTTCCAATATGCATTCCCCCAACTCGCTGTTTAATATATGCCACACAGTGCATCCGATGTACAATCCAGGTCCTGTCCGTCTCCTTCGATTAGACAGTCGGAGTGGACTTGTTGTCGCTGCTGTTTCTGTTTGACCAGGGCGGCGCAGCAAGCACCAGTTTGACCGTCATGGCCGTCGTCGCCGCAAACAGCAGCCATTCCAGTCCGCCAAAGACGGCCGCGGCCGTGATGCTGCCGCAGCCGTGACCGTCGCGGAGCGGACAGGCGTTGGTGCCAATGTTTACGGCGACGGCAACAAAGCCCGCGAGCCACGACAACAGGGCCACGGCCTCGACAGCCACGAGGACGTAGCCGATGATGCGATGTTGAGCAAAGTAGACGGCGGCGACGACGAGGACGAGGACGCCCAGAACGGTCCAGCCGGCACAGAAAAGAAGGAAGCCCCAGGCGCTGGGGACGCCGACGTAGTCTGTAAAGTCGCCAAACGCAAAGTGGTCGTGGACAGTATGACCGCGGAAGGCATGGACTGCTGGCCGTGTTAGACTGGAGGCGAAGACACGAAGACAAAACAATGATTAAAAGAATAGGGAGGCTCTCTTACCATATCCGTCTGTTCCCAGGACGACAATGGCAAACACGACCTGAAGTGACCGCAGGACTATATTCACTGTCCGACTGGCAGCAATGTTGGCGAGCATGATGACGGGGTGCTGTGTGCCGGACGGTGTTGTTTGAAAGATGTATGGAAGAGAAGAGTGCGCTGTTCTTCTCGTGGAAAACAGCAGTGGTTATCTGTTTGGAGATGGAACTATATTCACTATAAAAATATCATCAACAGAACACGCCCCTTTTATATACACCGGCGACAAACCAGACGATGTCAATGTGGTCACTGGACGTCGACCTCTTACACGGCGTTCCTTATCTGGCTAGACAGGTACGAGCGTGGCCATGCTGGCGGTTGATGCAATTCGCTGTTTTGTCGGGTGGTCGTCAGCCCTCCCGTTCACGACCTCGTATATGCCTAACCGCATTGGGACGACGGACAATCCGCCATTTCCCACTGCCCTGTTTCATGCTCCGAGCAGCGAGTATTGTCGGCGTCTTGAGTCTCTGTGTTGGGAGAGATTGTTGTTCTCTCCCCAGCATTTCCTGGCATCGACTATTATCCAACGACGCCCTTTACATCGACGCCTGTCCCGAAATGGACCGGCCAGAGAAAAAGACGCGAGAAAGCACGTCCAAGGTGCGCACAGGCTGCCGCACCTGCAAAGCGCGGCGGGTCAAGTGCGACGAGGCCAAGCCCGTCTGCAAGCGCTGTGCGATCGGCGGGCGGTCCTGCACGTACGCACCTGCAGAGGCTGCGTCGCCCGCGCGGCAGAACGTCATTGTCGTGTACGTGCCGCCGCCGTCCGTCCACGACGGCCCAACGCTGTCGACCAACTCCGCCGGCATCGACTTCTTCCACCACCACATCGCCGCGAGCCTCGACGGCCAGGTCGACCCGCTCGTGGGGTCGGCCTTTTGGGGCCGGCTCGTGCTGCAGCTCGCGCACGCCGAGCCGTGCGTCCGGCACGCCGTCGCGGCCGCCAGCCTCGTGCACCAGGACGTGCAGCTGTCGCTGCGGCACCCGGCGGGCTACGTGGCGGCGAACCGGCGCGCGCACGCGGCGTGGCAGAGGGCGGCGCAGAGCCTGGCGGCGCGCATCCAGCGGCGGTCGCCGGACGCGCACCTGGTGGCGCTGGTGTGCAGCCTGCTGTTTACGCTTATTGAGTTTCTGCGGGGCCGCGGCGCGATGGCGATGCTGCACGTCGAGAACGGGCTGCAGATCCTGGCGGCGCACCGCCAGAGCCGAGGCGAAAAAGGGACAAGCGGAGGGGAGCGTGTTGTCCCGTCGTCACGACGCAGAAGTCAAAGGCGAGGCCGCAGCGCCGTCGAGGACACCATTCTGCCCATCTTTGCGCGGCTGAACGTCCTGTCTTCGCTCGCGGGCAAGATGACGCCGCCCGCCTATGGCACCATGGACGACTACGACGACGACGACAACGACGCCGACGCCTCTGACCTCGCAGACGTCGAGCTGCGGCTGGTGGCCATCCTGGACACGTGCATTCGGTTCATCGGGCAGGCCAGCACCAAGGCCGCCGCGCTGGCGGTTGACGTGGCGGACTTTGCCGAGCAGACGCGGCTGCAGACCACGCTCGACGCGTGGCGGCGGCGGTTCGAGCGGCTGGCCGGCCGGACGAGGCGACTGGGAGCAGCCGGCCTGCGCCACCAGTTCATGGTCCACGTCAAGGCCGTCGGCGTGTGGCTGCGCGTGTGCACGTCGGCCAGCGAGACCGCCGTCGACGCGTACCTGGCCGACTTTGTCGAGCTGGTCGACCACGCCACGCACGTGGTCAAGCAGTTGGACGACGTCGGCGGCCCCCGGGCCCTCGTGTCGTTTGACATTCAGGTCCTGGGCCCGCTGTACTACGCCGCCCTCAAGTGCCGCCATCCGGCCACGCGCCGACGCGCCCTCGCCCTGCTCCGGTGTGCGCCGCGCCGCGAGGGCCTGTGGAACGCGCACGTCGCCTACGCCACGGCGCAGCGCGTCATCGAGCGCGAAGAGCGCCAGCTGGACGCGCGGGGGTGGCCCGCGGAGGCGGCGCGCGTGCACGGGCTGCCGCTGGCCGACGACGAGTCGCGGGTCCGGGTGGTGGGCCCGGACCTCGGCCATGCCGGCACGCACCCCGACCTCGACCTCGACATTGTCCTGAGCCCGGCGCACCCGGCGGCGCTGGCGACGGAATTCCGCACGAAGCCGTGGGGCCTGGCCGGGCCGTGGCACGTTGCGCGCGAGTACATTGCGCCGTGACGGGCCTGTATGTAGTACAATAGGATAAATTGGCTTGTTCTCTGCGATATAGCGTACGCACGCAATACTATAGATGGTCACATGAACTTCACTTTGAATGCCCCATCTTGCAGACGGCAAAGCCGCCGTACTGCAGCACCGCCGCGCCCACCAAGACATTGGTCGCCGGGTCCAGCGCCATCGCCGTCATGTCGCTCAGCACGCCGCCGTCGTCAAAGTACAGCAGCTCGGGCGCGTAGTCGCTGGCCCGGGGCAGCCGCAGCGTGGCCGCCGGCACGCGGAGCTCGTTGCCGAGCTTGTCGACGCTGGCCAGGTACGCGGGGAGATTTTCGACGGTGGGGAAGACTGGCGGTCAGTGGTGCAGAGACGATGGACGTGGAGGAGGGAACGTACCTGCTACGATGAGATCGCCCGTGGAGGGATCAATCTTGATGTTGTCTGCGGCGGCGCCGAGTTCCTGCGCAAGCGAGTCAGTTGTCGTTTCCGGTGCTGCGGTGCTCCACACACGTACAGGCTGCACGTACCACCTGAGACAGGTACTCCACGCCGTGGTCGGGGCGCTGCTGGAAGACGCGCAGGGTTCCGTTCTGCGAGTCGCCGACAAACAGGCGGTCCTCCCAGACGGCAATGCCGTTGGCGGCGGGGAAAGGGCCGGCCACGGTCTTGCAGACGGTCATCTATCGCCAGGGGGAATGGTCAGTACACAGTGCTCGGTCCGTCGCAGGCACGCAGTCCAGACTCGCCTCGCTCGCCGCGTCGCAGTATTGCACGTTTGTGGCCCATGTCCACGGCCCGAAGCGCTCTTCGAGCGTCCGCCACGGATCGGAAACGAAGTAGTGGTCGTTTGTGACGTAGAATTGACTGCCGATGCGTGTCAGCTGACTGTCCTTGATGAGATGGACGGGCCATGACTTGGACGCACAACAACCCCACGGCCGCGACGCCGTTGGCCGTCTTGATGTTGGGGTGCCGGACGTCCCGGACCAGCGCCACCGTGTCGGTGCCCAGCGTGTGCGAAAAGATGCTGACGGAGTCGCCCGTGCGCGTGTGCCGCACGGCGAAGATGTGGATCGTGGACGGATCGTCCGGAGACGACCAGACGTCCACGCCGTGCGTCACAAAGTCGCCCTCGACGCCCTCGATGCGCAGCTCCGTCGTCACGCCGCGCCGGAGGTCGTGCTTGAAGAGCGGCTCCCGGAACGACGACCCGACGGCCAGCCGGCCCGGGGCATCGCGCTGCCCGGCCGGCGGGTACCAGTGCGCCCGTCCGCGCGGGTCGCCGCACGCCGCAAAGACGGTGCTCGACGCGGCGTGCACGACGACGTCTTCGCAGGCGTGGGCGGCGGTCTCGACGACACAGGCGCCGTTGTTGAGCGGCCGGCTGGCGGCCCACTGCTGCAGGCGGCCGGCCTTGTCGATGTGCATGTGGCCGGCCGCGGCGGCCAGCTGGTCGACGAGGGCGACGAGGCCGGGCGGGACCAAGACGGCGGCGGCGGCGACGGCAACGGCGGCGGCGACGCGACGCGAAAACGTGACCATGATGCTGCGATGAAGTCGGGTTGGAATGGGCTCGACAAACAACAGCTGAAACAGCAGCTGCTTTGACGAGCGATGGGTTGTTGTGCCAAGGTGCTACTTGTTTTCAATTGTGTTTTCGGAGATGTCTCATCCGACGAAAAATGCCACATCGCCGAGATCGGCAGATGTTCTTCGTGCCTGTCAGTACGCCACCCGCACAGGTTCGGTAAAAGAAAACAGGGCCAAGGAACGACGGGAGAGACTAGAGTTTTGTGCTCTACTAGTCGTCATCGCCAAGAAGCCCAAACAAATACGGCAACGAGTTCGCAAAGCATCGACGGCCGTAAGCCGGGCATGGACGGCTCCCCCTGCCCATCGTCGACCGCCGCTTTTGCCTCGAAGCTAGTGCCTTCGTTCCGTGAGACTTGGCTGCAGCGTCCCCACGGGGAAGGGATCGACGGTCGTGGATGTGGGATGTGGGAGTGGGACGTGGGAACGTCAGAGGGTAAACGGTTAGCGGATGACGATGGTTGACGGCCACTGCCACGGGGAACAGTCCCTCTGTCCCTCTCCCCTCTCGCGGCTACACGGTTGGCGGTATACGTGCACCCGTGGAAGAATGCAGCCGTTTGCAGGGACAGGGCCAGACGACGCGCAAAGAGGATTCGGGATTCGGAGCGGGGATGTAAACGACGAGTGCCGAGCGCGGAGTCGGAGTCCAGGTCGAGGTCCAGGGTGTGGCGAGCCAGTGGCTTCATGTTGGCGGCGTTGTTAAGAAGGTACATGTGTGCTGCACCGCTGTATGTTTACTGTCGACTCTCTCGTCTCTCGTCATCACCAACCCATTCACAACGTCCGTCATCACGACAATGGCTAAACGAACGCTCACCAAGTACAACATCCTCATCATCGCCTTTGCGGCGCTGGGGTCGCTGACCTTTGGCTACTCCAACATGATCATCGGGAGCACGCTGGGGCAGCCGACGTTTGTGTAAGTGGGCGGGCGGTGCGGTCTGTCTTGTTTCACGTCACCATCACCACTTCACGTCACCACTTCATCACCACTTCGTCACCACCTCCACCACCTAACACACACAGGGACTACTTCCACGTCAACCGCGGCGGCAACGCCGACAAAATCACCGGCGCCATGAACGGCATCTACACGGGCGGCGGCTTCCTCGGCGCGCTCTTCTCGGCGTGGACGGCCGACCAGTACGGCCGCAAGAAGACCATCTTCCTCGGCGCGCTGCTGGCCACCGTCGGCGGCGGCATCACGGCCGGCGCCATGAACCTGGCCATGTTCCTGGTGTTCCGCTTCGTCAACGGCTGGGGCATCGGCATGCTGCTGTCGCTGGTGCCGCTGTACCAGAGCGAGGTGTCGCCGCCGCACAACCGCGGCCTGATGGTCGGCTTCCACGGCGTCCTGGTCACGATCGGCTACTGCGGGGGAGGTGAGTCCTACGGCCCCGGTGACAGGCTGATTGTGTTGCCTTGCTGATATTTCCGCAGCTGGATCGGCTTCGGCTTCTACTTCTTGAGCGGCCTCGACGGCGCGCAGTGGCGCCTGCCGCTGGCCATCCAGGCGATCCCGCCGCTGCTGTGCTGCTGCAGCATCCTCGTCCTGCCGGAGTCGCCGCGCTGGCGTAGGTCCTGTCCTGGTCCTGTCCTGGTCCTGGACCAGAGTAACACGTCGACTCAGCACCGCTAACGTACCAGTCATTGCCCAGGACCGCGCCGAGGAGGCGCTCGCCATTGTGCGCCGCCTGCACCACGACCCCAAAGACCCCGACGACGCGTATGCCGAGCGCGAGTATCACCAGATTTTGCAGCAGCACGAGATTGACCGCAAGTTCAACGTGTCGTGGTACGAGCTGTTTGCCAAGCCGTCGTACCGCAAGCGCATGATTATCGGCTTTGTCGTCCTGTTTGGTGCCCAGACGACGGGCACCACCGTGATTGCGAGTGCGTGGCCCCCCTTTGCTTTGCCATCGCGCTGTTGTCTGTTCTGTTCTCTGTTCTCTATTCTCTGTTCTCTGTTCTCGTTGTCGCTCGCTAACGCTCCCCAGACTACGGCCCCCAGCTCTACAGCACCCTCGGCTTCGACTCGACCCTGCAGCTGCTCCTCAACGCCATCTACGCCACCATTGCCCTCGTCGGCAACTTCTTCAACGCCTTCACGCTCGACCGCGTCGGCCGCGTCAAGGCCCTCAAGATGGGCTGGCTCGGCGACCTCGCCTGCCTCGTCGGCGAGTGCGTCGCCCTCAGCGTCTACGAGCGCACGGCCTCGCGGCCCGCCGCCGTCGCCTGCGTCGTCTTCTTGTTTGCCCACATCTTCTGCTTTGCCTTTAACGTCGACGTCACCACCTACGTCTACACCTCCGAGATCTTCCCCAACCACATCCGCTCCAAGGGCATGGCCTGGTCCATCAGCGCCTACTTTGCCGCCCTCATCGTCTACCTGCAGGTCGCCCCCACCGCCTTCAACACCATCGGCTGGAAGTTCTACCTCGTCTTCATCCTCGCCCTCGCCGCCTTCGTCGCGCCGCTCTTCTTCTACTGCCCCGAGACCAAGGGCCTGAGTCTCGAGGAGATTGGCCGCCTGTTTGGCGACGAGGCCACGGACATTGCCCTCGACGGGCCGAGCCGCCTCGACGACAAGCTGGGCATGGGCCGCGATGTGGAGATGATGGAGCCGGTGCACGACGAGGGGCAGTGAAGAGGGGCTGTGAAGAGGAGCGGCGGTGAGGACGAGAGATGAAAGGGAGATGCATAGAGTCCCCGGGACAAGGACACGGCGAGACGGACACAAGACATGTCGGTATATGGCAAGAGAGACGTGGCATTCGAGTGTTCCGATTAGAATAGAGATGGATTTTTCTCCGATTGTGCAACAAGCCCAGGCAATCCCCGTAAATCACCAATATCGTCGTTAGTTGTCTGCTCGCAGTCAATGCAGTCTTTCATCCAACATCCACAGACGACAAACGACAGTGACGAGGCACATCACGTCGGTGTAATCCGAGCAGCGTATTTGTCCTTCTTTTTTCATCCATCATGACACGACATGCAGTCTTATGTAATTCGGGCAGACGGACTAAATGTGGCTGCATATAGTAGTATAACACATGCAGTACGCCACGTTATAACCACGCGACATTTCATGCACCATGTCATCTAGTCTCCTCCCGTCTCTCTGCTTCCTGACGACCACGAGACCCTCTTTGCCCTCGCCACCTGGTACTGGTGCCCCGCCGACAGCTGGCTGCCGAGATACTCTACGCACTTGTATTCTGTTTGAATACCATTCGAGTTGCGCCTCAGTCCATCACCCACCTACACCTTGAAGCGTGACAGCGAAAACTGCTCCGACGCCTTGTCCCTTGTGCCCGTGGCCACCAAATCGGCCAGGGTCTGGCCGACAAAGGCGGCCAGCGTGACGCCCGAGTGCATCACGGCCAGCGTCAGTCCCGGCGTCCCGCTGTCCCCCAGAATGGACAGGCCGTCGTCGGGGTCGGGCCGGTGGCCGACGGTGTAAAAGTCGAGTTCCAGGGGCGGGCAGGGCACGCCGTCGAGCTCGGAGCGGAACATGGCCTGCACGTTGCTGAAAAAGACGTGGGCCTCGGCGTCTGGGTCCGCGGTGGGGCTGTCGCCCGAGTAGTGGCGGCCGGCAATGACGCGGCCCTCGACGGTCTGGCGCATATGCGGTCCCTCGATGGAGCCGTGGCCCGACGGGAGCACGACGCCGACAACCCTGTCGCCCTCGAGCAACAAGCGCTCCACGGTCGCCTCGCGCACCGCGGCGCCGTGGGCCCGCGCGTCGGCCACCATCGCCCGCGCCGCCCGCGCCGGCTCCATGCTGCCCTCGCCCGGCAGCGCGGCCGCCCAGCCCCAGGCGGGCAGGCCGGCGTCGGCCAGCCACGGCTCGCGGCGCAGGACCTCGGCGTTGGTGATGCGCGCCGCCGGGTAGCCCCAGCGCGCGTGCTGCTCGATGCAGCGCGCGAGGTCCGCCTCGTCCTGCTGCCACTGGACGGTGCCGTTCCAGCGGGCCAGTTCGGCGAGGCCGGGCACGGCGCTGATGAGGTCTTTCCAGTGCGCCATGGAGCGGTGGCGGACGTCAAAGTAGGGCCGGGCGTTGTCGAAGTTGGCGTTGAGCCAGGCAAACGAGTTGGGCGTGGCCGTGCCGCCGCGGTCCATGTCGGGCGCCACCACCGTGACCGTGACGGTCTGGCCGTGCCGGGCCGCCAGGTGCCAGGCGATGGAGGCGCCGACGATGCCGGCACCGACAACAACGACGTGCGGCTTGTCGATGGTCATGTTGGGTGGAGTGAGCGATGGACGGGGGGGGGGATCGTCGATGCAGCTTTGATGCAGTATGTCTCTTTGAGCGATGCTCATGTCGACTCCTTTCACTCGTTTATATAATTTATTGTATATATGGTATTGCTGCGTCTCATTCTCGTCCCATGCACCCCTTCTCTCACCCCCGGAATCGGCTGGGAACGTGCGATCACTCGGATTCTTCCGGGCTAGTCGGATCGCTCCAAGAGGCAACAGAACTCGACTTTTGTCACAACCATACTCTAGCATTTTGTCATAGTCTGGCTTGTTAGGGTGGATCCTGTTAAACGATCGTCGGGTCTCTCCATGTTCTCTGGTTGGCCCCCGCATTTTGTCACATTTTAGTCGGTGCCACTCGTATTCTTCCGAGTCGATAAGCAGTCGAGATACACCGTGCAGCTGGCAAACTGTAGAGATGCCATCCGTCGCCGGCCGAAATCCGGGGTATAAACAAGGGCTCCGCAGTCATGTTGATGTCGTTTCTTTGTCGGTGCACTCCTTCACTCGCCTTCACACCCCATCACTTTGCACCACGTATTTTCTCTTGCCCTCTCCCCGTCTCCGTGAGTTGTAATAAACAGACAAGCACACATTACCCCCTTCCGCCCATCCCATCATGCCCTCCTACGGCTTCGACGTGCTGGCCCGGCGCGTCAGAAACATCCAGCAGGCGCCGCGGGCCGTGCTTGTCAGCCCGCACCTGCTCGGCACGGCGTTTGTGTTTGCCTTTGCCGGGTTCCCGGCCGTCTGGATCGTCCCCGCCGCCGCCATGGCCGTCGTCGTGGCCGCCAGCTTCGCGTGCTGCGAGTCGCCCAGGTGGCTCATGATGGTCGACCGCTACGACGACGCGCTGGCCGCGCTCGTGCGCCTGCGCGGCCTGCCGGCCGACCACCCGCGCGTCCGGTCCGAGATCACGGCCACCCAGGACGCCGTGCGCGCCGCCCACGTGGACGCGACGAGCGAGCGGGCGCGCGTCGGCGCCAACCTGCGGCGCGTCCAGCAGTGCCTCGTGTCCTATCTGCTGGCCCAGCTGTCCGGCGCCAGCCAGATCACGTCGTACCTCGTGCCCATCATGACGCTCATGGGCGTCGCCGGCTCGACCGAGGACAAGCTGCGCCTCAGCGGCCTCTACGGCGTGGCCAAGCTGGCGTCCGTGCTGCTGGCGTCCTTTTGCCTCGTCGACACGCTCGGCCGCCGCCACTCGCTGTTCCTCGGCATCGCCCTGCAGATCGTCTCCGACGTCTACATCGGCGTCTACCTCAGGTACAGCCAGGCCGGCCCCGTGCCGCGCGCCGCGTCGCAGGCCGCCCTGGGGTTTCTGTACATCCACGGCTTCGGCTACTGCATCGGCCTGTTTTTGCTGCCCTACGTCTTTGGCGCCGAGCTGTGGCCCGACCACCTGCGCACGTTTGGCGGCGCGCTCGGCCAGACGTTCCACTGGCTTTTTATTTATGCCATGAACTACGGCCTGCCGTCGCTGCTCGCCGAGACGCACAACTGGGGCGCGTTCCTCTTCTTCGCGGCCTGCTGCGCCGTCGCGCTCGTCTACGTCTTCTTCATGGTGCCCGAGACGTCCGAGCTGTCGACCGACGAGATCGACCGCCTGTTCCAGGGCCCGTGGTTCCAGGCGTACAAGACGAGCCGGCTGATTCTCGACGGCGTCGACAGCGTCGACGGCGCCCGTGGCGTGGAGGGCGAGGAGGGCGAGGAGAAGCTGGAGGTGGGACGTTGAGGGGGATGAGAGGTGTTGCGACCCACGGAGGGTTATGGACAGTTTATATAGTCGCTATATCATTCACCAATGTAGCTATAGCCATCGTGTGTATCCCTGCCAACCCCCCACCTATGTAAACGCAAACGCCCCTGGCGCCTCTGTCAATGCGTCCTCGTTGATCCACTGCATCACCTCCCACGGGTCGTCCAAGCCGCTGCTCTCGGCCGCCAGCGTCGACGCCTCCACACTCTCCAGCCATGCCGCCGTATCTGGACTGCCGTTGTTGTTGTTGTTGTTGTTGTTGTTGTTGTTGTTGTTGTTGTTGTTGTTGTTGCTGCTGTTGCTGCTGCTCGCTCCGTTCATCCCTCCCCCACCAGCATCGCCATCGTCTTGCGCGACACGAGCCCAGGTACCGGGGCTCCATGCCCGTGGCGCACAGGCCAAGCATGCCAACGGTCGCGGCCAGGCTGTCGACGTCGCTGTCGTTGTTGTCGTTGTTGTCGTTGTTGTCGTTGTTGTCCGTGGCTGTGACATTTGTGCGCGGCAAACGCCACGTCGGCGAGCCCGTCGTGCATGGTGTTGGTGCTTGCGGCTGGCACTGGCTCTGCGTCTGCCCGTCTCTCAACAACCCCTCGAGATACGCAACCCGCGTCTCCAGGATCTCCAGGTAGTTGCGCGGCTGGTGGCGCTTCGTGATGGGATCCTCGACCAGACAGGCTGCCAATTAGTCTTCTGAAGATACACTTGCCACCTCACTCAACTCACTCTCCACTCACTCTGGCTGAACCGCACGCAGCTGGCACACGCCGGCACGCCGTTGTCGCACCGCAGCTTGTGCTCCTTGCAGTAGATGCACGCCACCAGCATGCGCGCCCCGGTGCGGATGCGCTGCGGCTCTTTGCTGCGCCGCCGGTCGTGTGCGCTGGGGTTGGACAAGAGCATCCCAGGAGCAGCAAAGTCAGTGATGGGTACAGTGATGGAACAGTGACGGGAGTTGCGATTGTTCGCAATGGCCATGTCAATGGACCGCGGGAATGGATAGTTGATCAGTGTTGTCGTGTCAAATATAGTTGTGAGGAGAGCGATAGATCGACTGCCCAGTCCCAAAACGGGGATAGTGTCGGAAGAATACGACTGCGACCATTTTGTACGGGGTACGACTGTGATGCTATTGCAATAGGATTCGTGATGCACATGCAGATGACTCTTATCCAGTCGACGTCTGATATTCTCTTGAAATATGATTCAATTGAATGCTGTATCTATTCACGAGAGCATCTCGAGTCATCTATTCTCCTCCACAGCATACTTGTTCTTCCCCCTCCCCCCCTTCCCCCCCAACACCACCTCCTAACAACCGTTGTGGTCGATAATCACATTCCACGTGTGGTCGATCGAAAAGATCTGGCCGCGCACCGTCGACGACCACGTGTTGCCGCCCGCGTACGTCGTCGTCTGGCACGCAATCAGCAGCTGCACGGCGTTGTCGGCAATCAGCTCACAGGGAATCGACACGGCAAAGTCGTTGTCGTTGCACAGCCAGATGCTGGCGTTGTCGCTGCACGTCAGGCGGGTGCAGCCGCCGGCACCGGGCGCACCGGCGGGGGCGCTGCAGGGGCCGGTGCCCGTGTTGTAGAGCTGCTTGATGCCGGCGTCGATGGGCGCGACGTCGACCGGCGTGCCGTAGGCACAGGTACAGTCGGTAGACACGGGGTTGGGGTTCTCGCGTTTGGCGAGGCTGGAGGCAGGGGTCCGCGCGAGGCCATGACCATCGTCACGGAGGGCCTGTGGAGAGGTTAGAAGGGGAGGACGTGAGCGAGAAGCGTGGAACGGCGACGGACAATGACAGGGGTTGATAATTACCAGTGCAGAAACGGTGGCGGCGCCCAGAAGGACGGCCAGCGAGAGGGTGCTTTTCATGGCGAAGCCGAGTTGTGAAGTCGGCTTGCTTGTGTTTCCGTCGATCGAAGCTCTGCGAAGAAAACACAACCATACGACTAGTGGATGTAGACCCGGTTGGCGGTAACGAGGCACAGCATATAAAGTCGGCAGACGGACTTGGCGCAACGACAGATAAAGCAGAACCTACTTAAATTATAGAGGGCCATAGAGGGCCATGACTCTGGACGGCATCACGGAGGGGGCCTGGGTCGGACTTTGTTGTCCAAAACACCAAACGACGTCGTCCGTGGCATAGTACAAGTCGCTGACATCACTCGGTGCTTCTATTTCCATTAGAGGCTTAAAAGCTAGACAGGGCCTCGAGGGCGTGGCAGCTCCAGGGTCACGCCCGTGGCGCAGCGCGATCGACGCGAAGGATCGATGGGCCGGGGTGGCTGATGCACTTGGAGGTGGGAATTGGCAGTGAGACGTTGCGCCGATGCTCCCTGGTTGTGGTTTTGGGGAAACTCAGACCAGTAGATAACGTGACGGGAGACAACACAGCTCTCCACGGCCGACGCTCCCCGTCTTGTTCTTTATGGTACGTAGTTGCGCAAAGCGACGTCAGTAGGGCCGACTTCCACTGTGAGAAGAAAAAATAGGCGTGGGAGGGAAGAAGAAAATAAAATAATAAAATCAATAGCACGACACAACGTCGAGAAAAGTCGACTTTCTGCCAACATCTCCGACGCACCCCGACATAGCGCTGATCGTGTTGCATGTGGGGTACATCGATGGCCATGGCCGCGTGCATCTGCGACGGACGAGGGACACAAAGCGGAGAACATGTGCTCTTGAAGAAGTTGAAATGGTAAGGGACGTTGGGAACGTTCAAGCTGTTGACAAGCCGAGTCAAGATCCTTTGTTTTTTTTTGTTCGTTTTTTTTTTTTTTATTTCTTGGTACCATTTATTTTTGTTCGCCTCCATTCCGCAGGATCACTGCACTGCCCATGGGTGTCAAAGGGCGCACCCTTCCACGCCCTAAACCTGCCGACAGGGGATCTCTTCCCTGTTCACTGTTGTATTTGGTTCTTTTCTGCTGATCCCCTCCCCGTTTGTTGTCCGGTCGGCCAACCTGCCGTTATGACGTTCTGACCCTCTCGTTTGACATGCCTGTTTTCTTTTTGATTAAAGAAGACGGCCATCGGCACCTCTTTGCATATAAACATATGTTCACACAACGGTTTGCACGACATTTTCTCTACTCTTTGTTTTTAATTTAAATAAATCAGTCCAGTCCGCTCTTCCTTTTTTTCACCATCGTCCCCCCACCATGCGGTCTCTCGTTTCGTCTGCGGCTGTTTTGCTGGCCGGCGCCCGTATAGCCGCCGCGTACCCCAACCCCGAGGGCTGCACGGGCGACTGCTTTACACACGACCCGGCCGTGGCCCGCCGCGACGACGGCACCTACTTCCGCTTCTCCACGCTCGACCTCATCAGCATCCGGACGGCGCCCTCGCTCTCCGGCCCGTGGACCGTGGCCGGCAGCGTCGTCCAGGGCCGGTCCGTCATCAACATGGACGGCAACGACGTGCTCTGGGCGCCCGACGTGTCCTACATTCGCGGGCTCTACTACTGCCTCTATGCCGTGTCGACGTCCGGCTCGCACGCCTCGGCGATTGGCTACGCCACCTCGGCGACCATGGACCCGGGCAGCTGGACCGACCAGGGCGAGATCCTGACGTCGTCGGATAGCAGCCCCTACAACGCCATCGACGCCAGCCTCGTCAACGGCACCGGCCCGGACGAGTTCTACATGACCTGGGGCTCCTACTGGGGCGACATCTACCAGGCCGCCGCGGCCATCGACACGACCTACCTCTACCCGTCGGGCAACCAGAAGCAGATCGCCTACAACGCGCCGAGCAGCGGCAGCTACGAAGAGGGCGCCTACACGTACTACCACGACGGCTTCTTCTACCTGTTTCTGTCCGTCGGCCGCTGCTGCACGTACGACCCCAAGCCGGCCGCCGGCAGCGAGTACCACGTGGTCGTGTGCCGCAGCGCGAGCGTCACGGGGCCCTATGTCGACGAGAGCGGCGTGGCCTGCACGGCCGGCGGCGGCACGACGATCCTGGCCAGCCACGACGAGGTGTACGCGCCCGGTGGCCAGGGCGTCTTTCACGATCCCGCGCACGGCGACGTGTTGTACTACCACTATTGTAAGTCGTGTTGCATACGGCATAGGAAAATATTAAGACTCCTCCCAATCTTCTTAACCAAACTAACCCCCTCCCCTTCCAGTGAACACGTCTATTGGCGTCGACTATGACCACTCCCAGTTTGGCTGGAACGTCATCCACTGGGGCGCCAACGGCTGGCCAAGTCTGTGAGGAAGAGGCATCCGATGAAAAAAATGAGATCAAGAGACGAGAAAATACTGTATATAGGGAGACTCTGATACTAAAGTGAAGAACGCATGGCCATGCCCTTTGAGTGCATCTCGAAAAGTCGGAATTAAATGACGCACAGGTTATTCGAGGTGGTATGAAGCCGTGGAACTCATAGCCCTTCATTATGAATACGCAGTCCATTCCACTCGGCTCTTCTACGGCCCCGACCATATGCCGCAAGTCTTTGCCTCTCCCATGTCTACGCGCGCCACGAGGACTGTGCAGTTCATTAGAACACACCGACCGGCATGGCCCGGTCTACCGCAGCCAGAGCCTTGTGCAAGGCTCGCAGAACCAGGGCCACTTCAAGGTAGTCATGAACATCTTTGGCAGGACGTTGACTGGAGACGTTGACGAGAAGATGGCCGTGTGGCCGTGCTAGCGTCGTCGCATGGCCACCGGATGAATATGTTAGTGTGGCGCTTTGATCCCGTGTCCAGGCGCATTACAGCCGAGGTGCGGCTCGGTCCGGACCGCCATGTCCGGACCAAAGGACCCCTAGCCCCCGCGCCATCCTGACGTCGGCGCTGTCCTTGCTCGAGCCGCCGCGCGGAGGACACGGCCGATACCGAGGTCGACCAGCTGGGCGTGTCCGGGCAGATACGGACGGGAGACGCATTTTCGTTGCCCGACAGCTGTGAAAGATACTATCGCCGAGTACGCCCGTGTACAACGCGGAGCAGCTGGTGCACGGCAAGAGGAAGTTCTGTGAGGAGGGGAAAAGGGGCGAAGGAGTGCAGATACACGACGGTATGTGGGTGAACACGGCAAAAGACATGTGTAAACAGAGAAATAGAGCATCAACGTACATTTCCAGAGAGTGAGCAACCATAGAAAGAACGATATCCCCATCCTCGCGGCTTGGCCAAGCAACATCACAGAGACCGTATGTGATACATCAATCCGTATGAGCCGACCTTTTCCCATCAACTTTGCCGCCGCCCGCACCCAAAATCACCACCCCAACAAGAACGGCCAGCGCCACGATACCCCCGATAACCATTGTTGTCGCCTTAGGCTGCTCACGGTTGACATCAGGTTTGTCGTGGGCGCCGGCGGTATCTGCAAGCCAGTCGTCGACCTTGCTGGGCGTGCTGTCGTCATCGTCGTCTGCTTCCGTGCTTACATCGCCGAACAGGGAGAACGCACTCACGTCGTCGGTGGCAGAGGAGAAATATGCGCGCCGGAGTCGTCGGCCCTGCTGTTGGCGGCCATTGCCGTTTAGTTTCGACCGGCACCGGATCAGGACAAGCTGCTTGCGTAGCCGTCGGACCCAGACGGTCTTTTTGTGGTGGGTTGCGAAAAGCGATCGTCGAGGGCTTGAACGATGGCCTGGAAAGAAATGCATAGGACAGGAGGCTTTCAGCGGCAGAAGGATATGATTGGTGGTGTGCAGTCGGGCTACAGAGAAGCGGGTGCAGTTTTCTGTTGAAAAAGACCCATATCACACAGTTTGAGAATCCATGCCTCTGTATTTATGATCGAGACGGCTCTGCTCACATTCTCTGTAATGTAACGCATCTTTTTGGGCCAACAAGTGTCCTGTCGCAATCCGCGACCGCATCTCAGCCAGGCACAGCATACTGTTAGGACAAGCCGACTGCGCCCGAGCATAGATGGGCTCTCGTGGGCTGGGAGACGCGCCTCTTTTCTGGGAACTGCACTTTTGCATGTTGGGGGTGAGGTGGAAACCAAAACAGTTCCGTTGTACCTTAGTTGGCCATTCACATTGCCATCCGTTCTTCGTCGCGTCAACACGCACCGTTTCTTTTTATCTCGTGACCGACCATGATTGGCCGCACCCGTAGGGCAGTGCCCCCCCCCCCCCCCCCAAAAAAGAGCCAGTTAACATTATGTATGCTTTCGTTTTCTTTTGTTTCTTTTGTTTTGCTTCGTTTATTTTTTTAAAACAATTACAATCAATAAATACATGCTTGCAAATTACGCCCAAAGACGGGGGACTGACCACGAAACACGGCTTTGCATCTCCACATGCGATAAATCAGTCGCTGCAATCTGTACTCTGGGGAAATCGAATAATGTGTAATATCTGTCCAGGCGATACAATGTCAAAGAGCCCAACGGCACCAGTCCAACGAAAGAGGACAGCAGCCTGACTCAGGGCAACCGCCTGTTCCGCCTTCCATTCGCCCACATTCGAAGACGGGGCGAGGCAAGGTGACGACAAAAGTCTCACATCGTAAACCATTCGTGCGCCACAACTTCCTCAGCGCTCAGACGCTTCTCAGGCTCGTAGCGGAACAACTTGTACAGGAGATCCGCCATCCGCTTTTGCTCTGCCTCCGATGTGATCAACGACGTCCTTGCGACGTCGTCGTGCTCCCCGCTGCCCGGGTCAACGATTTCGATAGGCTTGCTGAGTGCCACTTCGAGTGACCACGCTTCCGTATCGCCTTCCCGCAGCCAGGCCCCCTGCTCGTCAAAAAAATCCGCCCGCGCCTCCCATTTGTCCCACCATCCTTGGGGCATTTTGCCAAAGAAACGCACCATCTCGGACAGAAGGTCGTCCGTGTCGTAAATCATGTAGAAGAGCGGAATCTGCTGCCGGATCTCAAACAGCGTACACCCGAGCGCCCAGAGGTCGCACGCCGGACCGACGGCGCTTTCCTCGTCGAGCAGCACCTCGGGCGGGAGGTAGTTTTCCGGCATGCCCAAGTCCGCCGGGGGGGACGAGATGGCGTACGATTCGCCAAAATCAATAACGCAAATTTGGTTAGTCAGATACTCGTCGCCTAAGCGAGAGAGGTCGGCGGGAGGCGTGAGGTATCGTGGCGACGAAGGTGGAAGGTCGCCGCCGGACTCGGTTCGTACGTGGACCTCCTTGGGCTGGCCGAGGAGGGAAAGCAGCTCATCCTCCGACAGCTTGTTGAGGCTGGCTAGTTTGACTAGGACGTTGGAGGGCCGGAAGTCTGAGGGAAGGTGGTGTTTGTTAGTTTCAAACAGGGTGTACAGTGTGGCATTTATTTGATGCTTGAAGACCGGGAGGACGGGGGGACGTGGAAAATCATCATACCTCCATGGCAGAGACCGTTTTTATGTAAAAACTGCATCGCTTTCGCAGTCTGTTGGGCCATATCCCGGAGAACAGGGCCGGGATCCTGTTTCATCCGTAACCAGAGTTCAGGCGAAACACAAGGCCCGAGAACGGGGAGCACGAGGCATTGGTGTACTCCGTTTGGTCCCTCGATGGAGAAGGCATCGAGTGGAATGGCAATGTGCTCTGCACCGGGAGCGGACCGATCGAATCGCGCCAAGGCAAGATCCGGAACTGTCTCCGGCGCAACGTCTGCCACCATCACCTTCACAGCGACATACCCGGCATCGTCATGCGTGTCTCGACACAGCCACACGGTGCCAAAGCCGCCGTGGCCGAGCTTGCAAAGGACACGATAGCGGCCGGCGACGCCGATGGTGTCACCAAGGTGGATGGGATGGTACCCGCCATCTTGGTATTCTTCCAAGGGTTCGAGGCCCTCGTTGATTCCGTCCAGATACGTGCCATGGGAAGTGGCCGGCGCATGGTCGAGAACGCCGGCGTATTCAAATGAAGCGTCGTCGGGAAGCTCCGTATCAATACCCGCTTCGTCGTCAACACGGGTGAGTTTGGGGAATCGAGAAGGGCTCTTCTTGCTTGACATGATTCTTCAAAGTTACAGGATGCAGTGGAGGATGGGGTGCAGCTGAGAGGGGTGTGTAGAACAGACGACGTGGACCCGATAAGAGTTGAAGTCAGGCGGGGCAGGTCGTTGGAATTGCAGAGGGGAGAATACTGTGTGGGGGGCTAAAGGCTGATGAATTCTGGCTAGGTGGAGGGAGAACGAAAGCCAGATAGCCAAGTGGCTGCAGGCTACATAAGTAAGAAGGGCCAGGCCTAAATGCACTGAGCGCATAGTCGTCACGTGTGAGATCACTGTGCGCCAGGCCGCCACAGAGTTCCCATCACAATATGACCGTACGAAGAATGTCGTACGAGTTGTTCATACAGCGTGTAATACACGGCACAGTGGCATTGCCCCCTGGTTGAAACACTGAGAAACGCTTCCTTGCCGCGCGGCAACGGCCGCGTCGGAAGGTGTGCGGTCTAGCCATACCTGCTAATATGCTCCGCTCTGCTTATTTTACGATATTGTCTACAGAGTCTTTCCACAGGTAACGCATTGCCTAATCTTAGAATGGCCAGCGGCTGGATAATAAAAGGACCCGTATCGGGCGCCTTTGTTGTGGTGTGCTATCGTTTCAGTAGCGGCGAAAATTCCGGCCAACAGTCAATACAAACCACCACAATGCCCCACCACTCGCGGCCTGCGCGGACCAACATCTTGAAATAGCCAACGTCTGTTTCATTTGCCGCTTGAGACCTTTTCGACATCAGCTTGTTCGCCTGCGATCGTTCCCGTATTTGGCGCTTGCGATGAGCTTGTCGTTCTTGGTCGCTGGAAAACCTGACCATCTGCTCCTGGGCTGAAGAGGCCTTGGGCAATGATATCTTCTTTCGTGTTTCAGGCCATGTGATGGCCGTTCTGCGTATCGCTGTCCCAGACTGATGCTGGCACCTATCAAAAAGCATGATCCGGCCAATTTAGAATGGCTCCCGTTGCTGGCGTCAACCAAGGTCGAGGCATGCTCCTAGACGATGACATTGGGAGGCCAGATTGAGACCACTTTCGTGGCGGCCGGAACGTAGACCTAGGGCAACGGATGGAGCTGCTCTGTCCTCGAGCGAATGTGACAAGGTGTGCTCATGATCATTGGAATAAGAACGCTCCATGTCCCCCTCGTTCTAGAGAGGATTTCACTCCATACGAGCCCGCCATTTGTTGCCTGTTTGTTTCTTTCTAGTGTATTTACGATCAATATCCATACCACAGTATATTTTCAACCTCTTCAACTTCACCATGCCTGTCTATCCCGGTGACCGAGTCTATCGACGGGTCGGCTCTGGGACTACAGACAACCCAATGGTACGGGCAAATCTGCATTTGTAACGAGACCCACTGACTCACTCATCGTTCCAGATTATGTGGCTCGTTCCTCCACCTCGCAGCGAGAGCCGTACCCAGGGGAATGAAACCGTCGCTCGTGACCTTGGTCGTCTCGGCTTTACCCATATTTGGATTCGGTATGCGCATCCAGCACCGTTTGCAGTGCATCAATGTTCCGTCCTCCTTCTTTATATCTTTTCCATCTGAGTAGACGTGGCTGACACTCCCACCACTTATCATCTATAGGTCCTGCGACCATTCCACCACCCGCAGATCAGTAGTCACCCGTCGCGGCCACCGCTACCGCCAGACGGTCCGCACCGACAGCCACATCACAGTTTTCTGTGGCATGAGCGGAACTGCCGATTTCCAGGGTGACGTCTACGTTTTTGTCTCGCATAATGGGCGGTGGCGCATCATGCATGACAACGAACGCCGAAGCCGGAACGGGAGAGGCGTCGAGCTATATCAGTTTCCTTAGGAGAGGACACCGACAGGTGTCAGATCTTTGTCTTTCGGCAATTTTCTTGTTGTCGGATGGAAGGGAATTGGAGAAACTTGCCATGGCGGTCAACAGCGTCAAGATCGGGGACAGCATACATGTGGCTAGCACAGTCGTGTCGGTGCACCTTTGGCTGAGAACAGGAAGTGCTGGCACAACTGTGACGAACACAAGAACCGTGACTAGGGGAAGGTGCTTGTCCAATGGGAGACAAGACTACTCGGCAGGGAGACATTCGCACAAGGATTTACATCTAGGAAACAATGGGAGGACATATGTAATGACTAAGCAAGGCTATTTTCATAAGAGGTGCGAAATAGGGAAAGAAATATGAATGGAGGGTTATTATTATTCTTATCCGCCTTTTTCTGCCAGCCCTGGCTATTAACGTCCATCTAGGCAGAACCCTCATTGCGACAAAACTAGCACAGATCTACGTGCGTGCATTTTCTCGGCGTATGTGAGGGAATGCGATTGGCCTGTCCGTGCTAGACTCTCCAGTTCAGGCCTGCTGCCGAAGGGAGTGAGCCTCCAGGACCCGAGTCATTTGCCAAAACGTGTAAAGTGTTCTCAAGAAGGCCGCATTGTCCATACACGGCTGTGGAACACGGCGTGCTTTCAAGAAAAGGCAGAGCATTGTTTTGTTTTCAGTGTTTAGGTGTTACTTAATTTCGAAGACGCGATATGGGGTCTAGTTCCAGACTATATTGCTGGACCGACACCGGCCCGTCTTGGCATGCGGCCCGCGGGGTTCTAAGAATATTGCATCATCTTGCGATGGTACGTCTTGGCGCTGTTTCCTCATCCAACAATGCAAACACACGACGAAAACATGGCATCCGACCGCCCTCACATCGTCGTGGTCGGCGCCGGCATCGTCGGCGCCTCCATTGCCTGGCATTTGACCGCCGTCGAAAACGCCATCGTCACGGTCGTCGCCCCTTCAGCCGGAATCGGCGGCACCGCCACGCCCAACTCGTTTGCCTGGATCAACGCCAACAGCGGAAATGCACGGCCGTACTACGAGCTGCGACGGCGGTCGATGACCGTCTGGCACAAGCTGGCCAGCGACGTGCCCGGTCTCGACGGACTGGTGCGCTGGCATGGCACCATCCAGTGGAACAAGCCGGCCGACGAGCTGGCTGCATTTATCGACGAGCACACGCGCTGGGGCTATACGTTGGACAAAGTGACCGACGAGGACATCACCCGACTGGAGCCCGGTCTGTCGGACGCGGCCGAAATACGTCCTTCCGCTGGGTGGGCCGTGCGGGCACCGGACGAGGGCACAGTCGAGCCGGCGCTGGCAGCTCAGCTATTCGTGGAGCAGGCCAAGGCAAAGGGCGCCAGAGTTGTCACGAAACGTGTTGCCGAGTTGCTCCGATCGTCTGGCCACGTTACTGGCCTCGTTCTGGAAGACGGCACTCAGATCGATGCAGAGTACGTCGTGTTGGCGGCTGGTCTGGGTTCTGTCCCTCTCTGCGCGTCGGTGGGCGTCAAACTGCCTGTCCATCCACGGCCGGGCCTTCTGGCGCACACCAAACCCATCTCGAAGCGACTGCTCAAGGGCATCATCCTATCGGCAGGACCGCACGTACGTCAGACTGTGGAGGGCCGTTTGGTGATTGGCGCCGACTTTGCGGGCGGAAACGTTGGCAACGAGAGTCCAGATGAGCAGCGCCGGGACGCCATCGCCCTCGTTGACAAAGCCAAGACGCTGTTCCGGCCCGAGGACGCGGCCCTGCTGGACCTAGACTTCTTCACGGTAGGCGAGCGACCGCAGCCGCGTGATGGACTGCCGATTGTGGATGCTGCCGTTCTGCCGGGTCTGGCTGTGGCCGTCATGCATTCGGGCGTGACGTTGGCGGCGGTAGTCGGCGAGCTGCTGGCCAAGGCGGTTGTGAGACACGACGTCGACCCTATTTTGGAGGCATATAGCATTAAGCGGTTTGGGGAAGCAGGGTAAAGAGAGCAACAAGGGCAGTAAAGTTGGGCCAAGTTTGCATCGTCCATCAGTGTCTTGTGGCCATTCACCAAAGATGTTGATATTCTAATACGGAAACGCGTTATATCATGGCACACAGACAGCTAGGAGTATCCATTCGCAAAGCATCACCCGCTCACTCCATCAAGCATCAAACAGAAAATACCATATTCTCCTCCAAGGCATGCATGATCCTCGCTGCCCGCGCGGTCAAGTCCTTGCACTCGTCCGTGGCATCCGACCAGCTCCCAACCTCATCAAACTTCTTTGCCCAAAACCGCCATCGTTCCAAGGAGCGAGGCTGGAATGGAACAGTACCTTCTTCGTTCCATAGATCACAAATGTAGCTGGACTCGCTGCCCTCGTCGTACAGAAAGAAATTGAACATGCTCTGGCCGAACCAAATGATCCATTGGGCTGCCGCCATGATCTCGGTGTTTGTCTCAAACGCAGTGGCTTCTAACCGCTTCGGCTGCTCAAAAACATAGCGCAGTTGGATAAAGCCCTGACCGGGCGTGGTACCCCAGATACCAATGGCGCACAGCTTGGCTTCAAACGCGTTGATGTTGACCCAGTCGTATGGAAACTCCTCGTCGAGGCCTATGTTGCAGTTAGCACTCACTAGCTTTCATAGCAATCGAAAAGTGTCAAACAAGGTCGTTTAGTAGTACCTGACGCGTCTGTAAGCGAATTTCTGAAATGTTGAAAAAAGGCAAGCATATCTTCGGCAGTCTGTTTAGAGATGTTAGAAAGGAGCGGTCAAGAGGACCGGTCATTCCAATGAAATTCCCGGTATATTCGCCTGCGCCAGAAGGAGAAAGGGAGTGGAGAGCAGAAGAAAAGAAGAAAAAAAGAAAAAGAAAACGAAATGTACATTGTCCAGACGGTACTTGTTTAGGAACTTGGGGGACTTGGCTAGCATTCGAAGAAGCCTCGCAAACTTGAGCTGCGATGGATGGTGGTACGGGACCTGTTCGGCAAGTCCAACGCAGAGAGCGCCAAAACTCTGGAGTTCTCTCGACGAAGGCGCGTTCGCCGGGATCAAAGCAAGAATGGAGGTCACCACCTCGTCATTTGACAATTTGCTGTCAGGTTGCAGAAAGTCACACAGAAGCGTCGCAATCTTGCGCTCAGTGTAGCCTGTGCCGCCTGTAAATGGAGGAGCTTTCCACGGAGACTGCGGTGAGACGACAGGGACGGTCACCTCCTTGGCTTCTTTCTTTGCCCATGGCAGCGAGAGCAGGGAGCCGCGCTTCTTCTTCTGGCCCTTTGGGCTTTTCGTGTCGCCGCCTGACTTTTCGTCAACAAAGACGAGAGAGTCAGTCTTCTCCTCGTTCGTTTCGTCGCCAAAGTCGACCATGAGATGTAGGGCAGCCATATCAGTGTGATTTTGTAACTCGTATGGCTGTGAAATAAGATTTGAGAAGAGAAGGGGAAAAGGCATAGGATGTAGAAGTAGAGTAGGAATAAGAACTACTGGAAGAGGAGAACGTAGAGGATGAAGAAGACGAAGTATAAGAAGAAGATGATGATGATGACAATGGTATGCGGGGGTTGTCACTTCATCCGTACATGTAGCGACAAAGTGTTTCAAGTAGCCGCTGAGAGATTTCCAAATACGACACACATTTAGATACAGAGGAACACGCCGTGTGAGTCAACCCCTTATTCTCCCACCAAAGTCTTCACTGGCGTTTACATCTTGTCCAATCAATCATAGATGTGACACAAGCAGCCGCCCCATCTGCAAGGCAGCCAAAATCAGCCAAATTACTTTTTTGATACGGCCAGGCCACACTGGTCTCGATAGCCTTGTTGGCTGCATCGTACAGACGCACAAAGAGCCAATAACACAGTCGTATAAAAGCGCTTCGCGAGACGCATGTTTCGCTTAGCCGCGCCGCCTGCGCCTTTGTCATGTATATTATTTATATTAGATTCAAGTTGCCATAAGTACCCTCTCTGCTGCTTCCTCTTCCGCTCACAGCAACTGCCTTGAACTCTTGTCGGTGAAACCATATTCGACCCGCTTAAATCAAGGACGACCTCTGCGATAGTCCCCGTAAAAACATAGGACGTTGTAGGATCAGATTATCGTTACGGACCAGGTTGGTTTTCTGTATTAAAGGGGCGGACCGTATTTTATCGAAAAGCATACGTAAGTAAAAGGTAAAAAAGCTGTGATAAATCATTACATATGGTATGTATTGTTCCATTATTTTGCTTTCTTACGCAATGAAATCAACATCCTTTTCCATGCGCAATAACAATTCAAACGAAAAGTCGGCACGAGAAGCGGAATAAATTTCTTCAGAATAAAGACCGAAAAAGAGACAGAGAAAAAAAAAACAGAAAGGAAACCATAGGCCCGAAAATACAAAATACTGTAAACTACAAATGCAAATTTGGCCAGATGGCAAGAAAAAAAAAATCAAAGTACGTCAACAAAAATGTAAATTTTATTAAAAATAAATCAATGCCCAGACGCGGGATCGAACCGCGGACCTCCTGCTCACTAGGCAGGCGCAGCTACCACTGTGCTACCCGGGCCATTTGACGCTGCGAAATCTGTTAGCAAGCGCTATATAGACAGGCTTACTTTCTCCTCACGTGAAATAATGCTAGAATCTCCACAACCTTAGCGACGAACGCTGAGCTTCAACCCCAGCTTCTCTCAACTTGGCAATCTTCACCCGTTATCGACTTTTAAGCTCAGGCTGATCCACAACGACACCCACCCTCCCAACCTGATCTGAATCCAGAATCTCTTGCGACGTCAAACCACTGCCGCCAGTTTCACCTCGTATCCCTCCACCAATTGACCGAAACGGCATCCGTTCCCAGCAGCCTCTCCTCGACATTCTCAACCGCCTCTACTATCGTCGCCTCGTCGAATCCAACCAGCCATGTCCGCCCCCGGCGCCACCAGCGGCGGCGCCGCCTCTGACCAGTTCGGCGACCTGCTCGACCGCGAGTCCCAGCTCATCGCCCAGTACATGCAGCACGCCAGCGCCCTCGTCATGGCGGCCACGTCGCGCGTCTCCAACCGGTCCACCATTGGCGAGGCGGCCGCGAACCGTCTGCGGATCGACGCCGAGGTCGCGGGCCTGCTGCGAACGGCCGAGAACCTGTGCACCCTCACGCGCCGCATTCGCGAGCTGTGGATCGTGGGCGCGCTGCGGGCGTCGGGCGCGGGCGACGCCGAGGCGGAAAGCAAGATTCGGAGCGATGTGGCGCCGCTGCTCGCACAGCTCGAGAGCATGCAGCAGGCGACGCGGACACGCGATTTGGGGCGGTACGGGACCTACCAGACGACGGCGACGGGCGGACCGGTGCCGCAGCCGACGCAGCCGACGCAGGCACAGCAGGCACTGCAGACACTGCAGACACAGCAGACACAACAAGCTTCGCAACAGTCACAACCACCATCACAGCCACCAGGCGAGGCAACAGCATCATAGGGAGAGCCCAGTGAGAGCCTTGTACATTACTACTGCCCTAGCCTTGTACGATATCATAGCATCTGCGTAACATAATACCAAACGTTTACACCATAGTTACTTCTCGATTTACCAACGCCAGATATGACTGTATGGAAATAAAAACTGCCCTCTGCTTACCCCTCGCCCTCGTCTGGGTTCTCGGCGTCCTCGTCAGGATCCTCGAGAAGATCCGACGGCCCGCCAGCACCACGTGCGCCGTCCTTGCTGCCGCCCTGCCCGCCAAACCGCTCAAAGGCGGCCTTGTAGCCGCCCGGCACCGCCCACAGATAATAGCTGGTGCGGAAGTTGTCCAGCTGGTGGAAGAAGGCGTGGAACACGTTCTGCGTCTCCTCCACGTCCCAGATGCGCCCGTAGATCTGGCTGTCCTTGAACGCCCGCAGCTCCGTCTCGTACACGCCAAAGTCGAGCGGCGCCTTGCCAAAGTTGGACTGCGCGCGCGCGTTGTAGCTGTCAAACACGGGCCGCTCCAGCAGCAGGCCGAACCCGGGCGCGCGCGGGATGCTGATGCGCCGCGGGCCGTAGCTCAGCGCCATGGCCGGCGCCGGGTCCGTGCCGCAGCGCGTCACCATGACGGCCATGGCCACCATCTTGCGGATCTGGTGCATCATGAAGCTCTGCCCGTGCACCTTGAGCGACAGCCACTGCGTGTCGCGGATCTGGAGCGGCGCCGGGTTGACCACAAACGACTTGATGTGCCGCTTGGCCGACGCGTCGCCGTGCGCTTTCTGGATCGTGTAGTTGTGGAAGTTGCGCGTGCCCTCAAACTGCGTCAGCGCCTCCTGCAGCCGCTGCAGCCGCTGCGGCGTCACGCGGTACGCGCGCTTGGCCGCCATGTACGCCGCCTTGATGTCGCGCAGCGCCTGTTCGACCGCCAGCTTGTGGCTGGGCCCCGTCGTCGTGGGCTCGGCGGTCGCGTCGTCTGTGTTTGCTGCCGTCTCCGCCACCACCTCAGCCGTTGCCTCCGCAGCCGCCTCCTCCGTCGTCTCCGTCACCTTCGGCCCAGTGGGCCCATCGGCCTCGGCGTGCTCGACGTTCTCAATGTCCTTTTGCGTGACCAAAGACACGTCGTCGCCCGCGTGCAGGCGCTCCGTCACCAGCCGCCGCACCTCGGGGCTCAGTGCGTCCAGAATCGGCGCCACCACCTCGCGATCCACCGTCGGCCAAAAGTCCTTGACGTCGTCCAGCCGCTCCATCATGCCTGCAAAGACAGTCTGGTCCGTCTTCTCGCCATCAACAGCATCGCCGGCGGCGGCTGCCGTCGCCGCTTCCTCGTCGGCCTTGGTGGACCACGACACCATCTCCCGTCCCAGGAAACTCTCTGGATGCGGCGGCAGCAGCGCGTAGCTCGGCAGCAGGTACTCGTACCACCGCGAGTCGCACGCCTGGTAGCAGCTGAAGCTGTTGATCGTCCGCTGGATGCCCCACACGCGGATCTGCGCCGGCAGCGCCGCGTTGATCTTGTCCACCACGTCCGCGTCCTCGACAATCAGCTTCAGCGAGATCACGTTGCCCGCCGCGTGCACGCCCTTGTCCGTCCGCGCGCACCGCACGAGGCTCGACTTCTTGGGGTCGTCCGCGTTGGCCTTGGCAATCGCGCCCGCCGCCACAAACGCCGCAAACAGGTCGCCCTCAATCGTCTTCTCGTCGTGGTTGATCTGCATGCCGCGGTAGCCCGTGCCCGCGTAGCCAATCATGACCGCCACCTTCCGCTTCGGCCGCCGGCCCTCGGCGGCAATTTCCTCCGCCGAAAACGGGATGCTCATGTTGGACGGCCGCGCCTCCCACGTCTTGCCCTCTCCGTTTTCGCCGTTGTCTGCATTCTCTGCATTCTCCGCATTGCGGCCACCATGCAGGCGCCGCCGCTTGACCGGCCGGTTGTCCTTGCGCCAGGTGCCGTTGTCCTTGGGCTTGGCGCCGTGGCCGCCGTGGCCGCCGTGGCCGCCGCTGCGGTGCTTGTTGGCGCCGCGGTAGTTGTGGCTGTGTTTGGGGCCGCTGCTGCCGCCGCCTTCATCGTCACCAGCCATGATTGTCCCGTAGGTGCGTCGAGGAGACGTCGTCCGTTTGGCAAGGTTCAAACGACTTGTAGTGGGAAGCAACGTCAAGCTGGGAGGGACGGCTCGTCGTGACAAAGGGGGTCGGGTGGTGGCCGTAGAGCAGTGCGACACGAGATGAATTGCCTTGGAAGGCAATTGGAGTCGACAAAGGGGCTGTCGCATGTCCAGACTCAAAGACAGCAGGGTGCTGGAATTGTTCGTCCCAGACGTGTCTTTGAAGCTCTCGCCGAAATACTTTTTTTTTCGGTTAGCGCCGATACAGCTGTGAAAAATCTTAGTCATCCACGTAACAGACCTGGGTGGCAGCTTTGAAAGCGCATATGTAAAAGATTTCTCAAGAAGAAAGTTTAACATGAAAGTCGTTGATTTAATTGTTGTAGAAGTTGTAGCACCGTTATGAATAGTGTAGGAGTGTTGTGGGAAAACTCTACCAAAATGTCAATCATTACCAGGCACATTTGCTTAAACCAAAGTCCATGAAGAAAAGATATTAAGAGTAAAAACGTATTATTAAACATTTTTATGTTTTAAGAATAATTCCAAAATAAAATATAACTCAATATTTGATACATGTAGAAATATTCAAACTCTCTGAATACAATGTGGTATTCCAAAAATCAAGCCAAGTCATTCTGCGCTCGTTTCCTGTTCGTTGTCGTGAATCATTACGTATTTTGTCGTTCAACGTGGTTGTGTTTTAATCTCACCAAGCCGAAGCCACATCAGCCGGCTCCTGGTCGGCAACGTCATCGTCGTCGTCATGTTCGTTACCATCACTGGCAGACGTCTCCGGCGGAGGGGTCGCCGGTGTCTGCACCTTCTTTTTGCCCGTGCCCAGCTCGCCCGCCAGGGCATCGCCTTCGTCGGCGCTGTCGTTCTCCGGCTCGAAGCTGTTCTGCAAAGGAGATTTGTTCTTGGGAGGAGGGCCGCGAGCGTCCGGAGGGGCGTCTCCTGACGACAGCGACGACGTGGATGATCGTCGCCTCGGCATGAACGCCTTGTATTGGGGCGACGCGGCAAGGATGGCATCCTCGATCACGCCCGCCGTCCGTTCGTGGCCAAAGGTGCGGGCAATCTCGACGGGCGTCGCGCCGAGGTCCGCCTTGTCGTCGTCGTCGGAGGCAGCGCCGAGAGAGCCGGCTGCGTTGTGGTCGGCGCTGTGGTCGACAGTGTCGTCGGTCGTCGCGCCGGCTGCCATGTCAACGCCGCCCTTGTGACCTTGATCCGCTGCGCCATCGCCCGTGTCGTACTTGGCACGCCCCAACGGCCGCCCTGACGCGACCTCGACCTCGCCCTCGCCCTCGCCCTCGCGCTCTTTGCGGTCGGCCTGTCGCTTGACCTCGTTGTCGTCGCCCAGACACACGCGCGCGGCAACGCGGCCAATGCGTGCGGTGGGATCGGCGCCGTTGGCGAGCAGCCAGCGGACCATGTCCAGGTGCCCGCGCGAGGCGGCCGCGTGGATCGGGGCGTAGCCCGAGCGTGAGCGCGACCGTTTGGAAGGCGACGTTGTCTTGGTCTTGGCCTTGTCCTTGACTTTGGCTGTGCCCTTGTCCGTCACGTCGCTATCGCCGTCACTGTCGTCGTCGCTGTCTTGACGTCTGTCTTGACGTCTGTCTGCGCCGTCGTCCTCCGTACCTGCCTCTGATCGAAAAGGGTGGACGGCATTCACCGACAGACCATGCTGCAGCAGGAGCATGGCCAGCGCGACATCGCCCACGCGGCTGGCGGTGTGCATGGCCGTCTCGCCGTACTGCGGCGTCTTGTAGCGGACATCGCCGCCGTTGCTCATGAGGAAGCGCAGCATGGACCGGTTGTTGAAGTAGACAGCTAGCATGACAGGGGTGACGCCGCTGCGCAGCGGGGCATTCACCTGGGCGCCACTTTTCAACAGGTGGAAACACATGTCGGCACGGCCGGCGCGCACGGCCATGTGCAGGGCCTGGCTGTGGCGGTCGGTGGTTCGGGCGTGGACGTCGGCGCCGTGGCGCAGGAGCAGTGCGACGACCTCGAGTTCGCCGTGGGCGGCAGAAGCGGCCGCGTGCAGCGGTGTGCGGCCGTTGGCGGCGGCGACATTGGGGTCGGCGTTGGCGAGCAGCAGGCGGGAGACGATGGCGGTAGAGTCGCTCTGGACGGCGAGATCGAGGTACGTGGAGGTCTTGTCAAACGCAGTAGTGACATGATGGATGTCGGCGCCCCGTCGCAGCAAGAGGTCGATGGCAAAGATGTTGCCCACGAGGAGGGCGGCGTACAGCGGACGCAGGCGCACGATGCCACCGTCCGGGCCCGCTGTGGCCACGGCCATGTCGGCATCAACCACCTCGGGGGTCTTGCGCAGGTAGCGCCCCATGAGCGTCGAGTCGTAGCGCAAAATGGACTCAACAAAGGGGGACAAAACAAGGTTGCGGCCCGTGGCGCGGGCTCCGTACGTCAGCAGGGTGGTCACGAGCTCGCGTGGCAGGGTCGGCCGTTTGGGGTGCATGAGGGCGTAGCCGAGTGGCGTCACGCCGCGGTCGTCGCAGACATTTGGATCGGCGCCGTGGGCGAGCAGATGCAGGACAATCGACAGATGGCGCTCGCGGCAGGCGACGTGCAGCGGCGTCAGGCCATGCGCATCACGGACATCGACGTTGGCGCCGATTTCGAGAAGGATCAGGGCCGAGGCGACGCAATCGGTGTTGCTGGCGAAGTGCAGCGGCGTGTTGCCGCTTCGGTGCCGCACATTGGGGTCGGCGCCGCAGATGGCGAGCATGGACACAAGGGCGGAGTTGTCGTCGTCGACGGCGTGCGAGAGCACAAAGGTGCCGTCCTCAAGCATGTCATTGAGGCTCATGTCCGACATGAGCAGCGTGACGACGGTCAAGTAGTCTTTTCGGTCAATGGCGGCAACAAGGTCTTCTTTGCCGGCGGGTGATTCCGTGCCATCTTTGGATGCCTCGATCCTTCGTTTGCTCTTGCCCTTGCCCTTGTCATTGCCCCTTTCTTTCCCCTTGTCCTTCGTGGTGTGCTTCTCGCGATGCTGCTGCTTCTTTTTCTTGTCCTTGCCCCGGTGCCTCTTTGCAGCCTTGGCCAAGCTCACACTGCTCCAAAATGTGAAGAACGCGGCGCGGTCATGGCGGCTACTGCCGTCGTCGAGAAAGTAGCGCGTGTCGCCGTCGTCGAGGCGCATGCCGGTTCTGTCCTTGTAGAGGGCATCGGTGGAGATCATGTTGATACTGAAACGTTAGCGGCTCGTAACGGGTCGTGCGCAGAGAGGATGCGTACGAGGGAAGGGTGTGACTTACTACTTGCACGTCGTCATGTGCACTTCGATGTTTTGCTCAAACGAGCACAATCTGCGCACGGTCGCGAAGATGTAGTTGTCGTTCCAGCGCAGCGGGATGGCGTCTGGGTCCGGGAGAAAGCGGGAGCTTTGTCGCCGCACGGTCCAGACGCACGCTTCCTCAATGTTGGCCAGGTAGTTGCGCAACTCGAGCATCATGTCCTCGACTCTGGGCAACACGCGCCGGCTCCAAGCCAAAGGCGACTTGTGCGCCCGGGCCGGGTTCCGATTGACGGTGACCGAGAAAGAGGCTGCGTGCTTTGTCGTCTTTTGTGTTCCCGTCTCGATGCCCTTTGTCTTTTCTTCTGTCTTGCCCTCTGTCTTGCCCTCTGTCTTGCCCTCTGTCTTGCCCTCTGTCTTGCCCTCTGTCTTGCCCTCTGTCTTGCCCTCTGTCTTGCCCTCTGTCTTGCCCTCTGTCTTGCCCTCTGTCTTGCCCTTCAACCTGTCCTTCAGCGTGTGTTTGCTGTCCCCAAGATGCGGCTGGTAGATGTTGACGTCTCGGGCAACGCTCTCGACGTGTGCCACGTTCTCAAGCATGTCGCGCAACCGCTCGAGGAGTTTCTGAAGAATGACAACGTGGTTGTAGAGCAGCCGCAGTGCGACCCATGCGCTCTCGTGCTGGCGGATGAGGTCGCGGATGCCGCAGTTGCTGCGTTTCAGCAAGCCGATGGCATGGTTCAGGTTGAACGCCAGGGCGGAGGACATGCGGTGCTTACGGTCCCCGCCGAACGCACGATACGATCCGGGCACAAGCTCCGAGGGTTGCCAGATGGCGTTGGTGGCCTTGACGGGCGGCGGCGGCGTGAGAGATGCCGGCAGGCCAGCCAAGTGGGCGTTGGGATGCGCCTTTGGGCCGCTGCTGGCGACGGACGGCATTGTGGGCGGAGGGATGGGGGACAACGAGCAAGGAAAAAGGGACGCAAGTGAAGGGAGAGGAGTGACGGTCGCGTTGTTCGAACGTCAGAAGCCCTGGCGATGTCGGGCCAGGAAGGTCGTCCGCGGTCCCAACCTCAGATGAGACACAGGTCACGGGCAACGCTGTCCTTATTGTCGCCCAGGTTCACTGCTGTCCAATCTGGTAATCCAGGATTCCGTCCGCGGACAATGGCGGTCGGGGAAGAGGTGGCACGAGCAAAGTCGAGATGAGGAGACGCTTGGCCTAGTTTATGATAAAGCGGAGGAACAACGGAGTCGCTGAGAAGCCAGGCAGATACCGGCCAGGCTGTGCCACGTGGTGGTTGGCGGACAGTTGGGTGAGAGGGGAAAGAACGACCTTTCATCGCAGTTTCCAAGTTTGGCTTGTGCGTTGCGGCTCTGCTGCGGGTGACCAGCGACAGCGACAGAGCGGGCAGGAGCTGGTTTTTGCGCTGCCGTGGGGAGTATGCCTTGGCAGCATGGAGTTGCCAGACGAGGAAGGATCGCCAGACGAACGGGGCCCTCTTGCCGTCTGCTGGGGAAAACGACTTGCGCTAGGCAGAGCGGGGGAATGGGGCAGGCACGGTGGGCAGTTTCCTTAGTCGTTATGGGTGAACCGGGAAGGCGCGATTGTTCATCGTGCTTTACGAATGTAATCGCCGTGGTTTCTTTACTTTAGATAATCCAAGTCATGTCGCTTTTCACTTTTCATCTCCTTATGCTCTACACTGTAGCATCTGCTTTATGACGCCCTCTAACTGCCATGCCTGGTCGGAAGGTGGCGCAGAAACCCCACATCTGCCGCCATCTGGACCCCCAAAGACGGCGTAGCACGTCAGTAGTCGAAAACGCATCTTAGTCTCTGTTGCCTCATAGCCAATGAAGCCGTGTCAATCCTTGGATGCAGTTGGCGTCGTATATCACCACACTATACGAATGATACCACCCGAAAAGCCTCACTGAAGATTTCCTCATGTCCCCCCCTGTGCTCTCCGCGCTCGCTGTGGCCGCTGTGCCTCTATGCGCTGTTCCATCGCGAGCCGACACAGCCATAGAGCCTTCTTCTAGACGCCATGTTATCTTACAGTTTGAGAGGTACGCTTAACTGCATCTCCAAAGCCGTGACTAAATGACCCATAGCCACCTTAAGCAATACGTCTTGGTGCCTCAACTGTCGAGTAGGCGCCGGTTCGTCACCGTTATCAACATGGTTTCGTCGCTGTCTTCCCCATTCGCTGCGGTCCACGTACACCGGGCAGGCGAGCCATACACCAGCGGTCTGCTATACTGTCTGGAAGTGTGGTCTCTGTGAAAGGCGGCAAACCAGCCCCGCGAAGAGAGCTTCGGGTTGACGGAAGCGGATTTGCTCACTTGCCCGTTGTCTTGTTCGCGCATTGCCGCGCGCGACGATGGCAGTCATAGCAAGAGGTTGCGTTGGAAACAAGACAAGTAGCATAAGTTGACTTTCGTTTGACGGACCCGCGCAGAAAAGACATAAGCGCGGTTCTCACCCGGGAAAAGGATGGGGGATAGGGCAAATAAAGCAGGGATAGAGAGACGATGGAGAGAAGTTGATCAGAAGTAAAAGACGAATATTATGCGTCTGTCTCCTTTCCTTTCACATCGCGTTAAAACGTTTTGCCCGACGCGCTTCTGCACAGACCATGCTGAGGCCAAAGGACTTACTTGCAGACGGCCACTGCGTCATCCACGGGCAAGTATGCGGCCCGCGCCTTACTTTTGATGATCTTCTTATTTGGCCTTTCTTCGGGAAGCGATCTCGAAACGATCATGAGAGGAGAACGCGGTGAACGGCACACGCATTCACAAGGTGGGATACGTTGATGGTCTGTCGCACCGACGTATGACGGCGTACGCGGGGGTGAGGCGGTTGGCTTCCACGGCAAGGAAGCGCGCGGCGTTCAGATATGCTTCGCGCGTGTTTGGAATTGCTTCCTCGCGCATATCGAGAGCAACCATCATTCTTAAGTTAACGGTGTCTTTACACAAAATTATATACAGTACATAAGAATTATTTTCTTTTACGTAGGTCGCCCGCCGCCGTTAACGGCTTCCTCTTTTAAAATAAGCCCCCGTCATCAAAACGCGGTCCAACAAGTGTCTCGCGAGAGGGCTGCAGTGCCGCATGGCTGCCTACCGAGCCTACTCAAGACTCTGCCGCGGGCCAATCGAAGTTGGCCGCATCTGAGGGTGTCTTCGACCCACAACCAGGCAGTAATGCATCTGATCTGATTGCCGCATATCTTCTGCTCGGCTGCTTGGCCTCGCAATGGCAAGCATCTTTACATTCGGCATCTCGAGGCTGGACGAGGAGATGGAGGCACCATGCCGTCCATTTACACAAAGTATTAATACTTGCCATTGTGCCGGACTGGACTGTCTTTCAGGACCCGGCGAGCATAGGACCACTCCGGCCTCCATACGGAACATGGAATGAGCAACTGGTATCTGCTCCCCTTGTCACGATGGTGACGGTACTCGAAGCACTCCTGAGGAGGAACCCGGCACTTGACACACAATATGTTCACCCCGGGCCCAATACCACGGTCAAAGACGCCGTCGCTCCGGACGAGTGGGTCCCGTGGACGAACTTCACATACGCAAACCTGACAATGATCTTTTCGAAGCAGCTTCAGACGACATTCAGCGGCCCCTCCGACGACAAGCCGTTGCCGCTTGACGTGACCATCTGCAACGAAGAGACTTTTGCAGTTGTTCTGCATCGTTTTGTCATGCCGACAGTCAACCGTTGTCTCCACAGCGTAGCATCGACGGCTCATTTCGGCCCCGGCAGCCGCTGCGCCGATGCCACAGCGGTCCCCGACTGGTCTTGCATTGGCAACAGCCTCTCTCAAAACTATGTTCCGGGAGACACCAAGCTCAGTGCCAAGTTCCGACCAGACATGGCCTACTCAAGTAGCGCATACGACCGGGACGAGTGGGCAAAGGTACTGGGACAAATTACGTATTATCAATCTCAATTTGGCTCCAGGTACGGCTTTGTCATTACCGACAATCTGCTCTTGGTGCTTCGAGCATCCCGTCTACGCACTGGCCCCGGCATTTCCGCTATGCGGCCTACACGCTCCGGCGTCGTAAAGATTGTCGACTACGGCGACTACGGCGAAGAAAGCGAGATGTCATTTGCCAATACGACGCTTTCGTATGTGGATGACAACCCTGTGAACTGGGAAAAAAATCCGCCCGAGTATGCCATCGTCCCGTGGGACGAGCGGCGCCCCGGAAAGCTGACGGTGAAGCTCGCCCTGTGGTGTCTGGCGATGCTGGGAACCTGTGGAGAAAAATACATTGACTACTCCTACCCGCCACTCGACTCGTGGCATTTCAAGGGCCACCGCTATGTCCACAACTCGACTGGAGAGTCGAAAGACCGTGCTGGTCCACACGATATTATCCAAGGACCCGATCCCGACCAAGCGAGCATGGAGCCACCTAGCAGCTATAACGAGGTAGACGACGCCCCCAGAAATGATAGCTTCGACTTCGATGGCCAAGGCAACGGCGGAGGAGAAGAAGACGAGGAGCAAGAATCGGGTCTGGCGGCCCAGTTTGACACTTCCCTTAACGTTGTTGATGACGACGCCGACGGGCCATCTTGGCAGGCTTCTGAAAACAAGCTTTCCCGTGACGATCAAGCATGGGCTGGAACTACAAACAGCGATGGAAACGACGAAAATGACAACAATGATGACATTGACGATGGCGACGTAGATACTGTCGTCGCTGGGCCAGCGTTCGCAAGCAAATTAAAGACAGTGACGGTGACTGTCTCGAAGCGGAAAGGTCTCGGGAAGCTGTTCGGCAAGCTGTACTTTACTGATCATCGAGGCCGTCAGATTGACACGGAGAAGGCCGAATGGAAGAAGGTGGTGGGAGGATATGAGATGCTAGGCAGACGCCACAGGTATGTTACTTCGCAGTTCCCAGATTAATGTCGTTTCGTCTGCGGGAGTACGGGCGAGCCGCAGTCAAAAAGAAGGAGGCCAGGATGGTATTAGCGCCAGGAGAAAGAGGACTCAGGGGACATTCCACTCTAGCCCCATTGATATGTTAGATAAGCAGATTATTATGTAAGCGGCGTACACAACAGCTAGTCAGGGCTTAACTCTCCGGGTGGAATAAACTTCTCTCCCCCTTTCTCTACATTGACTATGTGCCTGCTATTATTAATGCTCCATCACACAAAAAAGTTGGCTCTCCGGCTTGTGTCGAGCCGTCTTGCCAATTCGCATGTGAAAAGCGTAAAATATGAAAGTCCCACCCCGTCGCTGTGGTTGCAAGCCGGAAGATCGAGGATTTGCTGGGATCTAGAATATGGAACATATGATTGGTTGGTAGAGTAAACAGACAATGGACGCCTTCGTCCAGGCTTCCGTCCATGCTTCATCAATTAGCAAATACACAACAACAACGACGAACACCTATACTTGGCTGCCAAATGGATGGCACGAGAACAGAGGCCGAAAAAGCCGCGGTGTGAGTCTTCATCGGGATGTTTTACTGCGTTAACGAAGGATGCCGTCACTAATCGCCCGTTGCTTGCTGTATAAGTGCCGAATCCGACCGCGATAAACCGAAAGAACCTACATTATGGGAGGCCATGGAAGCGCGTCGGTTGTGTTTCCATCGAAAGCCTTTTCTCGACGACACGCCGATGGACCCAAACACGCCCGCTCGCTTCCGCAAGGTCGACTTCCATGTCCCGCGCCTGCGCAAATGTCCGTTCGACCTCGACACCGTCGACTGGAGGGGCGCAACGCTTCTCGGGGCGGGCATGGACGGGTGCGTTTGGCGCGTCCGTTTTGGGGACCACGGCCCCTACTATGCCTTGAAGCTGTTCTGGGACGCAGACCCGGCGGTGCTGTACCAGTGCTACTTTGCCGCCCAGCGCGAGTGCCAGAATGCAGCCCTCCTCCAGGCCATCCGCGCGTCCGTCGACCAAGAGGCTGCCGCGCAGGAGGTCCTTGACGCAGGGGGTACGCTGCCCGATGACGATGGCCCGGGCGCAGCACCGACGCTGGTGTTTCCCGACCCGCAGGACGAGTACGAGGCTGCCAGCAATCTGTACAGCTTTTCCGTGGAGATACGCCGCGATCGCCACAAATTCGCCCACCTGGACGCGCCCGAGACCATGCGTCTACGTGACGTCCCGATGCCACGGTTTGTGCAGTGTTACGGATGGCTGCGTGTGAATGCGGAAGATCTGATCGCGCGGATGCCGCGGCACTGCCAGCCGGACCCGGTCCATGTCAAACGGAAAGAGTTTCGCTATTTTCAAAAGGGCCCCACGGAGTTTATTGCGATTGTGTACGAATACATTCACAAAGAGGGCGGCGATGGCACCGAGGGTGATAAAGACACCATCAAAACAACCACCGTTGGGCGAGAACAACGAGCGGTCCGACCCAGCACCGTGCGGCAGAGACCGCCAGTCAAGGAGGAACCAAAAAAAGAGCTACCTTACGATGACGAGCGGGACAGAGTCGCTTCCGTCGAAAAGTTCCTCCATCTCGCCGGCTTCCAGTTTTGTCCGCAGCCGCTCCGCCGCAACTGGGTCAACGGCGTCCTCGTGGACCACTCGGACATTATCGGCCCACGCTTTTTTGGCTGGCACAAGCGGTATTACCGCCTCCGGAGTACAGCAGTCCTCTTGTCGGAGTGAGGGCGAGGCCAGGTAGCCCTCCCGCAGAGGCCGGCCCTCCACAGCTTGACTCCAAGACGCCCAGATACTTTGACTGCACAGCAAGCATAACGACGTCTCTCAGATCGACACAGCCATCGTCCGAGCCCTACTTTCGTAAGAGCTGAAGGGCGTCCACGGTTGTTACAGGTATGCCCCCAGCAGGCATCGCTAACAGGTCGGAAAACCCACGCCGTCCCGCATCGGAAAGGAATTGCGATGGGGGATTGTACACAAGAAAGGCCAAAGACAAAGGGTCGGTAGAACAGCCAAGCCCATGTCTTGTTCGCCCCGCATATCCGCCATGCAAAAGGTGGCCATCCGCAGCGTCGCTTCCATTGACCGCTCGAGCTTGACGACTGCGTTTCCAGATGGTGTCGCGGCGCCAGTGTGTCCTTTCGGGGCTGTGCTGCGGGGAGTGTTAAGGATATCGGGCACGTTCTCGACGGCTCGGCCGGTGTCGGTCTGGAGCCCGTGCTTTCACAACGCTACACGACACTGGAGCTGGGCGCAGGGTATCCAGAGTGCCGGCCAGCCAGGGGCTGACCGGGTTGGCATGAATGTCGGGCTACCAAAGGCGCTCTAGACGATAGATGTCACCGGCCGCGGGCTGGTACTAAGTGTCATAAATTAGTTTAAATCGGTAGCCTAATGTTTGATGCTTGTTAACGGCCTCTCGGAGGTGCTAGCGGGCGTCTCGAGCCGTTCCAATTGTAGGCTGTGTAATGGGGCATCGGCCGCTACAATGCGTCCTAATGACCGTTGTAAGGCATTATTACTGCACAATATTTGTCCGCCGAGACACCAAGACACCATCGTCACCAAAACAACAGTCGACAGCGAGCCCAACGGAATGACGCATTTCCATTTCCGAAACCAGTCCAGCGATAAACACCAATGTCAATCTCACAGGTCGGTCCTGACAAAGACAGGCATCGACTCCAGCGGACAGGCCACCGTCACAGTTTGGCCGCCTCCCAAAGCCTCCGCTTCCGTGGCCATGGGCCGCCACTGCGCGCCCTCCGGCAGAGGCGGCAGGTAGACGGACATCTCGCGCTGGCCGGGCTCGAGCACGGGGCAGCACAGGTACTTGCTGCCGTACATGTACTGCTCGCCGCGCTCCCAGCATGTCGTGTCGTGGGGGAACGCGTAGAACAGCGGCCGCATCACGGGGCTGCCCTTTTCGTGCGCCTCGCGCATGAGCGCCCTCGTGTAGTCCCGGAGGTCTTCGCGGATCTGCAGGTACGTCTTGCAGATCGCGTAGACGGCCGGCCCGTACGACCAGACCTCGTTGGGCGCGCCGCTGCGGCACGCCGCGCCGCCGGTCGTGCCGTGCTGCGGCTGCTGCGGCTCGCGGTCGCCGTGTAGGCGCATGACGGGGCAGAAGGCGCCCCACTGGAACCAGCGCACAAAGAGCTCGCGGAACGCGTCGTCGCTGGGGTCGCCGCCGTGGAAGCCGCCAATGTCCGTCGTCCACCACGGCAGGCCGGCGAGGCCCATGTTGAGGCCGGCGGCCAGCTGGCTGCGCAGGCTCGACCACGACGAGGCGATGTCGCCGCTCCAGACGAGCGCGCCGTACCGCTGGCTGCCGGCCCACGCGCAGCGCACGAGGTTGACAATGTTCTGCTGGCCCTGGTCGCGCATGCCCTCGTAAAAGGCGCGCGCGTAGTCGCGCGGGTAGAGGTTGCCGATGCTGAGATTGGACCCCTGGAAGTAGCGGTAGTTGTCAAAGTCGTACGCCGTGTACTCGGGCTCGGCCTCGTCGAGCCAGAAGACCTTGATGCCCTTGGCGTGGTAGTTTTGCCGCGCCTTGTCCCAGACGTAGCGGCGCGCCCCCGGGTTCGTCGCGTCAAAGTGCACCGTGTCCCCCTGGAAGTCGAGCGCCGTGCGCACGCCCCGGTCGACGCGGATCAGGTAGCCGCGCTCGCGCATCTCTTCGTAGTTCTCCGACAGCTTGTCCACGGTCGGCCAGATGGACACCATCAGCTCGATCTTGAGGCTCTGGAGCTCCTGGACCATGGCGTCTGCGCAAGACAGTCAGTAGATTGTAAGCAGAGGGAAAATGGGCCGGGGGGGGGCAAAAGGACAAAAACGCACCGGGATCCGGCCAGTAGACCGGGTCAAACTTCCACTCGCCCTGCTTCGGCCAGTGGAAAAAGTCAATGACAATCAGGTCGATGGGCAGGCCGCGGCGGCGGTACTCGCGCGCCACGCCGAGCAGCTCCTCCTGGGTCTGGTACCGCAGCTTGCACTGCCAGAAGCCGAGGCCGTATTCCGGCATCATCGGCACTTTGCCCGTCGCCTCGGCGTACGCCTCTTCAATCGCGGCCGGCGTGTCCCCGACGACGACCCAGTAGTCCAGGCTGCGCGTCGACAGCGCCTCGAAGCTCATAATGTTCTTGCCGAGCACCGCGCGGCCGATCGACGGGTTGTTCCACAGGAGGCCGTAGCCCAGGGACGACAGCGCAAACGGCACGCTGGCCTGCGAGTTGCGGTGTGCGAGCTCGAGGTCGTGGCCCTTGAGGTCCAGGTGCGGCTGCTGGTACTGGCCCATGCCAAAGATCTTCTCGTGCGGATCGAGGCTCTCGAAGCGCGCCGTCAGGTGGTAGTGGTCGCCGCCCAGGATCGGCTTGAACTCGCGGCCCTCCACTTCGATGGCGCTGCACTTGGGGTCGCGGACGTCGCGGCGGTTGCGCACATACTCTTCCAGCACCAGCTTGCCCTCGGCGTTCCACACGGTCAGCTTGCCCCGCTTCGTCACGACCACCTTGATCTGGCCGTTGGTCAGGGAGGCCCCATCATCGTCCGAGACGGAGATCTGCGGCTGGTGCAGGAGCGGCGGCGGCGCCAGGAGCGCCCAGTCTTCCGTCGGCATCGTCGCCGCCTTAGTGGCGCGCACGCGCACCGCGTTGGGCCCCCAGGGCTCGACCCAGACCGTTTCCCCATCGTACTCGTACACGAGTCGATTTTCTTGTTGAGATAACATAGTGGCCGTTTGACGTCCGATGGTTCTTGTGTAGGGAGACTCTGTGGGCAAAAGTTATCTCGTCCAGATGTACGTTGACCGTGCTATGTCGCCCGCCGTACACATTTATACTACTTTGCGACTCTGCGGCTCCGATGTTTGGCGGCATTTGCGGCCTCGCAAATAACACGACAGGGTCGGTCGTCGACATTTAACCGGGCGGGGGATCTGCTGACACCGATATCCGGTCTCGGCCTAGACCCGCACGTCTTACGACAGATTGGCAATGAGGAGAAGGCCGCTAGCCGGGGACCTGACACAACGAAACTATAAGTATTATACCACAATATGTAACCAGCGTCAAGGAGCGCTCCAGCTCTGCCGGTGGGGCTTGATAAAGACGCGGAACATCCGGAGTGCATCCGGAAATCACTTGCGTCCGACTGGCGCTTAGAATGTTGGGGTCCGGGGAAGCCGCCGGTTCCGCATGGCTATAAACGCGCTGCTCCGGTGATTTTTTGTTATATTTTTTGTTCCCCGCTTCATATAGCTGATCTTGCGCGCCAAACATTCTGCAAGACGAGAGTGTTACACGCGTGTTCATTTTACCCGGCTTGACTCACTGCCCGACTCGTGTGTCTCTACTTTGCAACGATGTTTCCCACGTTACGTCGCACGACCATATGTCTTTCATCCGATTATTTCAACGTCATTGCGTCTCCTGCTAAATACCTGTGCTTCGACGAAGTGAGGCCATTCCATAGCATTTATATCATGACAGATCATATGGCAGGTTCCTATACTGCCGTCAGGGTTCTATCGTTCTGGGCTCGCCCGGAAGTTGGCCGGGCTTCGGCCCAGTCCTATGTATGGCAGGCTGCTGGCGGTGGACGCCCCGTCCGAGGGCGGGCTGTTGGCTGGCGAGCCGGTGACAATCACCCGGTCCCGGTACATAAACATCGAGGGGAACCGGAAGGGCGTCTCGACACACAAGAGCGCGTACCGCAGGCCCAGGACATTGCCCATATACTTGAAGCGGCCGGCCATATAGAGGCGCTGGGTCGGCGTGGCACAGTCGTGTGTGTAGGCGCCGGCCAGCGGCCAGATGAGCAGGTAGGCCGCCAGGACTTTGGGCATGCCATGGCCGTGGTCGTCACCGCAGGCAAAGCCAGACGTGGCCGCCGAAGCCGAGGTCGGGCCGAGCTGTGGAACCGGCCCTTGCCGCGAATTCGAAATCGGCGGCATGGACGGCACCGATCCCAAAAAGTAGGGCACGGCAGCGACGACATCGTCCACGAGACCTTTGCATCGACGAGTCTCCTCGATGCACTCGGGCAGCGTGCGGTAATCGGTACCGGGCGGACACGTAAGGGCGAGACAGCGCACAATGGAACACGACATGACAAGGCGGCACGAGCGGATGCCGACCCAGACTGTGGCCATGCTAATGTCCGGGTACATGTCAACGCGGCCGGGATACGCCTCGGCATTCTCGTAGTCTCCGTCCGGTACGTCGCCGGCCAGGGCGCGGGTATAGGGCTTGCACCCGTGGGGCAAGGAGGCGAGGAACGCGGCCATCTCGCTGTCGATGGCCCTGACGCGCAGCATGTACATGCTGAGTTCCTTGTGGGAAATGGCCTGTTGGCCCGCGGACGCTTTGACGTAGCGGTCCAGCTCGCGGCGAATCTGGGCCGTTTCCATGAGGAAGCGCTGGGAGCGGAGCGTGGCCGAGTCGAGAATGTTCTCGCCAGACCACCAGTTGATGTTCCATGTCGGAGGCGAGTCGGCCGTCATCGTATGGTAGATCTGAGGGACGGTAGGTCAGCAGCAGTCAAGCCCGTTGCCTCACACCAGAGTGAGCGTGACATACTAGTTGCATGCGGACCGAATTGAAGAGCAGCTTCTCAACACGCGTGCGGATCCTGCCCGGGCCCCGACTCTGGACAATTTGTACGGCGCCTTCAATATGCGAGCGCCACGCAAACATTTCCTTCTTTGCCGTGATGCTCTACTTTGTTAGTATTACTATTGTGCGGCGTAGCTCCTGCCAGTGGATACGCACCTCGAAAAGCCCCATCAGGAGCACCGTCGCCAATGTCGCGTCCGTCGTCCTGAGCCGTGGGTTTTTCAGGTTCTGGGTCGTCTTCGCCAGAGCCGCCGTATACTGACTGATTCCTATGGCGTGAAAGTCAACCGTATCACTGACCCAGCGATTGCCCAGCGCCGAAAATGCGCACGCACGCAGCGCATACTGGACAGAACTATCGGCGGGCTGCCCTTGGAGGACGGGCACGATAAATTCAAAGAAGCTGCCGCCAAAGGGCCGCCGCGGGATGAGCACAAAGTTGGACGCAAAGTAGCACATGGCCAGGTCACCGATGGGCAGGCTGAGCGTCGACGCCGGCCGTTGCCATTCGTTGTCCTGGTTATACCGGGCCTGTTCGTCGCCCTTCTTTGCTCCGGATACAGAATCTTGCCGTTGACTGGGGCCCGTAGGATAGAATGGCGATACGCCGGAGTATATGCCAGAACTGCCTACGTTGTCCTCGGGCGCGTAAATGTTCGCGTAATGGGTAGACGTGCTCCCAGGCTGGCCGCGCCAAAAGTAGCGTGGTGCGTAGTTGATCGTGAGTGCACCGGCCGACTGGGCGACACTGAGAGGTACCTCGCTGCCTGCGACATATGCTGTGATCTCCATTCCATCGGCTGATTGCAAAAACGGCATGCGATCGTTGCGTCCAGAGATGGCTTCCAAGTCGAGTCTGTCGTCAATACGGATGCCGACATCGCCTGGGCTGGCATCGTGTCGGACGAAACCGGCATCAGGGCCCGGTGTTGAAGTGGAGGATGTGGGATGCACAGCCGTAGACGTGATAAAGTTTGATGCCGGTGCTGCTGGCGTATTTTGCGCATCTCGCCGCTGTGTCCGTCGACTATCGTCGCGGTGCTTCCGATCAACATTGGTCGAGTAGAAACATTCTCGGCCGCCATGAAGACAGTTTTGGCACATCGGATACTCTTCATCGCACTATACATGGTGAGAGTGAGAACAGAAAAATATGCCCACCAGATCGTCATTGTCGTGCGCAGAGACAGTAACGTACCTTGATACGGCGTGTTTTGCAGGTGCTGCACGCCCGCGTGTGGGGTCGTTCCTGAGACATGGACGGCTGGAGAAACGAGGTAAACTGGATGTGGCCACTGAGAGTAATCGTATGGCGATGCTATTGTTGTGCGATAGATCAGCTCACGGAATTTGAGTGACCTGGCCACGCCTCATCGAATCCATACGTCACACAGCCATGACAATTGCGGCGCCTCCTTGGAACCGTAGCCGTATTACTGTGCCGGGTTCTGGGATCAAGCGAGCGGTGTCCTTAGAACTATGGCGTCTGTGTCGTCGAATGCGAGAGTCTATGAGAAGAATTTGACTTGGCTTGCCAGTCGGTGCTGGGATGTTACGTTTCGTTTCTGGGCGAGGGCCAATAGTTGACTATACCGGAGAGAAAATAGAATTTTGTTTCCACATAGGAGATTGTCTGCGGTGGGTAGAGGCGAGAAAGAGAATGGGCGTCCAAAAAATGCACCTTTGAAGAAATGTGGCGCAAAGCTGCGATGCAGCTCGTTTTGGCCGTGTCGGTGTCTGTGTCCACTTTGGGTCGTGTCAGATCTCATATTTTGCGGTATGGTCGCCCCTGGCTCTTTCCTCCATTACTGCCAGTGCACGTTTGTCTTCCTTCTCCGGCTCTTGGTTCCTTCCCTCAGACTCTCCGCATTTGCACACCGCATGGAGGCACCTTTCGGTCCAGTCGCTCTTTCCTGACAGAGGGGCTTAGAACGGTATCGTTCAACTTTGGCAATCACGATGGGTGCGGCAGACTCCAAAAGAGGCAGGTGCCGCATTCGACAACCCCTTTTCGAAGCGTTTGAAGCTCCCTGAGATGAATATGTTCCTTTCCTCACAATTCTCTGGCTTCGTTCACGTCAATGTTCTGGTCAACATTCCGACTTTCCTGGAGAAAGGTGACAAGCGGCCCCACCCAGAAAACCGTTTGACTTTCTGCAATGATCCCCGCCCATGCCTATCATCCATGGCGTGTGCGTGACTCCACAGCCGTTGGTTCAATCATACCAAAAGGGCCCAAAGAACGGAAGAACAGAAAATACTGGACAAAATTAGAGCTGTGCAAACGCCCTCAATGCGACACCGGATCACGAAAGCAGCAGGGAAGTGCGCCGTTTGCAGGGGGCACGCCCGCATTCATTTCCTCGGAGACCAGGTGCTGGCTCCTAACCTGACCCAGCATGACGAACCGCTGGCGGTTCATCGCGACGTTCATTCTGGGTCCGCCTGCCGGTGACCGCTGAACTTTTTGTCCTCTCGCCAAGTAGAGTGGTGGGACGCACAGAGGGTCGTGGTTGTTGTAAAAGCTGAGACCACAAGCAGGACGACGGAGGACAGATTCCTTCTCACGCAATACGACAGGCATCGCAACGGCCTCCCATCAAGCAAAGAGAGCAGGATGCCGGACGAGAAACGCAGGACGGCACAAAGATTCGTTTGTCGTCTTGACCGCTCACAATATCCCCAGTGGCCCCGTCTGGCGCGACAGGCTCACCCGCCGCTAGGGCCTCCTTGGTGCATAAAGTCGCCGAAGATTCGACGCCAAAATGTCAACCGTTCTCGGCCACTAAACCAAATCCTGCCATGGCGTCTGGCCGATTGGGTTTGGCTGGTGGCCTGTCCTCTGAGAGGCACGACGGCATCGGCATCGACAGCTCTGGTTTGGGGCGAGCGTTCAATTGGAGGATTACCCATTTTTTCTCACTCCAGTTGACCGTCAGATATATGCACCATGTGAGAACGAAGCCATTTCGAGGATTTCCGATCCCGAGCTCCTCCAAGCATTTAATATGGCAGAGATGACTAACAAGAATAAGCAGAGACGTCTCACGCTCAAGAGTTGCCGCCTAAACTCATCAGCGGCCACAAATAATGTGCATTTTTATGCCGAGACAACACAAATGGTGAAGCCAGCATAGCGCCGCAACATTTTAATTAATTCTCGAAACGGCCAGCTGTCGACTTCAAGTGACCAGAGAACAGTTCTCCCTGTGTACGATAGGTGTTGTCACGAGCGAGAGATCAGGCAACATGTATCGACATTGCGTTTCCTGGAAACTTCTTGGAGAAGGCCAATGAGAGAAACGCGATACAGGAGCATCTGGCCATTCCAGTTTACACAAGATGAAGGCATCCGCGATTGCACTTACGGTAGCGGTGCTGTCCAACAGCCACGTTCAGGCAGCCTCTCTATCGTCGTCAACACCCACACCACAGTCACAACCGACATGGAAAGGCGCGACAACATACCCCACGACGGTCACACGCATTTGGTCGCGGACATTGACGGTAAAGGCCGGTGAGACTGCGTCAAGCACAGCCCCAGCGGACACCGTCACCGTCCAGACTGTCACCATGTACGAGCCGTGGCCGTCGAGTCCCAACCCAGAATACTTTCCCTACACGCTATTGCAGACGGCCATTACGAGCCGTCATCTGTACTCGGTACACGTTGACGACAAAGGACGCGTAGCACCGACGGGTGCACCATGGACGGCGACAACCGTGGCGCCACGCACCGTCACATCCACGTGGGTGCTCTGGAACACGTCGCCGACGGACCTTGCGGTCGGCGAAGCGCTTACGCCGTGCGACCGGTCCAACGGGCACAACGACCAAAAGTGCGCGACGCCCAACCTCAAGCAGGACACGCGGTGCCTCGAGCACGGCCTGACGACGGCGTGCCACAGCCAGTGCAAGATCCGGCGGGTGGAAGGCTGGGACCTGTGGTCGTGCCACAAGCGGGGCGACGGAACGAGCAAGGCGGCCGGCAACGACACGCGCGAGGTGGCCATCGGGCGGGTGTGCACGGACAGCATGGGCTACTACGAGCAGCTGCTGGAGCCGTGCGACACGATGGACCACGGGCACGACTGCCAGCCTTGCAATGGGTAGGGTGAGAAACGACGCAGTGCAGGTGTACAGATGTGCAGGTGCAGGTGTGCAGGCGTGCAGGTATTGCAAAACGGTTCAGTTTTATATGAATATATTGATGAGACAGCAGACGAATCCAATGCAGTACTACCCAGTCTCACCGCCTAGTTCAACCAAAAGCTTACAACAGACAAGATGATATCTCACGTTTTTACCGCCGCGGGCAGCGTCGCATTCTTTGCCTTGGACTCGACCTGGATGACAATTTTGCCGCGCGCGCGCTTGGTCATGAGCTTCTCGTATGCGGCGACCACGTCCGTCATGGGCCACACCGAGTCAATGGGCATCTGCGCAATGGTGCCGTCCTCGACCATGCGGACCACCTGCCGCGCCAGGTCGCCCGACGGCATCAGACCCAGCATCCGGTACGCGCGCGGCGTGCCGCCCAGGGCGGCGGGCAGCAGCCGGTTGCGCACGACCGCCGGCACGCCGACGGGCCCGGCGACGATGCACAGCAGGGCGCCCGTCTTGGGCCGCAGGTACGCGGGGCTCTGCAGGTAGAGGGCCTGGTCGCCGACGCAGTCGTAGATGAGGTCAAACTGGGCGTCGGCGCTGCCAAACTCGGCGGCCAGGAAGGCCGGCAGCGACGCGTGCTGGGTGTAGTCGACGGCGGCGTCGGCGCCGAGGCCGCGCACAAAGGCGGTGTTGCGGCCCGAGCAGACGGCGGTGACGTGCGCGGGGCCGCGCGACGGGGCCTTGGCCTTGTGGATCTGGATCAGCAGCGAGCCGACGCTGCCGCTGGCGCCGTTGATGAGCACGCGCGGCGGGCGGCCGGCTGCGGTGGCCGCGGCGAGGGCCGCGCGCGCCAGGCTGTCGGTGGCGCAGAGGCAGGCCGTCTGGCCCGCGCAGCCCAGCAGGCCCACGGCCGCCACGCTGCTGTCGGGGCCTTTGAGCGACGCGGGCTGGCGCGCGACCATGGAGGCGGGCACAGTCAGATACTCGGTGAGCCCGCCGTGGCCCGTCGCGACATAGGGCACGGTGAGACAGCCGGCGACGCGGGAGCCCACGACCAGGGGGGGCTGGCCAGCGCGCACATGGCAGCGGACCTTGCTTGCTGTCGGGCCCATGGCGACAATGGTGCCGGCAAAGTCAATGGCCGGCGTGGGCCGGCGGCGGAACGGCACCCAGCTGGGGATGTTCTTCATAAAGGCCAGGTCGGCCGGGTTGAGGCCGGCGTGGGAGACGCGGACGAGAATGTCGCTGCCCCTGGGGCGCGGCAGCGTGTCCTCGTCCGTCACGGTGCCGTCGTCCTTGAAGGACAGCGCCTCGCTGGGCTTGTCGGAGTTCTTGACGACGACCCAGGACTTCATCCTGACGGCAGACGTGGTGTTGCGATACCGGACGGTGAGGGGCGAGCGGAGGTACAAATAGGCCCCGAGGAGGGCGATGGAGGTCGTCACGAAGCCAGCGACAGCCGCGTTGGACACGGGGAGGAAGGACATGAGAGGCGTGGGTGGGAAACGTGGTGAAAATGTGGCCTGAGCAGAATGAGGTTCAATTGACGATGACGATTGGGGCGATCTGGTCTTGACGACCAAAAAAATAAGGTGATGAGCTGAGATTGACGGACGGGTCAGGCCGATCGGCAAGGGCCAAAAGCAACAATGGCTGGCCCCACAAGCATAAAACATAAAACACGGTCGCAAGTCTGGTCGGTGCGCGTTGGGAAAAACATGCAAGAAAGTCTGCGTGTTTCGAGGGGCCTCAGGGGACGAGGGGGCTATTTGTACGTTGTACGGCAAACGACGCATGAGACTCGTCCAGCTTGTGGCAAAGTTCTCGATGCAGCGTCACTGTGTCGCTGAGTCGGTACCCCATCCGTCCGTTGCAACAGCTTGTGTCTGTTGGAAGGCGATGGAACGGCCAAGAGGCAGCAGCATTACGTCAACACGTCATTCAGCACGGCGCCATGCAATGAACCGTCGCCGCGCCGCGGACGAAATTAGGGCCACCAGCTACTCTGCTGGTGGAAACATGTCGAATGCTTGTGCATGGCCAACTTTGTAAAGATAAATGTAGATTGATTGCTGGCAATGAATATGCAAGTGCCAGCGCACGAATAAGTTGAACAGACTATGAAATGTGGAAATGTGGGCGTTGGGAGCAGCCCACATGTAAGGAATCCTTGCCTCCTGTGGCCACCAACAGCCGTCTGCAGCTCCAATATCCATCCCGTCCACGGCCCCCAAAGCAACCATTGTTCGACAGAGTAAACATCAACATCCATCGACGCCATCAGATTAAAAACCACAATGGAATTCATATCAAAGACACGTCCCTCCAGAGGTCGTCGAGTTCCTGGAGACGTGTCGCTTCCGAGAACAGATTGTCAGTGGCGACAGATCAACTGGCAGAATATCGGTATTTAGGAAGCCGTGACACAAACCAGGACTCCTGTTGACAAGGCTGTTGCTGGTGCTCTTGACGGACATGGCGTGCGATGGAGAGACAGATTGTGGATGTGTTCACGGGCGAGTGTTGCCGATGCCAATGTATCGAAGTCGATGTATATGTTGACGTCGATAATGATGTCGATAATGATGTCGATGGTGATATCGTCTCCCCTTCACCTCCATCGTTCACTTCCCCCCGTCGGCCCGTCGCCTTTGCCGTCCTTCTTCATGAAGCTCTTCCCTCTCAGTCGAAAGTCTTTCGTTCATTCTTTTCGTTCATTCTTCTGGGCCTTTCTTTCTTCTCCTTCTTCTTGTTCATCTTCCTCCACCGCTACTCTCCCGCCCGCCCATCCTAGTGACTGCTCAGGGCCAGAATGACCAGCACGGCCGGCCAGGCCAAGGCTAATATGAGTGCCCCCAGCACAGAGAAGAAGCCCGTCGGGTTGTCGTCGCGCGGGCCCCGCCACCGGTCGATGATCTTGACGGTGGTGAAGATCATGCCGATGACATAAAAGGTGCCGGCCCAGCAGATGGCCAGGATGAGTTCGGAGAAGGCGTCCTCCTTGCTGATGACGTCCAGCGACTCGTCGGGGAACTCGGTGGAGAATGCTTGGCCCATGGCGGCGGTGCTGTGTAGGTAAAAGTGCAGTTGGTGAGGGTATCTGTTGCGAGACAATCGATGTCGTGATGTAGTAGACAGTTGACAGACGACGAAAACAAAAAGAAGAAACTAAAAGAATACGAAAAAGAGTATGTCGAAGAAGAGAAGAGAGTCGAAGAAGAGAAGAGAGTCAAAAAGAGAAGAGAATTAAAAAGAAATGAAAACGAAAAGAACGTGGAAAGTATTGACCAGCAATTAACGACGACCGCTCCACGGCCAGCCAAGGAGAACAGAACGAATGGGAATGTGGTTGGGAGAGGTTGACGAGATGGAAGGGGAAAAAGAGAAGGAAAGCAAAAGAGGAAAGGAGACAAGAGGAAAAGAAAAGGACTGCAGAGTAGAAAGGGGAGAGACGGCCATGCATCTGTTAGTAATATGGCATTTCTGCAGAATACCATAATTGTATCCAAAACTCCCATCTGACATTACGGTTTTATGTTTTGGACAAGCCCCTTTCCGCCTGTCTGCCCACTTCTCCGCCGTCTATTCTCTCCTCCTCGATTCGCCGTCTCGTTTTCTGCTGGTTTTCGTCTCTTGCCATCTCCATGACATGCTGGACCCCCCCCCCCCCCCTCTCCCCCCGGCCGTTTGTTGCAGCGCACCTCCGGGAAGACCAAGCGAAACTGCTCCGTCCAATACAAGCGGGCCTTTGCCTCGAGCGAAAAGGGATGACTCGAGCAGCACACATTCGTACACCAGAAATACAAAAGACTGAAAAGAAAAGCGAGGCGAGGCGCAGGAGTTTGCCCAAAGTCAACATGGCGGCCCGGGCTGCTCTCTTACAAAGCTTGTCTCAGGACCGCCTGGATCGCCCCAACTCCATACAAGCAACCCCCTTCCTTGCTAAATAATGCTAACCCGTTTGGTCGAGTCGAGCAATAATACGACACTGGCTGTGCGCGCGAAAGAAAAGAAAACCCAGAAAGAAATCGGACTTTCTGTCAACACCACATAGAACGGGCCGTATTCTCAAACATACGCTGGCCTTTTCTCGTCCGTCTCCATCTCTACGGCTGTTTCTCAGACAGCCGCATGTTTCCAGAAGCTTGCTTGTCAAAGCGAAGTCTCTCCCATTATTGTACATGTTCCCTTTCTTCTTATTTCTCTCGTCCACCACCCGTCCACCACAAGTCCGACTGCGACTGGTCCGATCGTCGAGATGAATGCGCTTGTTTTCTTTGTCTTGTATTTCTTTGGCGCACGTCTGTTCTCGTCACTCGTCCTGGTCGGTCACCCGTCACCGCCCGGCAACTACTACGGGACCACAGCCAGCTGAAGACGCCATCAAAGCGGCATAGCGCTTTCACACTGCAGTAGTCAGTAGTTGACAACTCCTCACCGCGAGCATCGCACGAGTTGTCCGTGGGGACTGGGCACGTTCCCAAAATATCTTGCCAATAGTCACTGACTGCGACGGGTCATTGGTTTTCCACGTTCATTGGGACAAACGTGCGCTCGGAGCGTTGTAGAACGTTTTGTCGCCTGTGATTGTCTTCACCGGCCGGCATCCAGGCCAATCAGAACTCCAAACGCACCTGTTCGACTTTATCGACAAGAAATGCAATCTCTTCTGGGGACTATTAGACGCGGCAGGTCCTAAAAATAAAGTCAGAAAGCAAAGTCAGCAAATCACACCGAAAGTATACAGAATACTACCGACTCATTTCCAGTCGGTAGCAACGGCACCATGGAATACAACAAAAACGACGGCACCTCGCAGCTCTGTTGACGGGTCTTCCCACCTCGGCCTAGGCTGCGGCCCAAAGGATTCGGAGAAAACGTCCCACTCCACGTGCAGCCAATCGTCAACGCCACACAACCGCCGACGATTTTTAGGTCGGGCTGCTTTTGTGACCGCACGACAGTTCCCAAGTCTGCGTTTTCCCATTGTGAAAAAGGAAGCGGAGAGGGGATAAGGATGACTTGCGCGCAGTCTCCTTTGCGGCCGGCAAACAATATCCCAAGGAATGGAAGCGAGACGACGAAAAGGACAATGGAAAAACAATGGGCCAGAAGCAAGGGCCCGTCTCGCCTGACAGACGGCTGTGGGGGCGCCAAGACGAAACTTGTTGCATATGTTGGGTCGTGACGGGGTCCGAGGGACAGGACTCGAGGAGGACCAGCCCTCCATAAATTGCTCTCGGTGGCCCATGTGACCAGACAGGCGGCGTCGTCTCGTGACGTGATGCTGCAATACGATGGATGAGTAAGAGTGCATATTGAACGTCGAGAGAACTTTGGTACACGAACGAGGACAACATAGCAGTCGGCGCTGGAAAGAGAAGCAGGGAACAATGAACAGGAATATAGAGTAACGCAGTATAAAGTACGAATGTATCATAATGAAAACTACCAGTGAGATCGTACGCAGATGCTGACCCTTTCCTCTAATGGTGCGGCTTCATGCGTGTGAAGTGAAGTGAAGCCAGAATGAACCATCGTGAAGTGCATCATAGTTGATGTGAAATTCTCAACAGACAATAGGAGGGATCATTTTCTAAAAATTTTGTACCGTTAAATATTTGTTTGGAGTGTGATCATTGTATTTTGATACTTAGATTTACGCTGATTTTAACTTTTATTTTGAGTTGTTGGAACACCAAAATGAATAATATGATTCCACCGAAAATAACAGAAGAAAAAAACTTTGAATAAACTGTTACAATTTTGTAAATATTTACAATGATATCTCTTGTTTCAAGACAAGCCATAGACAACACAGTGAATAGCGCGTAACCCGGTCCATGTTGACTTGGATTTCAGGTTCACGTCGGAGCACTTTAACGATCCCAAAGATGGTGGTGACGATACATGAGTGTCGTGCCTTTTCCAACATCAACAATGTCTTGCAGAAACGACAGACACGTTTTTGCTGTCCAGATTAAACTCTCATCTTTATCTTACTCTTATTCCGCCAACCCTTCCTTGACTTGGCTTCTAGCTTCCAACATTTGCTTCCGGATAACACATGTGCTGTAAAGCTCATGAACAGCAGATAGCCCTTTCCTCCTCACGGGATGAGACGGCCATCTCGAAAGACAAACATCCGTCCTTAGTTTTATATTCAGCTGTCTGGTAGGTCACTGTTCATCGTCTGCCGCACAGCACTCACCACATCTTGTTTCTGTTCACCTCTGTCATGGACACTGAATTTCGTAACGACGCCCCGGACGTTCGCCGACGTGGTCTATAGAATCAATGATATTGGGGAGCATCAAGGTCCCGCCAGACATGCTAAGCTTGAACACATCAAACCCGCATCTCGATGCCGTTCACAATGACTCAGTTTCGACCATACAATCCATGGAGCGTGTTGCCTGTGCCTGTTGCCTATGGCTTGGACGTGAAGAGCATCCGTGAGCTTGTGAAAGGGGAGATAACGGATTCCTTAACGCTGCAGAGGAAGCGCCGCTCTCATTACTTTGAACTGACAAATCTCACGGGCATGCCCGGCCTTGTCGCCTTTTTAAACACCGTATTTGACGCCGAGGATGATCAGGTCGCAAGTGTCCAGAAAGACCAAACAAAACTGCCATGGAACAACGTAGAGGAAGTCTGAAGAATACATTTTGAATCCACAAACCTCGTTACACGACCATCACTTTAAGAACCAGACGTGATGTTTTTCGCATCCTCCACTGCACGGACCGAGACTCGGTCACAGCCAACTGGCTGGCAAACTACTTAAAGAGCCAACAACCGCTTGTCCCGGCGAACTTTGCGTCTCTCATTCTCTCTTCCATCTCTACACTCATCATGCCTGTCAAAGTCAAAGCATCGGCAAATTACCATTGTGGAGCAGGCAGGGTCCAGCGCTCGTTCTGGACCGGCAAGAGCCGCGATGCAGAGAATATCGCGTTCGTCTGACGTGGCGGCCAGATTCGCCGGTCCAAGTAGCCCTTCATCTTACGACCCATTCACCTACGGTTCCTCGACAGACACAACGGTCGTCCCATTGCTCTGATATTGATTCCCGTGCTGTGTCGCGACGGATCAAACGAGAACGATCCTGATTTCATGTATTGCCAACGCGAACAGCCCATACGGTCATAAGGCTATAAGGCTTCAACCGCATACGGAGTAACAGGGCAGAAACGACATTGCCTCGTCCTCATGTGCGTTGCAGTGTTTCCTTGGAGGCATATCGTTTGGCGCGACACCTGTTGCTCCACGTCCGATGATGCTTTTGGATGGTGCCCGTGTGGCAGCACCGAGGTGCAAAACGGAAATTCAAAGAGTACAACCGACAGTGAACATGCCATACTTGAATACAAGCCACTTGAAAAGCTAAAGCAATATAAGAGTACAAGCACACCTCACCATCAAGCCTTTCCCGAGACCCGCTTCTCCAAAGACGGCCGATGGATGCCCTTTACCAGGAGAAGGAGAGGAGACGGTCTCGCCCACGGTCACGCAGCTGGAGGCTCACGGTCCCGGCTCAACAGCTGTGGAGGCCGCCGCAAATGCCGTCGAAGTGGCCCTGGATCTTGGCCGTGACCGTAGGCCGGACATTCTCCAGGGATCGGCGTTCGTTTAAGTCTACACCATCAGAATCTTATCTACGACGAAATCGACATCAAACGTACAGCAATCATTCGGAACTGACTCTTTGGCATGTCACGTACCAGGACACACCAAACTCCGTCGTTTTTTGCCTCTGGAGTCAATCAGCCAGTGCAGCTCCAAGTCTGGTGTTTTGTTGCTTTGTGCAGTTCTTTGGTGTGGTAGCGAGAGTTGGCGTTTGTTTCTATTTTTAACACGCAAACAATGCTACGGACCAACACTAACCGCACAAAACAAGCTTTTCCCGCAGGAGCTCAGGAAGCCACACCCCACGCCACACTCGACACACATGCTGGGGAACATTGAATCCTGCCAGAAAAGGCTGAAGGCCCAGAAGAGCACATGGTTTGACACGTTGGTCGGCTGGTCATTGGAACTTAACTACGACAAAGGAC